AGCTTAGGTGAAGACGACCAAAGATCGAATCCCAAATCAAGAATACTCTGTAATGGGCAATGAGTAGAACGTTAAGGCAAAGAGCAGGTGAGAAATGGAGAGAAAGAATTGCGTTTTCTATATAAAGGTCTAATTTATTTATTAGCTACAAATAAAGTTTAATTGTCTTCATCAATAATGCATGCTTAAATTTACATTGAAGACCTCGACTCATCCCCTTTGCCAGCTTGTTTTATTTTTGTACCGAGTTCTTGAAGCGCAATTAACCCCTAGAATATAGCTTTCAACCACTTTACATTAAGAACGAAAAACAAAGAAATATAATTGCGAAAGAGTTAAATAAACATTAAATTCTGTTGCTCGAAAATACGAGTACGCTTCGGAACACAATGCCTTTTTTTGGACCCTACTCATTCACATAAGGGATAAGGCAATTAAGAGCCTTGTAAAGACATTCATTTCCTCTGTCCGGTTCGTGTGATTGATTGACACCTGCAAGCACTCTTAACACTCCACTCCACCACTTTCCCCAGAATTGTCCCTGTCACACTCCGGCCTTTTGAGTGTCACTCGAATTAGTTGCAATTTAAATTAGCTGTCATCGTGGCCATTTCAATCAAATGTCCGTTCTCGCCCTGGGCCTGATGATAGCCCAATTGGATGTACAACACCCTCGTGTCACAATCGGGTTGTGCTGTTGCATCTCCTTATGGGGCCTCAATGGAGCACTTGATTTATTTCGCTCACCAGCCATATAGACAGCCAAATGTGCGATCAAAACAGACCCCATTCGACTGCCTACCACACATTATCGGTAAGAGTGTGTGCGTGTCTCTCCATAATAGATAATATAGTAGTGTGCATGTGTGTGGGTTTTTGTGCTGTCTGCGCCTGATTTGGCGATTTGGTATTTGAAATGTTATTGGCAAACTGTCCTTAGTTATTGTTGTTGTTGTTGTTGTTAGATAGTGGCAGCTCGGGAGCTTTGAATCTTGTCCGACCTTGAACTAAGTCCGAATTGTGCTTAGCCTAGATAACTGAAATCCAACCGTCTTTTCCATGATTGTTGGGCATTACCTGGGGGCAGAAAAATATCTATACTTGAATAGGGTATGAGCTTTTTTTTATTAAACTATTATTAGAAACAGATTGCGCTATTTTGCTTGATTTTCCATAGTTTCCTCAATTTGCAAACTTTCATTTTCTCTAAATCTCTGACAGTTAAAATTAGTGGCGAGCAATTTCAACAAATCACTAAGTACACGTAAGTTGTAAACTCTTCTAATTGAACGCTAGAGAATGTTTTAGAATTCATAAAATATTGTCAACTGCAATTACTATTGAAATACAACGAATTTATTTAATCCGCCCGCACTAATTGGTTCGTTCCGTTCTTCATTTCCCGCCGCCTTGCGATCCTTAAATTGCAAGCTAATCATCTTTGCGGATTAACAGCAAAATAAACGTAGCTTTTCAAAATGGTGCCATGGCCTGGCGTTCCCGGACTTGCAGAGAAAAAGGATGACTGAAAAGTTTGTCCTTGCTTATTACTGAGCGTCCCGAGCTGCCCCTGCAGTCGTTGGCTTGTCAAAAAGTAAGTAGGTATGCAATAAATTACGGCTACATGATATCTAGTAGCTTCTCGTTTCGCCAAACTGCGCCTAGCGGGGGAAGAAAGCAAAGTTTTATGTTTGTAACAAAAACAAAAATAAAAACAAAATGAAGAAGAACATGGTCAGAAGTTGGGAGAACAAAGACAATGAAAATTTATGCAAAAGTAGCAATTCTCTAGTTGTAGTTGCTGTGCTTTTTATTTCCATACAACAATAAAAATGCCGACAATTTGATAAATTATACATGCAGCAAATAGGCTTGGGGGGTTGAGGGGGCGGTGACAGTGCTATTGCTGTTTGCAGCCACAGCAGCTGCTCTGGCGACAATTTGTATGCGCCCCCTCTATAAATAGGCTATATATACAGAAGATATGCACGTGTGTATATTCTCTAGTAATTTGCGTTTGGTTTCCTTTTTTGCAACGCCGATAAGCGCTTAAGTAATAATGTCAACAAGAAGAAGAAAAAAGGACAGAAAAATAGGAAAATGCGGCCATGAGAACCACACAATCGCCGCGGCCTCAAGTAATTTAAGTCTTAATGAGCAGCGTTTCTGTTGCCGGCAAAGTCGCGCGCAATCAAGGCAAGGTCAAGCTAGCGCTAACACTAAGGCTGATGCGATAAAAATGATAAGCCAGCGCCAGCAGGACATGCCAAGAGGCTCAACGGCAGGCCAAAAGAGGTCCAACCAGAACCGACTCGGACACTGCCAGCCCTTCGTTTGTTTTTAGAACACTGTTATACTGAAGGAGCATAGTGTATCAGTATTCGTGGATTGTGTATAACAGTGGGGGGCCGCTGATTTTAAATGCTGCGCGCGTTGTAGAAGTCACCTTTTTTATTGCTCATTTAAGCGCAAGGAAATTTTTGTTTATATGGCCAAGTAAGCAAATTGTTGTGGCTTGTGGCTGGGCGACTGGATTACCGAACGGTGGGCATCGCTGTTAACAGCACGCGCTTAAAGTTCTTGGCTTAAGTTGCCTTTATTTAAAGATGGCTTCCGCCACACTTCCTGTGTGCCGGTGGCCAGCAAAATGTGTTACAGACGATTTGGAAGAACATTCACATGTGCCCCTAACTTCAATTCCTGCCATTGAGTTTGGGCCGACATTTTTGGGCGGCACAGATTGTAAATCAAGTAAATAGGCTCCGAACAAATTACAAATCATTGTGCGTCAAATTAATGACAAAGCAGTATACAAGTTTTTGGGACAGCATGACGAATGCTCTTCTGAAATAATGTGGCACAGAAAGTTTGTCATTGATGTTCAGACTCTGTGGGGTTAAGCTAAGCGAACGTAAATATTTTAATTTATTGCCAAAATACCGTGCACAAACGTAAAAACTAATCACGAACAATTAAACAGACACCGCGAACCAAATTGCAGCTTGTGGCACAGACCACAAGGCTACAGTGTCATACAACACTAATCCCACACACACAAACATAGGTATTCAAATATGTTCATATAGTACTAGATAGGCGTGAATATGCTGCAAAAATCCAATAAAAGAGCCCACTAGCAGCGGTTATGGCCGCGATTGCAAATCCAATTGGATGGACACATTCGCTCGACAAACTTTCAAATGACCGCTGTGGACTGCAAATGGAATTATAGTTGAGTTCGCAGAAATCTAATATGCATCAATAGTTCGATTTCACATCGGTATGTGCTTCAAATTGTGCACGTGTCTGTAAATATTTGCCTGTAAGCATATACATAAATAAAGGTAAAAGTACATACATTTATGCACTTGTATATATAAATCCATTTGTCCCTTAAAGGCTACAGAATTTCTTCTGAAAAGCGTAGCATCTCCGACCACATACATATATAGACCTCGTATCTTATATACATATATTCTTAGTCAGCAGGAGAATTGATCAATCAATGAATCAATCTACAAGTATGTAACCATTTCGAGAACGGCTGAGCATTAAAAAAACGTAATATATAGACTCTCCCTATCGCTTGGCTACACGAATTTATTTTTTGATAATGACTCGGTTGCTGTTTTAAAAGTCTGTAAGAGCGGTCTCATATATAAAAATGTCCGATATAATCTGCAGGCCGATTCGCAACAAAAATAAATGTTAAAACAGGGATAACTTATTTCTGCCTATTTCTCTATATCAAGTTTATTTGCACTAGCTTAGGAACTAAATGGCTCCACTCAAAGGATATCACATCTAATGAAGGAGCGGAACTCGAAGATATCTGTTTAAACATTTTCACTGATTACTTATCACAAATTGCCGAATCCTGCTTTCGGTAAACCTAAGCCCTAGACCTAATTGCTCAAGTACGGCTGCGACTACCTTCTTAATGGGCGATCACCTTTGAATTCAATGAACTTTTGCAAGTCGTGGTCGTGAATTTAAATTATATTTGGCCATGCTTAAGTTTCTTAACAAACTTTACATTGAGGTGTTGGCTTGCACGACGCACCCGCATTTGTGATACTACAAGGCTTTTGACCTTTTTGGGTGTGCGTGCGTGTTGTTGGTTAGCTTTTCATAATCGATGAGTAGGCGAATCCCGTGTGTCCATAAACTTTTACAGACGGCGGCAGGTCCAGTGTACGAGTATATAAAAGGGTTTCAAGCTCTGACCCGCTGTGCTTGTCTTTTTTATAGACTTGCCAAAAAAAGTGCAAACAAGTAAAGGACTTTATAGCCGAGAAGATGCGGACGTTCGAAGTTGGCTCAGGCAAGTCACTCAAGGAAATTCGTTCATTGCTACCGGCATTTTTATTTTCTCTCCCCAAAGGGTGAACGGCTGTAGCAAAGCAACGTTCGGAATTAAAGTGTAATATGCCTTAAATCAAGCTGCTGGAATTTCAAATTGAGTTTAAAGGGCTTAAATAGATGTGGCACACAATTTAGTGAAGGCAAATGTAGACAGATTCGGGTAAATGCTCCTGAAAATTACAATTTGTGTTTGTGAGACCGGTGAGGCAGTAAGCCGAGTCTAAACAAAAATCTGAATACACAAGTTCATTAAGTACAAAAATTATCTGCAATTTTATATAATATCTTGGAAGATAAATGTCTAATACAAAATATAATTCTTTTATCTCGAATACATAAGAACTGCATATACCAGTGCGGGACATTCTCATTGAATGTGATAGGTCATGGGGTAAATGGTTCGCTGCACTCTTAATTACTATGATTAGTTTATAGCAGTTTACCTGGGTACAGAGTATTACACTGTCGGGCTTGCTCGACTGTAGCGTTCTCTCTTGTTTAAATTGATTTCGTCTATTTCACTAGTGATCGTTTATAGTGTTTTTATTCAAGCAGTCAGATCTAATATTTCCAAATTTCGTATTTAGCAGTGACGCAAAATTTAAAGTTTCTGAGCTAGACTGCAGAAAGGCCTAGGGGAGAGATAATTTCTTTAACTAAATACGTAAGCAAAACGAAAAATTTAATTTCCTGAATTTGAATTTGCGCGTGTTGGCAGAATAATAAACATAGTACAGAAAAAAATACACAATTGTTGTGTAGCAGGCAGCTTTGAATTAGGCGAGTTTTTATTATTTCTTGATGTGTACACACTGCTAACGCAACAGCTGTTTACGGAATCTTTCGTGCTCTAAGAATTTTCCAAAATTATAATTTAAGTGCGTGATTTGTTATAAAAATAAACAATAAAAATGGCACAAGATATGCTGCTCGATGCCGAGGAATCCAGCAACAAGGAGACGTTCCTGCAACAGTTTTGCACACTGGCCAAGGTTGCGAGTGGCGCTGCTTTGTTAGATGTGATTTGCCAATGTTTATCTTCGCCGAATGTTTTTGTTTTCGGCGAGCTTTTGGTTGAACCTAATGTGGCAGAGGTAGATTTTAAGTTTTCTCAACTATTTGCCTCTAATAACATATTCACATTTGCCTTTAGCTAAAGGACGGCCCAGACGCCAAGTACTACAACACTTTAAATCTATTTGCCTATGGCACCTACAAGCAATATCGCGCAGAGCGGGATAAGTACATAGAACTGACGCCGGCGATGCAGAAGAAATTGCAACATCTGACCATAGTTTCGCTTGCCATCAAAACTAAGAGCATTCCCTATTCCGTACTTCTGGAGGAGTTGGAAATTAATAATGTGCGTCATCTCGAGGACATTATCATCGAGGCCATCTATGCGGGTAAGTGCTACAAGTAGTTTGATTTTCATTAAAGAGGCCACTTTTTTTTTTATCAACACCAGCACGTTATAAGGGTGTCTACTTTGGATTGGGCTTTTCTTGTTTAGAAACCAGCTGTCTCTTTATTTGTGGCAGTGATATAGTAGTATTTACGCTAAGAACGTATAGGTATTATGAAAACTTGAAATTAGTGTAGTGGCCACGCCCTTTAAGGGGTGTACATCTAAGCGCGTGCCAAATTGACACAAAATCTCCATGTCCTGCTTTCATTACATAGGGTGGGGATGTAAGCGTTGACAGCAACAGTTGCGTTTAGACTCGCGGGCTTTGCCTGCCAAACTTTTTCGATTAAAAATAACAGGCTGTGTTGTTGCAAGTACGCATTGCTTTGTCGAGTTTTTAATTAAAGTTGCAGAAAGCGGCGCGACTTGCGCATGACTAGCCAAATTGACCGGAATATGCTGTAGTCGGTGTGCCCCCGTTGGCCTACAGCGCAACAGGTACTAACTGTGAACGTCCTTTGTCAGTTTCCAGCAATTGCACTTTGTTATACTCGCTAGTAGTCTTGTACATGTTCAGTCCTAATTCGTCGCCCCACCTCTGAAGTACGTGTCTCCATTCACGTGTGTTTGTTTGTTTGCGGTCGTTCCTGCGTCCACCATTGTGCGTTCGTAGAATGCATGGAAACTTGACAGAATGACCCGCAAGGCAGTGAAAAATTACTCGCAAACGGAGATTTTAATAAGCAACGCAAACAGGGTAGATAATTGAAAAAGTTTAAACAAACATTGGCCGGACTACGCGAAACTCCCTAGTCGTCGCCAGATGTCCTTTCATTTACACAATTCTATGTGGCTGTTTGTACCATTTCATTATTGTTTATGCGCAAGGTTATTTCGATTTGCAATGATTATTACAATTAATAAAATGAGAAAGCCAATTAATACCTAATCTTGATTATTTATACATTAATTATAAAAGCACATTAGAGTTACAATAACCGATTGAGAGGCAATTAAAACGTCAAACAGGTATTCAAGCATTCTTTTTACCGCAAAAGTGTGATAAAAGGCACTGAGAGGCTTTAAATAAATTCTATATGCTACTTTACAATTGTGGAGCAGCGCCATTAAATCAGTGGCTCATATTCTTTTTACAAAATAACTAATAACGAATTGCTTTTACGCATAAACGCAGACTTCTGTTCGTCCCATTATCATTCCTACTTTAGTGGCTGCCTTCTTTCGTATCCTCTCTGGACTTGCCAACTGTTTGACTTCGTGTAGTCCACTTTTCCTTGATTTTGCATAATTAAATCAAATGCTATTTCTTATTTTACTTTTTAGCGCTCTTCTCCTTGTCATCGCTCGTTAGCGCGCGTTTCAATTAGAAGTTTAGGGCAACCAAAGATCTGGAGGTGGAAAAAGTAGGAAAAAGTTGGCGGCGCCAAATGAAATGAAAAACTCAGTACCAATTGTGCTTTTCAAAATCACAAATTGTGTTCAGCTCGCGGGCCGCTCTTCCCCAACCTGTCTGTTGCACTCATTGCACTTGATTAGCTTGGTCAGCTGGCGACGTCGTCTGGTCGGTTAGACGAAGGCTAAAGCCAATATATCCACCAGTTGCGCGATAAAGTATGCAAAGTCGTTTTTAAGCCATTTACTGGCCAACAGCTGTGCTAACACTTTGCGCTAATGTTTTTCTTTGTTTCCCTTCATTTTTTTCGTTGCTCTCGCACCTGGCGCAGATTGTTTTCTCAGCCTTAACATGTGCGCGAGAATACGTCGAACTTTTGCTTGGCGCTTTTTGTTGTTTTACTGTAATAATATCAGGCAAGGCCGTGGGCAACATTTCCACTTGTTTTGATTTTCAATTTTGCATACTTTCAATATTGTAGCGTTTGAGTGGCTTAGCTTTCAGATCAATTCTTTTGACACACCCTCCCGATATGTCAGTTTGAAATTAGTTTCTCACTCTGTATCTCTCTATAAAACAGAATGATGGGTGGGGATGCAGCAGCTCTTTGGAATTTTGTATTGGTTTGAAAACTTGCTGTGGACTGCTCTTGACTTTTTAGCTGATATGGAAAATGCCTTTCGACAACTGTTTGCTGGAGCAATTATTGTTGTTGTTTGCTGTTTGCTGCTGCCTGGTTGCCTTTGGTTGCATTGTGCAATGTTGCAACGCTTCACTAAACAGCTGGCGTTGTTATTGTTTTGGCGGACTGGCCACAAAGCAGGAACGCGAGCGATGACAGCCACAGCGCTTTGAGAATTGCTAGCATAACATCCGCCTGAAACTATGCTAGGCTTCTCTGGTAAATAAACAGGCGAATAATCCAAATGGAAGTCGTAAATGGTAAATAAATAAAGTGCGCGAATAAAACGATTTTGCTTTTAATGGAAACTCGAGTGCTGTTACGATGGCAAAAACTCCATTTGAACAAATAAAGTGACAACAAGGCAGGGGAGATTGGCTGTGCCTGCTCATAAATAACATGGGGTGCTTGCTGGCCTTGGTTTATTCTACCTGTCACCTGTCTAATTGCTTTCAAATCCAAGCGTCGGGCAAATAAATTTCAAAGAGCACACGCTGGGACCCAGGATAGTAAAAAGATTTATATTATGATAGGCATTAACATCATTGGGGCATTTTTAAGGGACGGCCCAGGACAGGCAATCAAAATAGTGGGCCAAGAGCATTGCATACCATTATGCTGTAATCTGGATTTACAGGCAGGCGATAGGGCAGGAGCTTTAACAGTAGGCAGCAGGTAGCACAGATACTCGCATTTATTGTGGCTCTTCAGGCACTGTGTGTCGCTAATGCTGCTCTTTGGTCGCCCCATGCCAGGGGCTGTTTCTTCTCTTACCTTTTTTTTGCATTCCCGTAAAACGTTTGGGCCATTAGAACATCATTTGTCTTGCCATCCCTGCGGCGCCCTGGCCAGCGATAATTAAATGCGTTTTATAATTGAAATTCGTTAGGCTGAGTAGCATTTCAGAGCAATGGAGATGCTGTCTCTTGCTGAAAGCTCTTTGTTAAGCCCCGTGATTGATTTGCACCACATTTTTAGTTGCGTTAGAAAAGTACAAGTTTCTTAAAGCCTTTGAAGGAAACATTAAATCGAAAATAAAATAACATTTTTAAAATATTCATAATTAATTACTTAGGCCGAACATTATTTGTTATTTATTATTTATTATTTATTTATTTATTTTAAACATGTAAACATGTGTAACGGAGCAGTGAAGAAAACCTCACTAATTTTATTTGTATTCATTTTAAAAACTGCGTGCAATGACTTGCTTATAAAACAAAACTATTAATATGTTGGGCATGCAACAGCGTCAGCTTTTCATCCGAGTATTCATAGACAGCTTGCAACTATGCTATGCCTTTTAATTTGCATGCAACCAGACAAATATTGGTGCCACATGTACGCGCACAGCATCGGCAACCACACCACATCTCGCGAGCATTACATGCTTATGCACGCAACGCTCGTTATGTGGCAGTAAATTCTGAAGAGCATTTCCAACTTTGGAGGGTTATAGAGGAGGCCATATGTGTGTGTGTGTGTGTGGAAGCACCTTTGGCGTTTTTGATTCTTCTGGGTTTACTTGCATCAAAGAGAATATCACATAATGCTATGCTCTGGTCCCTTTGCGCACTGCGCCTGCCTTTGACTTAGACTTGCATAAATGGATGACTACGCTAAACTGTTGCTATGGACTATTTATTGCTTTACATGCTGCGTTGATTCGCCTAGCCCTACAAAGGCTTGTTGCCACCTAACATTCTTCATAAAGTTTTCACTACTCATATTGCTCCTTATCTGCGAGCCTTATTCTCTGACTAAAAGTAGCAGGTGCTTTTCAATTTCCAAACCGATACATTGCAACTGGTTTTTCGGTCAGCAGAAAAAAAAATCAATCAAAGTTGTTAGAGAGTTGGCTTGTTTTCGTATTGCTTATTTTTTCTGAAACACAAAAACTCTACTGTGTATTTTGTTTGAATTTTGAACAAAAGCTTCATTCTGAATTACACTTTAAAAGGTATTTATTCATTTTGTTCAAATGAGTTCCATTTAAAACACAATTCGGCAAACCGAATCTATTGAACTACTTTAACAAATGTGAGGTATTCACTTATTAATTGCTTGCGATATTGCATTTATGACTATGAGTGTCGTTAGAGTTTACCTGTGAGGAGAACACAAAGGCAATATATCAATCTAACTGTCAGATTTGAGTAATAATAAACACTATTTGCTAAATACTCAAACTGGAATATCAGTTTGGATATTCTAGCTCTTGTGCTTCCAAGGTCCTTGCGTTCAAACAGATGGTCTTTCTCAAAACGACTACTGCTTTTTACGGCTTCTTGGATTTCATTTATTCTAGTATACAAGTATTTAAAACAATTCGTTAATGCGTATCTACAAGTATTTCCATGCAATTTAAATTAAATATCACCCTGTGCAGTAGCCTAAAAGCCGCTTAAGATAAAACTGCACAATCTGGCATGCTTGCATACTTTTTGGCGCCAACATCACATTGTTGTGCAGCAAAAAGTTTCGACGCTCTTCTCTACGTAAGCATAGTCAGTCACCATCGAAATTGTTTCGGTGTGCTGGTGGTTGGCAGTTTTAGGTGAAAACTTTCCCCCATAGCTTAAATTGATGGCTGAAGTTTGCTGAGGTTGGGGCTGCTGTTGCGACTGCGAGGGCGAGGACGAGGACGAGGGCGGCCTGTCTCAGTCATTTTCTGCTGTCTTTTTTGACAACTTTCAATTTATAAGTTTTCTGGCTGCACATAAATCGACAGTTTGCCGGATGGCAGCCCTAACTGCCACTGTCAGCGGCGGCCCAATTTGCAGCTCAAATTGTGCATACTTTTTGCCAGTACAGACATTTAATTTATCTAGAAAGCCTGCAGTGTTCAAACTATTTGGCATTTTGACAATGTTTTATAATTAAAATGGTCAACATTTTTTTTTAATTATTCGGTTATTGAAACAAATGCCGGAGACTGAGTTTTAACATTACGATTATTAGTCCATTGAGTCGTTGCCGTAATTTTTGCGCAATTTCGTTTCGGTTTTGGTTTCGTTTTTGGTTTTTCTTTTCTTCTTTTTGACATTTCACAAGTAAGCTTGATTGATGGTGCTGTGCGCTTTGGGCGATAGAGAAAGAAAACAGCATAGCGCGATTTTTCAACCTACATTCAAGCGTCGGTGTTGACGCAAAAGCAAGGCACATGTCAATGCCAAAAGCGTCTGCTGTTAAATCACTTTTCGTCATGTTTTTCAATTATTTTTAGCACAATTTTTGGCGTTAAATTGAATAAAATATATATGCTGCTGCTGCTACTGCTCTTCCACTAATTGAAGCAAAAAAATGTTTAAGAAAAAATTGATTGCCAATTATGGATGTGTGGGTGTGTGGGTGTGTTGCTTTGTTGCTTTGTTGCTGTGTGTATGTGTGGAGGAAGATCAAGGTGACGAAGGAAATGAGCGAAAGTGTGCGTAAATTGGATCTGCTGTTGCTATCAGCATACTCAGTTGCATATTTGAGTGAATATTTATGATAAAAGTCTATCCCATAAACACAAAACTTTCTCCTCTGTCGAGAAAAGCGAGAGAAGCCAAGACAAGCATTCCAAGGCCAATGGGTGCTTTAGCATCATAAAGTCAACGGCAAAAGGCGATTAAAGTCTTAGCCTGAGCTTAGGCGATGGCAACAACATGGGAAGATAATCGTAGAGAAGGCAAACGAAGCGAGAAGCCAAAAAGCACAACGTCTAGTTTGTGGACGCAAAATAGGGTTAAGGGGAAGACGAGCAGGCTGGCCAGTCCGCTTCCATGGCCATCTGCCATCCATAGCCAATGCGCTTCCAGTACGCTCGATTTATGCTCGTGTACGAGTAGCTTCTCAGCTTATCATCGGTCTGTCAAAAGCCCTCAGGCAGCTAGTTGAGGAAAACTGGCTCGATCTGAAGCATTTCATAATCCACACGCATCCGGCGAGCTTCAAACATTACAGAGCACAACACATGCCAAATGCGAAATAATTTCAAATTAATTACTTCTGTCCTACGGCCGTCCAGCGTCCTTGCATCTGTCATCTCATCAAATTGCATTTGCTGGATTGTATTCATTTGAACTGCTGCCGTTCGAATACAATGCTAATCTGTTAAGCTCTGTGCAGCAGCCATAAAAGAACAACCAAACAATTATTACGTATACGTTTATTTTGCAGATTTATCTTTGCACTGTTCTCGATTCAATTGATTCGATTCGATTTGTCGATTTGTTATTCTTCACTTTTAGCTTAATAATATGATTTAACTTCGTGTAGCTATTATCTCGCTTTAGCAGTTGTTATTGTGATTACTGGGAAAAACCAAATTATGGGATAATTTGAAACGTTATTAGTTAGTTTGGAATTATTCAATATTTTACAAAAATATTTTTGTAAATTTGCTTATATTTGAACTTGGCACAGGGTATTCATGAGTCAGACTGGCACAAATTTAACCCTTTATTTGTTATAAAATCACTTTAACTATGTTTCAAATGCTTAAACGAAGCCCCCGGCTGTGGTAAATAAATACTTATAGTACTCAAATCTGGTTTAAGCTCTGTAATTATCGAGAAAACAAATTCGAAATAATCCAATGTCCTCATTTACAATGTGTAGCCTTTAATTAATGTTTTCGATGTCGTCGAGTCCAAGAGGCATTCAAGTGTACTAAATGCTTGAATGTTCTTATTCTAAACTTTCGCCTGACCTTGGCAAGGCAGTGTTGTTTGTCATGTCCTATGCTTTTAACATAATTAAATATATTTGTGTGTCTTCCACATGTGTATTAGCACGATTATGTGTATTAGCACGGCAAACAATACATGCAAACAGAAAACTTTTCTGGCACCCCCAAGTCACTCCATTTTGATTTGCACTTCATACTGTACACGATTTCCAGTTCAGAAGGAGCCAACTAATGATGCGTATCCTAAGCCAGAACTCAATTGAAAGGCTTCGTTCACAACTGCTTTCGTTACCTGAGTGCGCATGGCAGAAGTATTGAGAACCCCGGTCGGTTGTACTTGTCGGAAAGTCTTGCACTTTTCAACTAACTGACGGCCCTACGAACTTGCTTAGTTGCTTGCTACCAAAGTAACTCTTTGAACGCTTCTCATTGCCCACTTCAGTAACTACTTTCGGAGCAGTTGAAGCCAATGCTGGTGCTTTGAAATTTGTTGGCAAAAAATTACTGCAACATCGGCCCAATTTGTTATGAAGTGCAACATTGATGTTACGTTACGTTTTGGCTTCGGTTCTTCTCTTTACAGACATTATACACGCCAAATTGTTTCAGAACACTCGCATTCTGGAGGTGGATTACGCACAGGGTCGGGACATTCCGCCGGGATACACAAGCAAAATAGCAGAGACTCTGCAGGCCTGGGTGAATTCCTGTGATGGAGTCTCCAACTGCATAGACATGCAGATAAAGTACGCCAATGCAGAGAAGGCCAAGCGCCTGTTCAACAAGGAGCGCATCGAGCATGAGGTGGGTTGCAACTTCCATTACGAAAAATGTCCAGTCACTGTCATTCTCGCTTCGTCTCCACTTTGCCGCAGCTAATCAACTTGAAAAAAGTTCTGAAAAGTCAGGCCTCCGACAGCGATGAGTCCATGCAGATCGACACCCATGGCGCCGGGCCGAGCGGCAGCAACATGAGTCAGCCGGAGTTGCGCAAGAAGCCGTCAAAGATGAAGAATCCGCGCGCAGGACCCGGTGAGTACAAATTTTCCGCAAAATTGCGTAACTGTCATCCAGAAAAACTTGGCCTGTTGATTAATTATTAATTGCGCGCGCGCTAAGTCTATAGTTTGCACTTTTAATTACTTTTCCGCCATTTTCAGTTGGCCTGAAGTTCAGCAAGTGAGTGCCGGCCAGCCGAGCGGACAGGGGCCACAGGACTAGGGCCAATGCAGCTCAAAGCCCCAGCTCGGCATAGTCACGAGCACTGTAACTTATTAAAGACTTTAAACACACCCATTTGCCCACACAGATCGAAAACGGGCTCATCATTAGGCATTCTGAATAAATATTTATATGCACTAACTAAAAATAAAATCTATGAAATGTGATTTTGTGCAAACATGTGTTTCTATTCACGTTAATTCGAAGCTTAATTAAACTTTTGTTTACAACTGTTGCCATTTGAGGTTTTCAGTTCGAATGCGAAATTGCAGTTGCTTTTTCAAAATCATTGAATTTATGAACATTCGCATTAATCTGTGCGTCCATGGCTAACAATATTTGAAAACGGGACAAATGTAAAAGGCCCCTAAATGAACAGTATCTCTAAAGTATATTGACGAAGCGCGCAAGGACAATGAATTTCCATGTATGTAATCGACCAAGGTTGATAGGATATTGTTTAATCAGTAGTTTGGGGGGAGTAACAAGAGTCACTAGACTAATTGTTATTCGATTTGTATTTGTGCGAGTGTCTATCTGCAGATAATTATGTATGCAGCTAACAAACAAATGGCCAGAAATATTTTGTATCGTTTTGTATGCGTGAATATTTAAAATTCTTTAAAAATACCCTTGATTTATGGTGAAAGATTTGTTTATTCTGAAATATTGGGTACATTGGATAAATAGTGAAAACATTTTAAAAACAGAATGGATTTTGATTCAAATAATGAGCTGCGGCGTATAGAGCAAGAGCGTGTACGGCACGTTTTGTATGATTTGGTAACGACTTTTTGTGCCTAACTAGCTGATATAGTTGGTGGCAAGGGCGTTGGCAAGGGTGGACAGGGGGGCCGTTGTTACCTTTTGTGGAGAAAGTAATTGTACAGAGCGTCAAAATAATTGCTCGAAGTTTTGGGTATCAGCCGTAAAGAGAGTGGAATATGAATCACTGATCTAATCTTGCATTCGCAAAAGCGAGATGATAAGTGAGGGCGGGCTTTTTTTAACCGACTTCAAAAAAGGAGCAGGTTATCAATTCTGTATTTTTATACTCTGTACATGAAATTTACAAGAATATATTGGGTTTGCGGGAGCTGAAAATGTAACAGGCAGAAGGAGGCGTGGCACACCCCCACAAAGTATACAAGTATATATTCTTGATCAGCATGACGAGACGAGTCGATCTAGCCCTGTCTGTCTGACCGTCTGTCTGTATGAACGCAAGGATCTCAGAAAGTATAAGAGCTAGAATAACCATATTTCGTATTTACTTCTGTGTGTTCCATGTACACTCGCACAAATCTAATATACCCTTTTACACTTTGGGCACAGGGTATAAAAACTAGCAGCTTTTCATTTTAAATTGTTTATGTAAGCTTTAGCAGCAAATTTACTTGCTGGGGGCTCGACTCCTCAGTAGCCCCGTAATTAATGGTAATTATTAATGGATTAAAGATTAATTTTGAGCGCACGCAATTGAAACAAAAATTGTACAGTGTTTCCAATTATTCAACATTGTGCTCAATGACTTTCGCTTTGAAAATAAAACTAACTCTTATCTGCAGTAGTCGGTCTCTTTGAATGAGATGCACTTGAATTGCAAATACTCATTTCTTGTATTTAATTTGAAATTTAATATTCAAATTCTAGCCATATTTTTTATTTAATCGATATTGATGCTAATTAATGTTAAACTGGATATTTAAATTTTGTAAAGCGGATTTTGTTATGCCAATGCACAAGAGCGCTCATAATGTAGACTACACATTCATGCCTGGAAAATTGTCCATTTGTGTAGTGTGTTTGGAAGACAGGAAGCACAATCTGCAAATGTTTGTGCAGCACAAACTGTTGCAGCTGCATTTGCCCCACACTGAAAAGGCCATGCAAATTTATATACGCCATATATTTGACTAGCAACAACAAGAAAAACATGAATGCATGTATTTACGGTGCTCCCTCAATATAGCAAACGGCATTGCTCTATTAGTTAAATAGCTAGGGGTAGTTGAAAACATTAAGACTTTGATGCCAATTTATATTGGAAGGTTTCATGGAATTTACAAAATCGTTATAAATTCATAAAGAAGCACTTGACGTTAATCATGAAACTATTTACAAAACAAGAAAGGAAGGCTAAAGTCGAGCAGGCTCCACTCTTAAATATCCTCTACCACCTCACAAGAAAAAAAAATATTTTAAAAATTTAATTAATTTAATTAAATAATTGAATTAAATATAAAATATTCCATGCATACATTTACATCAGAATCGTGTCTATCAACCTATCATAATGAAACATGGTATACGGATAGATAATCACTAACTGGATGTGACTACCAAAATTCCAAGAATTAAGGGAGTTATAGTGTGGGGAGTGGGGGGTGCATCAGAAAAATTGAACAAACTCGTCCTTTCTCGGGCTCAGGAGAATCTGGATACCAAGTTTGGTTATTCTAGCTCTTATAATTTCTGAGATCCTTGCGTTCATACAGACAGACGGACATGGCTATATCGACTCGGCTATATAGTTGATGCATTTTAAGTGCTTTTGTGTAACTATATGTACTAATTTTATAAAAGCTTACTCTTCAAATTTGATTATAAATCTCGGTTTTATCGAGTGTTCACAATATTATAATTGTGGCTTCCAAAGCTGTGAAAGAACATCAGCAACATATCCAGGCATACTCGTGTGTATACACTGCATTTGTTTGCTCTTTGGATTCCGCATTAATCGCAGCTTACAGTCACAAATACTTTGTGCTAATACAGCACGAGTATAGTAATGAAGCAAGCGTCATGCTGGGAAGAGAAGAGCAGAGCATTCATTTTCAAGTTTACTAAAGTTCGCACATCTGCCTAGACAATATTACTTGTATATAGTATATATATTCTCGAATTCCATTGATTGTGAGCTTTATCTTGATACGAGTATATTTTAATGCGTGCAATTTATATTGTTCTATTTATAAACAAGATAGAACGCTACAGTCGAGCAAGCCCGACAGTAAAATAGCCTGTACTCTCCACATGTTTATGTTCAGTTTTAACAGCATACATTTACATCACGTACCTATGCGTGTTTATATGCGTGTATGTATGCAGCACAAAGTTGAACGAAAGCAGCAACAACAACAACAGCTGCGGGCAGCGCTGCCGACAGAGCTGCAGGCAGCGCATGAGCTGCGATTTTACTTATGGCTTTCACCCTTTGGGTACAGGCTATAAAAATATTCTCCGGACGCAAAGTCTGTGCACATTTATATACTAGTGCGTACCTTTCTGTGATGTGGCATCAGACTGAGAATTTGAGTGACGCGTCAGCTAGTTTTTTTTATACCCTGTACCCAAAGTGTAAAAGGGTATATTAGTTTTGTGCGAGTGTACATGGAACACACAGAAGGAGGCGTGGCAGACCCACAAAGTATATATATTCTTGATCAGAATGTCAAGCCGAGTCGATAAAGCCATGTCCGCCTGACCGTCTGTCTGTATGAACGCAAGGATCTCAGAAAGTATAAGAGCTAGAATAACCAAACTTGGTATCCAGATTCTCCTGAGCCCGAGAAAGGCCGAGTTTGTTCATTTTTTCTGATGCACCAATGTGTTGAGTACAGGGTATTTCACTGTCTGGCTATTTTGTTTTTTTAATTACCAACGGCCCGCTTACAATGAATTTGCGAACTGTTTAGCCGCTGGCCTAGCTCTAGTCGCTATAACCCCAACTTGGTGCTGATAACGCATGCTACATATTGTCTTTATTAAACGCAAGTACTCAGTCTCATTGCACACAGTTCGTTGTAAACGTTCGTCGAGTGAAAATGTTGAGCGCCCTTATCCTAATCGGTCTAGTCGTCGTTTTATTGAGGCCCGTTATTTACTCCTGGCGCCGACATCGGAGCCTCACCAAACAGATAAATGAACAATTTCCGGGTCCGCAAACCTGGCCAGTGTTCGGCAATATATTGCAGTTCGGCTTCACCCCAGACGGTAAGTGGAAACTAGAAACCTGCTCCCCCTGTCCGCGACAGTTCCTGCAGCCGCTGCTGTCAGGTTTTGGTGTGTTCTCGTTTTAATTTAATTTGCTCCAAATTTTATTAGTATTATGCCGGTTTTTGTGTTAATTTATTTACCGACCATCAGTCGTATGTTCAAGCATTTGAGTTATTTTATTTGCTTCGACGGCAGATTCGCTTTTAGCTTTTGTTTTCAAATTGTTTTAGCGCCTTTTGACATTCGCTTTTTGCTTAATTTTGCTGCTGTTGTCATCTTTTCAGTTTATGGCCAAAATTAAAGTTAATTTCTTTGCAAACCAAGTTTGAGCAACCGTTGCCGTGTGGGTAGTCATGCGAAATGCATTTCCATACATACTCGGCGAGCTCACTTACGAACTAACACTTTTAAATGCAGACTCATATGGAGACGGAATAAGAAATACGAATATTTCCACTCAGGTGGTCAATTCGTAATACATAGCCATCTCTTCCAGTTAAAAGCATTTTAAAATATAATTCGGAAATCATTGTGCAGGACCAACGAGAGTGGTTTAGAAGAAAAGCGAAATCAAAAAACAAATCTAATTAAATAAAAATATAAAAGTAATGCTAAAGTCGAGTGGGCTCAACTCTTAAATACCTTGTACACATTATCACGAAAATCTTTAAGGATTTATTATTTTCACTTGCCATCATTAGAAGCAATTATTTAAAATCTCCTTCTACTTAATAAAGGATGAGATCCGATATTATTGCAAAATGCACTTATGTGAAGCAAGGATTGAGAATTATAGTACATTTCGAAGCGTCAATTAGTGTTTTTTTTTTATCTACCTTTTCTTGCGTTGCTTGGAAGTCGTACGAAAGTAATTGGTATAACTAGTAATTGCCACAACATTTTTTCTAAAGTCCATAATCAATCCCCAGTTAAATGGGAAACAGCACTGTAATTATTACAATATTTGTCGCAATTTTTATGAATTGAAAACAAAACCATTTCCCACGAACGATTAGTAACATGCGAGGCAACATGCCGGCAATTTAGCAGACATTGAACCTGACACTTTGCACTCCGATTTGCACTGCTGCTAACCTTAGTTGCGATATTCTTCCATTTTCCATTTCGGACATGTCAGTTATGGCTATAAGCTAATAGCCACGATTTGTAGAACAGAACACACATGGCTACAGATGCGACAGTACTGTGCAGTTAGATTGCGACTGTTATTGTGATACTGAAGCTCAAGATCAGGGTCAGCAGCGCGAACAGCACGAAACTCGTTTATTGCTCGACGAAGGGGAGGACTGACACATCATACAACATACTATATAGTATGTACATATATACAATGTATTATTCCATTTGAAAGCGAAATGAATGTAGACCGGTGGGTTGAGCTCAGCGGATTTACAGTTAACACTATGAGACACATCTTCAATAAATAAATCGAAAGTCTGATTTGTATATGCTATAGTATGTATAAGTTCTATCAATTCGAGTGTATACTCGTATTGCGTAGGTCATAAAATTCACCAATGTGCTCGTTGAAAGTGAAAGCTGATAGGCTTCGGCTCCAGCCCACGGTAGCGATAAGGCGATTATTTTGTATACAATACTCAAATGGTTGATAAGGGAAATAAAACGAGTGTTTTTCAAATGCCATCAAATGATTATTTTTGCATCTATTTTGATAATAGAAATTCAAAGCAAAAATAAACCTTAGTACTAGAGTGTAATTCCGTTTCAAAACTGACTAGATCGCAGTGGGTCGCAGAGCCTTAATGATGGCCTTGGCCATGTTGGGGCTCCTGGTAGGGATGCGCCGCGATCCAGGCAAGAGCCCGAACAATTTCCTCTGGGACTGGTGGGGGTGTGGGCAGCAAATTGCTCTGGGGCTGATAGCCATTCTCATCGGCTACGTATGAAACCTGAACGTGTTCCCCCTCGGGCGAGACCCAGCTGAATTGTCCATGAATGTTTCCATGTACATCGCCACTGGCAACCTGGCTAATGCCGTTCGATGTATCTAGGTTGGATTCGAAGCCATCGGGGCGCACGTCGGACACCAATTTCAGGATCTCGGCATGCGCATCTTCGCCACTTACTGGGGACGAACGGCTGACGCCGGCGGCGGCCATACCAAGCAGAGCGCAGATCAGAACCTGGAGGCAACATTAGAAGATATTTAGTCCATTGTGGAGTTCTTGGAACGAGATGGCACTTACGATTTTGTACATGTTGCTGATGTTGTCTGAAAACACGGGGAATGTTAACTGTGCTAGACTTGGATGTGACTCGGTCTTATATATGCATAGCCATTGTCCCCGCTTTGGGCATGCATGCTTTTGGATTTTTGTCACAATATCGCATAATTTGTCTGAGTTATGAGCAGAACGGTGCCCACGCCCAAAACATCATCGCTTGGAAACACAAATCTTGGCCAGCTGGCTGAAAGCGAAATGCAAATAAAAGTAAAACATAAGATGTATGCGGTTAAAATTTGTTTTAATGAATGCTAATACGGACGATCAATAAAGTTCAAACGAGTTGCTCGCCAAGCTGCATCAACTGACAAACTGGTCTATTTGCAAAGAAAAAACAAGTTGCCATTGTTCGTATAAAAACGTCCAGTCGACGGCAATAACTCATCAGTGTTCTAGTTGTAGCAACCAGCCAACACCCTCCTTCGACTTGGTCAAAATGTTCAAATTCGTGAGTACACACAGCACTAAGTCCTTCACTAGGAAACTCGACTGAGCCCATAGTGTTATTTCCAGCTGCTCATCTGCGCGATTATGGGTCTTGCGGCAGCCGGCGATGACGCCGCAGCCCAAATAGAGAGTCTCGAAAATGATGTCCGCCCCGACGGATTCAGCACTAGCTTCAAGACATCCAATGGAATTGCACAGACTGCAAGCGGGGATGAGCATGGCAACATCCAGGGACAATATAGCTTTACCTCGCCCGAGGGCGTGCCTGTTCAGATTTCTTATGTGGCCGACGAAAACGGATACGTGCCAACTGGAGACCAGTTGCCTGTGCCCCCACCAATACCCGAGGCCATCTTGAGGGCAATTGAGTACATCAAGGCCCATCCTCCCAAGGAGGAAAATTAAGCACCACTCTCCCTAGCCAGAGTGTTATTAGTCTGTAGAAATCGAACCGCTGTTGGTTTCATTGTTGTTGGATGAATCGCATGATCTGATGCTAAATAAATCCAAAGTTTTTATTGCATTTGAATTGGAGCTACTACTTCTTAGGCTTACTTCCAGTATATATATTGATATATTATATATTTATACTATTTATTGAACTGGTTAGCTGGCATTTTTCTCTCCAGACCTTACAGCATTAATAAACTTTAAGCAAAATACTGTTTTTTTTTTTATAGAAGCAAATTAGTATGAGCATATCTAAGTTCAAAAAAAGGAAAAATCGGGAGATATTGGATATGATCGCGTTTAAAACAAGCACAATTTTCCGCATCTGAAGTGCAACACAAATGTTGTTTAAAATGCTTCAACAGCCGAAATATTGGCTTGGTAACATTTCTCAAATGCTGAGCAGGCAGTCCTTAAACGTAAATACTCATAATTTAATTTACATTGCCAAACTACTGCAATACCTAATTGGATTATGCTTGCAACAGACATTTCGAAGTCTGCGTTGTATCACCCCATAGGGAATATCCACATCTGCAAATACAAGTATGTATTTTTAATGAGTGCGCCAAAAAGTATGTATTTAATTTGTTAGTTCTTGACTATTCGTAGTGACTACAGTGAAAGATCGTTTTTAAGCACAAAGCCTCTAAAATATATTGCTCTTATATATCTTGTACCCAATAAGAATAGGTTATTCTACATATTGTAGAAGAAATTATACATGCCCGGAGTTAAGAGAACACGCATACCTATTTGTAACTCTAGCTACTATAATATGCGAGATCTTTGCCTTAGGGACAGAACACATTTCTGTATTTGATTTGTCTCATCATAGAAATCGAACATACTACTCGTATACGTTTTTTGTTTGTTACAAAAACATGGCAGAATATCCTTACACGCTTCGGGGGCAGGGTGTACATTTTTAATAAAGTGATGCAAGTTATTTTGTTAAAATCAAACTTGCAGCACACTTATGTTTGTATTAGCGAGCGTTAATGCGAACTATTTTAACGCGAACTCGGTCTAGCACGATTATAAATTGGCTCCCTCCCCCCCTTTCAACGCGATAAAAACCTCGGTGATACACAATAGAAGTTTAAACATATTTTAATTTTCAATATTTCAATTGTTTTTTTATATATCTAAACGAGCTTAAGGAGAAGGATTCGCAAATGCTAGCAGCTTGGATAGACCATTTGAGAAGAGAGTTGGTAGCAAGAGAGAACGATACAGTCGAGCAAGCCCGACAGTAAAATAGCCTGTACTCTCCACAAAAACGGAAAATACAAAAAAACATTTTTTAAAATTAAATTATTAAAAAAATTTGATTTAATTAATTAAATTAATAAAGAACATGTTTGTTTATGTACAGCTTTATATTTACATCACGTGTGTATGCGTGTCTGTATGCAGCACAAAGTTGAACCAAAGAACAACAAACACAAAAACGGAAAATACAAAAAAACATTTTTTAAAATTAAATTATTAAAAAAATTTGATTTAATTAATTAAATTAATAAAGAACATGTTTGTTTATGTACAGCTTTATATTTACATCACGTGTGTATGCGTGTCTGTATGCAGCACAAAGTTGAACCAAACAACAACAATAGCTGCGGGCAGCGCTGCGGGCAAAGCTGCAGGCAGCACATGGGCAGCGATTTTATTTATGGCTATAACTTTCCTCAGAATTGACCCATCGTGATGATACTTGGCACACGGACACATTAGCACTAACTGGATGTATCTATGTATGGATGTATTGATTTCAAAAACCCAAGAATTGCGGCAGTTATAATAAAACACGAATTGCGGGGGGGGGGGGGGGGGGTGTATCAGAATAACAAAATAAACTTGACCTGCCTAGGACCTGCCTCGATACCTAGTTCGGTTATTCTAGCTCTTGTACTTCCTGAGACCCTTGCGCTCATACATACGGACGGACGGACATGACTATATCGACTTGTCTTGCCATCCTGATCAATAATATATATACTTTTTGGGGTCTGCCACGCCTCCTTCTGTGAGTTACATGCATGCGCACAAAACTAGTATAGCCTTTCACCCTTTGGGTACAGGCTACAAAAATTCGTTTACCTTCTAAAAGCCACAATCTTTCTTGGCAAGCAAGAGGACCACCACAAAAAAAAGGAAAATGTTTAGCACGAACACGGCTTTATATTAAATTAAATGCCAATGGCGCCAAATGGTTCTTAAATTTGATCATAAGTTGCATTAACATTTTGTGTGCTTAAAACATTTGGAGTAACTTTTTGTTAAGCTTGAGAATGTTTGGACTTGGAAAACAGCGAAACTTAAAACAAGAAAATTTGTTATGTCCATTTGTCTGCATCTAGGAATACATAGTAGACCATACTTTGTATGGAGCTCATGTCACGTTTAACACGATATCGTGTCAAGCGATCGCTAAGTGCATAACTTTTTGAAATGTCAAAATATTCACCTTAAACGATGAACGGAGACGTCTATATTAAAACACTTAGTTTATGACATATGAAGTGATTGAAATTAAGAAATAAAGAATGAACTGAGAAATTGATTGCGATAATAGATCAATATATCAATTAGCAATGCAATAATGTAATAACGTTCAGCACAATTATTATTTTGTAGCTAATTGCTAGCAATTCAAGTGTAAAATGTAATTAGTTGACGACTTGATTAAGTGTGCCTTTTTGTAACGGAGCTGTCTGATAATTTGTTGAATATTTGATTAAGCATAAACAGCTATTGTAGCTATCTACTAAACGAGATATTTCGTGCATTTTTGGGCAAGTCTCTTTATGGATGGCCACTTAATCGTAGACGTCGACTTTCTTCTTGCCACTTGGATTTGACGAAAAAAAACCCGTTCGGCAAATAACATTTCAATAAAGCAAGGTGTGCAGTGCCAGTATGCAGATCGTATCACTGGAAGCATCAGAATTTGAACTTTAAAGCGCAATAGAACCAGTCCACTGGGCAGTAGCCGTGCATAAGAAAGTTGAAACAATAATGTGAAATGCGCCCAAATGCCAGCCTAAACGATTTAATTACCGGTTATTCATGAAGCAACCGGTTCAGTGCCAAAACTTCTCAATAGATGCATTAACTGATGGACTATAAAAATTGCCAGTTGATTCCGAAATCAGCACAGTTTGATAAGCCATCCCAGCCCAACCGAACCGAACCGCAACCGCAACCAAAATGTTCAAGATCGTAAGTGTGGATGAATGTCACCTCAAGGATTTTCTGGTTAACTATTCTCGTTGCCACTATAGCTACTCCTGACAGTCTTCATCGCCCTTGCGGCAGCCGGCGGCAGCGACGAATCACATGCTGAGATCGAGTCCCTGAAGTCCGATGTGCGCCCCGATGGCTTCGACATTCAACTGAAGACAACAAACAACATCGATCAATCGGCCAGCGGTGATGTCCATGGAAACATTCATGGTGCTTTCGGCTGGATCTCACCCGAGGGCGTGCATGTGGATGTTAAATATGTCGCCGATGAGAACGGCTACCAGCCACAGAGCGATTTGCTTCCCACTCCCCCACCAATTCCAGCGGAGATCGTGCGCGCCCTCGCATGGTTGGAAGCGCATCCTAACCAGGAGAACAAACACTAAATATTACACTACGGACCTGACTTCTATTCGACAAAGAAATAGCTCACGAGCCTGTATGACAGAGAGTGTGTTAAATATATTCGTATCGCATTGCAATTGAAACTTCCGTTGTTTTACTTTTCTCAGATATCCCCATCTCTGATATCTTTATTCATGGCCTGTTGTTTCTCTTGCCTTGCAGCTTACTTGAAGAGCACGCTCAAATGGTTTCAGGAATTCGATTACAAAAATATTCGAATCTATGCGGGCCCCTTGCCCTACGTGATACTCATGGAGCCCAAGTTTGTGGAGGTAAGCGTGCAGTTCCGCCCTTTCCCTTCAATAAACTTTCACCACTACCTGTTACTGGTAGCACGTCCTAAGCAGCAATATCCTGACCTACAAATACGATCCATACAATATGCTCTACCCCTGGCTGGGAAGCGGCCTACTCACGGCCAATGGGGAGCAGTGGACGCTGCGCCGAAAGCTCATCACCCCCTCCTTTCACTTTCGTATTCTGAAGGACTTCTTGCACGTTATGAATGAGACCAGCACACAATTTATGTCCTTGCTGGAGAAAGAGGCAGCTGCCTGCCAAGTGCTGGACATGCAAAGTCTAGTTATGCGCAATACGATTGATGTCATATGCGGTAAGTATGCCAGTACTTGTATAAGGACTAAGCCGCAGGTATACAGCCATTTTAAAGGAATTAAAAGGTTGAATGCATAAGCACTTAGATGACAGCCAATAAAGTTACTTTGAATGGACAGCAAAACATACACTTTTTCTTCATTATCCTATCGTGTTCATATATTATTTATGCGTGTTTCACAAACTTCTACAGAGACCGCAATGGGCACCCGGGTGAATAGCATTGGAGGGCAGTCGTCGGCTATTGTGACTGCCATAGACACTCTCTGTAACGTGATACCCGAAAGAGGGGTTTCCGTGTTCAAGCGCTTCGATGTATGCTTCAAGCTTACTCCGCTCTATGCCAAGCAGCAACGAGCTCTGACTACTTTGCGAAAGGAATTTGCGCAGGTTGGCTGACAAATGAAAGCAATACCCGCGTTTTATTTGAATATCTTCCTCCCCCTTTCTATGTTTGTGGATCGCTTTGTGCAGATCATTGAGAAGCGCCGCGCCTTGATCCAAACAAGTAGCTATAATGCAACGCCCGATGATGATGAGCTTATGGATGCTAAGCGCCCCAAAATGGCATTTTTAGATAATTTACTGACCGCTGAGGTGCAGGGGAAGCCTTTGACGTTTGAGCAAATCTTCGAAGAGGTATCCACATTTATGTTTGAGGCAAGTTATTTTTTGTCGCTGTCTGAAATTGTAAACAAAAGTATTTGGTCCATAATATGACAGGGACACGATACGACTGCCTCGGCCATTACATTTGCCTTGTACTGCCTGGCATGGTCACCAGAATCGCAGCAGCGTGCCTTTGAGGAGCAGCTCCAGCTACATGGCCACGATCGCCAGCGCCATTCGACTTTTGACGAGCTGCAGAACATGAAATATTTGGATTTGGTTATTAAAGAAACTCTCCGTATATTTCCCAGTGTGCCCTTTATCTTTCGCACAGCCAAGCAAGCGACCCAGATTGGTGAGAGCAGACATGTCTTTTAATGATCTATGGACACAATCCACTTATGTATTTGCAGAGGATAAATTCATACCGCAGGGCACAACTTTAGGGATAGGAGTTTTGTCCATCGGCCACAGTCCACACGTTTTTTCGGAACCTCTGGAATTTCGACCGGAGCGCTGGGAAGCCAGAGAACACACAAATGTTAATGCTTTCGATTATGTGCCTTTTAGTGCAGGTCCGAGAAATTGTATAGGTGGGCAAGAAACTCCAAGCCGATGAAATACTTGTAGTTTGAACTCATAAAGCACTTCTCTCCGCAGGTCAGAAGTTTGCGCTGCTCGAGCTGAAGGTAACACTATCGAAGCTGCTGCGTCATTTTCACTTAAAACCCGCACCAGAATCGCGACAGAGTCTGGCTCAAATTTTCGATCCCCAGCACAGGCCTGGCCCACAGGAGCTAAAGCTTTACATTCCCATCACCCTGAAATCTATGACCGGAGTGCCACTGCGTTTGCAGCCACGCACTTATTAGAGCTATGCCAAATACACAAATGTTAATCTGTTGATGCTTTATTTCGCGGTCGAGCGCTTTCTTAGTCGGACTTGTATGCCGTTTTCAGATTTGAGTGTTACTCGTATATTCAGCACTGGATCGTATTCGCTCTGTGGCACGCAGTCCACGCGAGAGTGGTCATTGATGCCGGCAGGCAAGTTGTCCACAGCTGGAAGGACTTCGAAGTGACGAACCAGCAACAACAAGAGCGATTTTAATTGATACATCGCGTACTTTTCCGCTGGTAGACATTAGACATTAGTTTACTTGCTAGGCAACCTTTGGAGGGGGCTTACCTATGCAACCTCTGGCGCCAGCGCTGAATGGCACGCTTTTAAACGCCTCAATTCCAGTATCCTTGGTCTCATTGTCAAGGGCGTCCTCAAAACGCTCTGGCCTGAAGACGCAGGGCTCATCAAAGTAGCGCTCGTTGTAGCCCATGGCTATGAGACACATAATAACCGTGGTTCGTTTGGCCACTTTGGTGCCATCTGCAAGCGGTTTCAAGGCTCATTTTTGAACAGGACAAAGTCTTCTTCCCTGTCTATGTACTTACTGATGTCAATTGACTTGCGATTGGTGCGTGCAATCAGCGGCACCGACGGATATAGACGCAATGTCTCACGTATGACCAAGTCCAAGTAACGCATTTGCTCCAGGCGCGCGCAATCAACATCGGCCCCTCCCCCGGCTTCCAGCTCGGTTCCGAACAGACTCTGTTGCTCCTCGTAGACCTTCTGCTGGATGTGTGCATGCCGTGAAAGCGTGTATAGCGTAAAGCTCAAGGCAGCGGCAACGGGATCATGGCCCTGTGGACAAACAGTGAACAAAGCTAAGCAAGCGTCTGGCGGCTCGGGGGACATGTCGACTTACCGTGAAGATAAACGTCGAGAGCTCCTCGACAATTTCACGTTCTTTGAGAGCACGTCCGTCCAGCTTGGCCGAAAGAAGGACGTCCAAAAATGGTCGATGGGTGGCCGTCTTTTCAGTGCCATCTGCCAACTGCCTACGTCGTTGCTCTACAATCTGAATGTTGTGATGGAGGGAGGCATGTGTAGGTGTGAGTGCTTGGCTGCGTGGGTGTATGTGTGGGAGTGGGAGTGGGAGAATGTTAAGGCTTCACTCACCCGCTTAACTTCACTTCGGAGCAGCTGCAATGCGCGCCGCTGCTTCATGTAGTAGGGCGTCAATTGGAAAAGCGCATCGAAGCGTTTCACGATGCTAAAGGTTCGTGCCTGGATGACATCGCAAAGGCTACAAGAAGCAAAAAGGGACAACGGGTCATCTATAGTTTGTGGATATACATTACATATACAGGTATGTAGATATAAGCATGTCCAGCTTTGTGGAACTCTACGACTAATTCCAAGTAGTTGATGATAAAATTAGAATGCAAGAACTTGAATAATCAACTTATTTTGTTACGAAATAAAATTGAAATAATTTCATAATTATTTTCTTACTAGAGGAGTTCAAATGGCGTTATTGAATATTTTCCATTTAACATTTTACTGCATCCCCTGGAACTTAACTTAACTACTCTTAACGTACAAGTATACAAATAAGTACGAGTAGCTTAAAGTATGAAATAAAGAACTGCTACAAAATTGTATTCGAAAAATTATAAACAAAAATAAAATATAGCTTCTGGGGAAGAGAAAGTTCTGATAATGTAAATAAAAAACAAAATTTATATTAGCACAGACATTTATCATAATGGCAACCAGTTTTGCCACAGTGTGGAGGGGGAGAGCACGAGTCCTGCTCAGCTTAACTTACTCTTTGATGGCACTATGTAAGTTCGAGGGCTCGTCGTCCAGTGAATTGCTTGCAATGCCTGTGGCGTTTTCTGTATTTAATAAAAGAGAAGAAAGCAGAGAAAAGGTGGAACGGTAGAAGGGCGTTAAAACTTTAATCGCTGTGTCAACTGAATAAAAAAGTTAAAGTTAAAAGCTACAACTTGGGTCAGTTATTCAATTTCAAATCACTTTCCCCGTTTTCTAGGCCACGACAAACTTTTTTCAATCTCAAACACTTGGAACAATTTTCTATACAATAAATCTTCTTTGTGTATGCGTGCGTGTGTGGGTGCGTAATAAATTATAGAAGTAAGTGCAAGCGACGCTGTTAAAGCCGCGTTAACCAACCAACCCACTTAAAAAACAAAAAAAAAATGCATCCTCGAGTTCCCCCTACGCACATGACAAATGCTTAAAGTTTTGCTCACCACACACAATATCCAGTGTACACTTCCCAGCCCACTCCTGGGCGTCGAAGAGCGTCCCTGCCTCGGCCTCACCACTCAGCTTTTGGACCAACTTCAAGCCTGTCCTGTGCACTACACGCAAATAGCCCTCGATGGCGGCCCTCTCGAAGGCGGGCACGTACAGCTTCTGATGCTTCAGCCAACGCGCTCCGGAACTGGTGAGCAGTCCGTCACCGAGCCACGGCCGTAAAAAGGAATACAAGTGTTCCTTATACAGAAGCGACGAGCTCGAGAGCATGTTCTGCAAAATAAGCAGCGGCGGGGTGTTTGTGTTTATGCGTCAATTGTCCTCGTTAGGGCCGGCGATGCACTCACCTGAATTTCCGCTGGATCGCTCAGCATTATGTGATACTGTAGGAATACGGATGAGCGGAAGCCTTGGAAATCATATTTTCGGCAATATTGAAGAATTTTTTTTGGATACTCTGTGGGTTGCAAAAACAAAATTGAGAGGGGGAGGCAAAACTGACAGGGTCAGTTTAATTTGGGTAAAAGTTTTCTTTTTATTTTTATTTGTATTTTCCCGTTGTCAAAAGCTGCAACTTTATCGGGCTAATTCCTTGGGGGTTGTTGGAAAACATGCACACACTGCGTATTGAGTGCGCTTTTTATTATTACTGTTGTTGTTTTTGTTGTTAATATTCTTGTTGTTGTTTACATCACAATTCGGGAATTTTATCATAGTCTCAAATCTCAAGTGGCCAAACAGCAGCATCAAGTGCTGAGCAAAACAGTTTTCCTAGCACTTCCAATACTTGTATACATAGACCCTCAAGGCATGCGTTTTTCCATAAAGGCACGAAGCACTCGTTTCAAACTTTAATAAGGATCCCAAAGACCTGTTGTGTTACTTAAACATTAAACTTGCCAGCTGGAGGTTGCAGTTTTGTGCATCGAACTGCGAAATTGCCAGAGAGCCGGAGCTGCTCCAATCGCTGTAATCGTAGCAAGCATGTAAGCTGAGCTAAGTAGCTATTGCTTTTAAGTAGGAATCAGTAGCACATACTTGTATGTATGTACATGTATGTGTACGTGTATGTATACATTTACCAGCAGCTCTATCTTGTACTTCCAGTTTCTACTCATGTGTATATTGACTTTGCGGGATGCATTTACGTAGAATAATGCACTGCCTCATAGTTTCGTTTGAATTTGATTCTCAATTACAAAAGTGCATTCCAAATTTTAAATTAAATTTCAATTTATTTGCTTATAATGTCGTTAATTGAACAGAACCAATTACTGCTGCACAGTTTTATAATTATAATACACACACTTTAATATTGTTTTTGAATATAGTCAGACTATTTTCAAACCAGATTTTTATTATATTTTAGTTTTGCTGATAATGTATACTGCGAACCGGTTTGCTCAAAATAAATAGCTGATTAAATTATAAAGATAATTTCATTCTCCGAGGCTGTACAAATAATTTAAATTAATCTTAGACTTTCACTTTTTTTCGCTGACATAAACTCTCAAGCGGACAAAAGCGGCCGTCGTGGATCTGTTAAGCCGCTAGAGTATACTTAACACAACAATGGCAACAACAGTGGCCTCGAAGGAGTAGAATAAATTTACAGAATGCTCAACAGCAACCCAGTCAGGAGGAGCCGGGCAAGTACAAGTATAGTGTTTCCATCCAAGCATACCAGAACTATCAATTGTAGTAGTCGTTCTTATGCTCATAGTCAGCATCCTTTATTGTGCATTTGAAATGATTACTTGCAAGGCAGAGGCAAACAAAAAGAGCGCACAAAAATTATTCAGCTGTGAAAATAAAAAATAGCAATATTCTCAGCGGAAATGTGCAGCGAAACAGCGAAACAGCAAAACAAAATCAGATGAAAATTGCAAGTGATGTTGCAAAAATGGGAAAATGCTCACCAACAATCACTGCAGAAACGTCGACGCACATAAATATATCTGCTATCTATTGGCATAAAGTACTTGTGTGTACGAGTGTGTATTTCAAACTGCAACACGATTACTATCGAAAAGTTTTCTGATGCCCTCATTGCGTATACGCAGTGCTGACCACATTTTGGCAAACTTAAATGTGGCACAAAGCCAATGAAAAATATATTCATCGTGCATTGAGCACAAATGTTGAATGAAAATGTTTCTCGGAGCTCTGTGTGCGGCTTGCGCTTTACTGCTAATAATATATGACGGCTAATAATACTATATACTTGTACAACCGATAGCCTATCGCGGCGATCGCAGCCATTGACCAGTTCATAAATATAGGCAGGCGCTTACTTACCAGCAGGCTTCAGGCCAAACTGAAAGAGATTTCCTACAAACGGATATGGGGTGGGACCAGGTATCATTTCCATGATGCCTGCCATATGGTCGAGATAATTGAATATTCGGACGCCCTTAAACACCAAAATGGTGGCTATGATGATGGCGACAGCCAGTAGAAACATGATGCTCAGCTTTCGTTCACCGTTCACTGTAACAACCTTTCGTCTTCAATACTTTTTCGGCACTAGCTGCTTTGCCCAGTACTTTAAAACTTCAGGCCAATGGCCAATTTCACACAGTGGTTTATCTTTTAACGATAACACAATCGCTTACGTATCACGCCTTATAATTATATCAATTTAATAAGTAATTAGCTGGTCGGCAGTTTTATTTCTAACGGACAGCTTGGATAGTTAGATAATTGGCATAAACAGTTCTGGTACCTTCAGATCTCTCCCAAAATTGCTCTTGTTCAGTTGACTCATTCAGGCGAAAAGCAGTGAAGTGGGGATCGCTGTTCAGAGCCACTTGCTGGCGTACAAAGTGCAAGAAGAATCGACTGATAACAGTTTACCTTTCGACTGTGCAAATATGGAATGTGAGTCAAATTATTGTTACCCCAGAGAGTTCAGTAAAATTATATATAGAGAATGAAATTGTCTACAAGTTGGCTTCAAAAAAAATGCACTGTTGAGTGGCCAGCAACCACCCTTCCTTACCCGTCGCAAGATGTAAATAGTCGGGTGATGAATTCAATACTAGATAGTGCCGCGACTAGCAATTAAGATTGACTTCATGAACACATATGAGCATAGATAAGGGTAGTGATTAGTATATAATGATAGTTTGAAAGACTTTTTGAAAACAGATACGATATGACAAGATGTAAAATAATATTATTATATTGTACAAGCACAGTTTGTAAAGAAAATAAACGGTCAAAATTGTAATTTAGTACTTTAAAAAATAACTAACTAAGCTGAAAATTGTATGAATACTGTAGGAATTATACAAAAATTTTTGAGTTTAAGCGATAGTTTGTTTCCCTTTGTGCTCTCCCGTTTGTGGTACTCCTACAAAGTTTGGAAATTTAAGTCGGGCTGCAGAAAGCCTCAAATGATTTTAATGTGGAGAAATATTTTTTTCCAATTTAGGCCATACCCGGCAATGTTTATCTATATTTAAAGATATTAAGTTGGATATAAACTAAAGTCATTGAAGAACAACTTAAATATTAGCTGAGATCCCAACCGAATTAAAATTTATATCGACAAGATTTCGCAGCATAATTATAGGCATCTTTTCTTTTCTTCATATTTTTGGCATAAGGTCAGGTCCGCAGCAGTGCGTTTATTTAATGAACAAATGTTTCTTTGTCTACAAATTGTTATAAGGGATTATAAGAAACCAAATAAAAATTTGTGGGCTTCCAGCAACTGATTTGAATTTGTAATACTTGTAGGTTTTGTGGGAAAGCTCCTCACAAAATCTGTACTGTGGCCAAACCTGAGTTGAATGTTTTGATTGAAATGTGTGTTTAAAAAGTAACGTTTTATAGCATTTAACATCTACAATATGCTGTAGTGCATAACTGTTTTGAATTTTGGCGCTTTCTTGTGGAATTCTTTTTCATTTGTGCACTACAAATTAAAGCCATTATTACACACATTTTTGATGAATAATTTTGTTTGTACGAGTGTACAGAAAAGCTTCAAATCAATCAAATCACTGAAATAACAGCTTTTGAATTAACGCACGAATTGTTTTTTAAACAAAACAACAAATTACATGGGCATGGCTTACTCACCGCGATCTGATGTGCCCCAATACGTTATACATACATATATCACAACACACTCGTACATGTGTATGTAGTATGTACATAAGTTTGTTGTTTCTTTTCATCGGCTACTTTCATTTGCTTTTGTTTTTACGTAGTTGGTATGTTTTTGTCGAGTCATTGTGATAAGCGTGAAGTTGCAGCAGAGAGCACTAATCAGCGTAGATTTTAAAGCACCGATTGGACGGGTTTCACGAATTTAGGCAGACCGCCGGTAGAAGCAGTCCCGCAATATTAAAGCTCTCGTCGAGCGGAGCGGTTCGGCGGCAGTTCGTCCACGTTCGAGTACGTAACAGTAACTTGTTTTTTTTTTTTTTTGTAATTTGCGTCTTTGTGTTGTTTTGTTTTTGGCTGTCGCTGTCGCTGCTGTTGCTGTTTTTGCTAATTTAACATGTGGCTGTTGCTGTACGCCGTTTTGGCATTACCAATAGTTTTGTTCGCTTATTTCGAGTTTGCTTACTCGAGGCACAAGCGTATCTTGGGAAAATTAAATGGCCCACCTGCCCTGCCTCTGCTGGGGAATGCGCATCAAATGGGCAAAGATCCATCAGGTAAATATTTACACAATTAACAAGAGAGAACGCTACAGTCGAGCAAGCCCGACAGTGTAATACCCTGTACCCAGGTAAACTTCCGTCACTGAGTTATATGCGCCCATAGCAGCAGCAAAAAGAGGAAGAAGAAGAGCGAACTTGTTGCTGCAGTTTGTGGGGTTGTACTGGCGAGAATTTGTTTCGCTAATAACTTTTCTTAGAATTGACCGAATTGAATAAAATTTTGAACAACAGTAGACAATTGTATATAAATTATGTGTGCAAAGTTTGGTTTAGGTAGCATTTGAAATGTGGACGCTATTGACGAAATTCTGTAGCGGGGGAAGGGGGGGAAAATTTCAAAAAATAAAATAAACTCGTCCTTACTCGGACCTAGGAGAATCTGGATGCCAACTTTGGTTATTCTAGCTTTTATAGTTTCTGAGATCCTCGCGTTCATCCAGACGGACGGACAGACGGACGGACAGACGGGCGGACAGACGGACAGATGGACGGACGGACATGTCTAGATCGATTTCTCTCGTCATGCTGATCAAGAATATATATACTTTATGGGGTCGGAGATGCTTCCTTCTGTATGTTACATACTTTGCACAAACCTAATATACCCTTTTTACCCTACGGGTACAGGGTATAAAAATAACTACGTAATCGCCTTTTGCGGCTACCAAGAGAATTGGCACTCCCGTAAAAAGGCAGACGAAATGATATGCAGCCGAAAACTATTACTCACAATTTGAACTTACAAATGTATATAACATACTTGTACATATATACTAATATGTACATATACATACCCAACCAACACCGAAGTTGTGCATTAAAAAAGTCTATATCGCTTTTGAAAATATCTTTATGTATTGGGGCTAGGCATTAGAACATTTTCTTTGGCATTATATTGTTATACCTTGTACCCGTAGGGTGAAAAGGTTAAATTAGGTTTGTGCAAAGTATGTAACATGCAGAAGGAAGCATCTCCGACCCCATAAAGTATATATATTCTGAATCAGCATGACGAGAGAAATCGATCTAGACACGTCCGTCCGTCCGTCTGTCCGTCTGTCCGCCCGTCTGTCTGGATGAACGCAAGGAGCTCTTTTGCTTCTGCTACTGGCGCATATACCTCAGTGTCGGAAGGCTACCTGGGTACAGGGTACTTCACTGACGGGCTTGCTCGACTGTAGCGTTCTCTATTGTTTCAATACTATAAGTATAGTGCATATAGCACATTAACAATAGCGAATTAGTAAGATTGTAAAATAATTGGCGTGTGTGTGAGAAAATATAAATTTCCCGTCCACAGACAACCATTAATTATTAATTCTATATAATTATACTCTGTACATGAAATGTACAAGAGTATATTAGGTTTGCGGGAGCTGAAAAATGTAACAGGCAGAAGGAGGCGTGGCAGACCCCACAAAGTATATATATTCTTGATCAGCATGACGAGACGAGTCGATCTAGCCCTGTCTGTCTGTCTGTCCGTCTGTCCGTCTGTCCGTCCGTATGAACACCTGGATCTCAGAGACTATAAGAGATAGAGACACCAAATTTTGCACGAAGATGCGTTATGTGTGTATTCTATACGAGTTTGTTTTATTTTTTTGATTTTCCCCCCCACTTCCCCCCTATGGGGGTTTTCCCGATTTTCCATTCGTATAATCGCCTATATCTCGGAGACTATAAGACCTAGGAACACCAAATTTTAGTCCCAGATGCCTTATGTGAATACGCAGAAAATGTATATTTTGGAATTCCCCTCCCTCCCCCCTCTACCCCGCAAATCGTAACTCCCGTAATTCTTGGAATTTCGAACTAAAATTTTGGTAATACCCCCAGTTAGTTATTATGTGTCCGTATGCCAAATTTCATTATGATAGACCGATTTACCAAGAAGTTATAGCCATAAATATATTTGCTGCTGCAGCGCTGCTCAAGCGCTGCCCGCGGCTGTTGTTGATGTTGCTGTTTGGTTGACTGCGAAAATGCTTACACAGACACGAATTGATGCGCATAGGCATACATACACTCACACAGACGCAATTGCTATGTAAATGTGCAATTATACGTGAGTTCGAATACCGAGAGAGGTAAAATCGATCAAATTTTTTTTTTTATTTTCTTAATTTTTTTATTTTCTATAATTATTGTAAACATATGTACAGAGTATTTCAAAGTCGGGACACCCGACTTTAGCTTTTTTACTTGTTGAAATATAAGTTGGCGGGTTGTTGCGACAAACTTCTTTATCACATATCTGATAAAGAAAGGTAAAATAAAAAGCATATGCCGTATAGAGAACTTCTTCCTCATTTTTATAGACGAATCGTCTTCTTAGGCCCTTTTTGTATCGTTGAAAATATTAAAACAAAAACCCTCGAAATCCAATTTGAAATCATTGCTGTACTCTTCTTCCACAGAGATCCTTGATCAGATTTTTGAATGGTGGCATCAATATGGTCGAGATAACTATCGGTTTTGGATAGGCTACTACTCCAATGTGCTGCTAACAAATCCGAAATCCTTGGAGGTAATGACTATGCATTAAATATAGTGAAAATATGTTCACATAGTCGTATGTACTTCAACATTCCTTTCAGTTCGTACTCAGCAGCAACACGTTGATACAGAAGTCAGATATCTATGATATGCTGCATCCATGGCTGGGGCTTGGACTGCTTACGAGCTCAGGCAACAAATGGCACAAACACCGCAAGATGATAACACCTTCGTTTCACTTCAATATATTGCAAGATTTTTATGAGGTGATGAACGAGAGTTCGACCAAGTTCATAGCCCACTTGAAGAATGCTGCAGCCGGCGATAACATTTTAGATTTTCAAGATTGGGCGCATTATCTGACGCTGGATGTGATCTGTGAGACGGCTATGGGAGTTCCCATAAATGCAATGGATAATAACGATTCGGCCGTGGTAAAGGCCTTTAAGGAGTATGTTTATATTCAAAATGTAAAATCCTTTTTATATTTTATTTAAATGGCGTAAACTCAACAGCATGTGCTACAACATCAACATGCGAGCTTTCCATCCCTTGAAGCGGTCTAATTTCATGTATCGCTTCGCACCCGACTACCCCCACTATGAGAAGACCTTAAAAATACTGCAGGACTTTACCAATGAGGTTATTGCCAAACGCATTGCGGCCCATCGCACTGGGGCTGTTGAAGGGTTGACGTCTAAATCTGAAGGCGATGAATTCAAGCGAAAGAAGTTGGCTTTTCTGGACACGCTGCTCTCATCCTCCATCGATGGTCGGCCATTAACGCAGCACGAGATTTATGAGGAAGTCTCTACATTTATGTTTGAGGGCCACGACACAACCACATCGGGTGTGGCGTTTGCGGTGTACTTGCTTTCCCGACACCCGGAAGAACAGGTTTGGAACTTACATTTTCTGTACTGAAAGGTCTATTAAATTTTTTAACCAGCGCAAGATATATGAAGAACAACTGGCGGTTATGGGTGACGATATGAAACGTGATTCCACCTTCCAGGAGATTGCAGAGATGAAATATCTGGATCTATTTATCAAGGAGGCACAGCGCCTATACCCTAGTGTGCCCTTTATTGGACGCTATACGGATAAGGAATATGTGATAAGTGAGGAATTTTTCTCACCCCTTGAACCTGCAATGTCTAATAAGTTCGCTTTTTAGATGGCCAAACTATACCTAAGGGAACCACATTAAACATTGGCATTGTCATCCTTGGATACGATGACCGCACATTTACGGAGCCCCATCGCTTCTGGCCCGAACGCTTTGAGTTGCAACGACCCGGCCCCTTTGAGTACGTGCCGTTCAGCGCCGGTCCACGTAACTGCATTGGTCAAAAGTTTGCACTGCTAGAAATTAAAACGGTCGTCTCGAAGATTGTGCGCTCCTTTGAGGTACTGCCCGCCTTGGATGGGCAGGAATCCAAGGATGGATATATCAATACCTATTTGGGTTTGCCACAAGCGGAAAGATTGCAGCGGGAGCAGACGCGTAATAAGTATGATCCAATTCTGTCGGCGGTGCTAACTTTGAAGTCGAAGAATGGCTTGCACTTGCGATTAAGGGAGAGGAAGTAGAATTAAAAGCTTTATTATGGTTGCTACGTTACAACAAGATTTCTACTTATTAAAAAACTCTAGTCTCACTTCAATTGATGGCCACTAGGACAGTGCCCACATGGGCATTGGCCACAAAAGCTTTGGGATCAACCAGCTCACCGTCAATATATTTGGACTGCAGGGAGGTGGTAATGACCTCCGCCTGACCACCTAAGCTATAGTACTTGGTCAGGTCGATGGTCTTATCGCTGCCGCCCAAGTTTATGACAATGACGTAAAGCTCGCTGCCAGTTTTTTGGCTACAAGGCATGGGAATGAATAATTATTATGAATAAGTATCGTACATATAGACCAGTTTATGACTTACCGCGAGTATATGAGAATATCATCATCCAGGGCCTGAATATTAATGGCGCCCTGGCGAAAAGAGGGCTCCTTACGCAGACGCACCAATTTCTTGAAGATTTGCAAATGGGACTGGGGTGCGCGCATTTGCTGCAAGGCATTGATTTGCTTGTACTCATCGGAGACAGGCAACCAAGTTTGATCTCCGCTGGTGAATCCTGTGAGGAATACAAGTATGCCAATATAGCGTGCATTCACTTGACAGACTGCTTGTTCTTTACGTACCTGCATTCTCGGAAGCATCCCACTGATAAGGCGTCCGCGCTGGATCCCGTGAGCGATCATAGTAGGTGTCTGGATCAGCGTTGCATGCATTCGGATCAACAGTGTCCTCCCAGCTAATGTAGACATCGGTCATGCCCAGCTCTTCACCGTTGTAGGTCACCGCATGTCCTGGCAGTGTTTGCAAAAGTATGTTAATCAGATCCGTGCGTTGCACCCCAAAACGAGAAGCCACACGCTTGTTGTCGTGATTTCCGAGCACCCAGTTGGCATAGACACCCGCCGGCATGGCATTTATCCACTTTTGAATATGCTCCGCATAGTCATGTGCTGTCGAGACATTGTTTATGTTGCTAAGGAAGTCAAAGTTGAAGGGCACGTGGGAGCCATTGCGCACACCATCGCCGTAAAACTTAATCATGTTCTCGAAACTGGTATAGGCTTCGGTTAGGAGTACACGCGAATCTCCGCCATGTTCCTCGTGAAAATCGTCTACTAGTTCACGCCACTGATAGATCATGTCAAATGTTTCGGGCAGATCCTGCGTGTATATGTGCTGAGTCCAGCAATGATCATCGGAGCCAGGACAGGTAGTGTCGTTGGACAGAGGCTCGTCGGGATACTGGTTATAACGATCCAGATCCACCTCGAACATATACGGCACAGCATCGATGCGGAAACCAGCCACGCCCTTGGCCAGCCAAAAGCGAAGGACGCGCTTCATCTCCTCCACCACGGCTGGGTTGCGATAGTTCAGGTCCGGCTGTTGAACCGCAAACTGATGCAAATAATACTGCTCTCGTACTTCGTTCCATTCCCAGGCGCTGTAGCGGAACTCTGAGATCCAGTTGCTGGGCGGCTCGCGTTCGCCGGTCTCCTCATTGATCTTGCCGTCGTGCCAAATGTAAAAGTCCTTGTAATCGGGGTCACCATTTACCGAGTTGATGAACCATTCACTTTTGTCGCTTGAATGGTTGGGCACAAAGTCGAGTATGATCTTGATTCCCACCTCCTTTGCACGTGCTATCATGCGCTCAAAGTCCTCCATGGTGCCATATTCGGGATGTATCTGATAGAAGTCGGATATGTCATAGCCGAAGTCCACCATGGGCGATTTGAAAATAGGTGAAAGCCAGGCGGCCGTGAAACCAATGTCCTTAAGATATTGTAGCTTCTCAGTCACGCCGTTCAAGTCTCCAACGCCATCGCCATTGGTGTCCCGAAATGATCGCGGATAGATCTGATAATAGTTGCCGTTCTCCCACCACTCGGTGCTATGTATTTGGGTGGTTCCCAGTGCCAGCACCAGGAACGCAACAACTGCATGCGTCTGCATTTTGTCAGGAATAACTGGCCCTCGAAGAGGGAACAGCTCTTTTATGGCCTGGCCCCCCACTGATAAGCTTGTCAATGCAGCAATGTCGAGTGTAGCTGTAAATTGTTGCGCAAATAGCACTAGAGAAGTATCATGCGAACATCACTTCATAGGTTTGTTAAATTTCCATTGTTTTGATTTGCTTGCCGATAGCATCTCTTCACTTCAAGTTGGCTAATTATACGTCAACATATTGGCAACACAATGTCAAGTGCCATTCATCGCTTGTAATTTCGAGTACTTCGGCAATATGTTGTTTTTTCTTTACTATAATTTTCGGAAAGATACAAAAAGTATAATACATTCGTAATGTTTGATAGTTTTCGATTGCGGAAAACTTTTTGAGTGGCAGTGGCTCTAGAGTAGTAAGCTGATTAGGCAGCTGATGGGAAGCAGTAGAAAAGAGAGTTACTCAACGAAATGCATACTTAAATGGGGAAAAACAGTTCTAAGCATGACTCATCTTTTCACAAGTTGGATTGAGTGTTGCTTCAATAATTTTTGAAGTGCAAAGATAGGGAATACTATCAATCCTGCTGCTTATTAGCCTATTTGGGAATCACCAATTCCCTTTCTCAAGATTCTTCTTGGAACTCCTCAAAGCTTGTATCTTTACTTAGATCCTCAAACAATTTAGTTTGTTATAAACTTTCTTAAAATATTATAGTGGTTGTAAGATGTGAAAAGTAAACATGAAACGGAAGCCATCTGTTGAACAAACTGTCCATTAGAGCAGATCCTTAATTAAATCCAACCTGATGCGCCTCAGTTTTGTTTTATTTCAATATGCATTTTCTAGGATAATGAAGTGCCCGAATAGGTATCTCAAAAAGCTTATGCAGATTTGAATTAAATATCCTTAAAGCAGCCAAATCTAATTTATCTAAAAGCACATAAACATTTTAACAGTCGCAGGCTTAAAAATTAGTCAAAATAAAGTCAAGTCCAACACTTCCCTCTTTTTGTCCTTTTGGCAAGGCGACAGTTGACAACTGACATTTTGGCAGGAAGTCAAGAGGACACGTGCGGTCAAAGAAAAATGTTTAGCTTCGGCTGCCCTATTTTATTGTCTTCAAAGCAAGGAAAAGTCTCTGAGCTTTAGGCCATAAAAGATTTTTATGAGCATTTTGTGATTGGGTTTGGGGAACTGAGAGGTTAATAAAAGCATTCTCATGACACTTCGCGGAGTGAACACAACTCATACAGGGTGCTTAAAGAAAATAAAAAACAAAGCCATTACTGCAGCAAAGTGTTCGCGTTTTATCATCTCCATTGGCTTGTCAGTATGGGAATTGGTGGCCATAAAAAATGCCAGATTATCTTTGCCGACGAAGGGGTCGCTATCGCCGTGTTTCTAATCGCAACATAGCTGGCAATTGTTATTAGTAAATTAAATTGCTGCCACTTGACTCAGTCGAACGCAAAGAATATGTTCACGCGCACGTTACTTGGTCTGATAACTGTGGTGGTCGCCTTATCTGCTCCAGGGGGTAGCTCGGACGTCGATTGGTGGGAGAATGCGGCACTGTACCAAATCTATCCGCGGTCCTTTCAGGACAGCGATGGCGATGGTGTTGGCGATCTGCAGGGCATTGCATCGCGTCTTGCTTATCTGAAGGAGATTGGCATTACGGCGACTTGGCTTTCACCCGTTTTTGCCTCGCCCATGTCAGATTTTGGATACGATATATCCGACTTTAAAGCTATTGACCCTGTATTTGGAACTTTGGATGATTTTGACGAGATGATCGCCAAGGCCAAGGCATTAGGCATCAAGATCATACTGGACTTTGTGCCCAATCACTCCAGTGATGAGTGCGAATGGTTTGAAAAGTCTGTGAATCGCCAGGATGGCTATGACGACTTCTACGTCTGGCACGATGGCAAACTAAACGAGCAAACGGGTGCACGTGAGCCGCCCAGTAATTGGGTCAGCGTTTTTGGTGGACCCCAGTGGACGTGGAATGAGGTGCGGCAGCAATATTTTCTTCATCAGTTTCAGGTCAAGCAGCCGGACATGAACTTCAGCAGCCCGATGGTGCGAGAGCATCTACTGGAGGTGCTACGCTTCTGGTTAGACCGCGGCGTTGACGGCTTTCGTATAGACGCCGTGCCGCATATTTTTGAGTACCGCAACGAGGACGGTAGCTATCCAGACGAGCCACTAAGTGGCTGGTCGGATAATCCCGACTCTTACGACTACCACGACCATGTCTACACAAAGGATCAGCCAGAAACGGTGCAGCTGCTCTACGAGTGGCGCGAATTCCTAGAGAAATATCAAGAGGAGCATGGTGGCGACTCTCGAGTGCTGCTGGCCGAGGCCTATTCGCCGGTGGAAACACTAAGCTTATACTTTGGAAACGGAGAGCAGCGTGGCGCCCAGTTACCCATGAACTTTCAGTTGATGTATCTTAATGGGTACTCCACGGCGTACGACGTTAAGAATTCTATTGACTATTGGATGCAGACCATGTGGGCCCAGCATCAGACGGCCAACTGGGTAGTGGGGAATCATGACACTAACCGCGAGGCCGACAGAATGGGCGCACATAAGGTTGATTTGCTCAATGTTATTGTAAATGCATTGCCGGGTGCCTCAGTTACCTATTACGGGGAGGAAATTGGAATGGCCAATGTGGCTACCGAGTGTACAGAAATCTCATGTGATGGTCGGGATGGTGAGAGGACGCCTATGCAATGGTCCCCCACCAAAAATGCCGGCTTCTCGACGGGCTCCGGCACTTGGCTGCCAGTCAGTGAAGATTATGAGCGCTACAATGTACAGACGGAAAGGGGCGTGGCACGCTCAACTCTGCAGATATTTAAAGGTCTACAGGAACTGAAGAAGAGTTCGGCCTTCCAGGCATTTAAGACTGCAGGCGGTTTCTCGTACGAGGCTGTATCCACGCACGTTTTTCAAATTATTCGGTAAGTACTATACGTTAATATTATTATTGGGCTATTGCTCAAACCTATAAGAAGAAAAAAATGGGTACAAGAGAAACTAAACAATCTTATTTCTAATTATGAGATCAGCAACTCTTCAATAATTATCATTTGTTCGTTATTGGCATTCCTTGGCATCATTTTATGTTTACTTCGTTATGATCGCCCTTTAGTATTCAAATAAAATTGCACATAGCTGGAGGAAATAAAAATAATTATCTAAAGAAATTTGAACCGAATATAAATACTTTATACTCTTTCGCAGATCTAATCAACTCAATGAGGAGTATCGCATATATGTGAACCTGGGCAATGGGATTGAGGTTCTCAATGGCCTTTCTGATAAAGTTTATGAGTTCGTTTTGCTTACCTCATACTCCCCTCGCAGGTTGGGGTAAGTAATCGATTGCTTAGTCCATTTACCCTGATTAAGCAATATTTTAATCTTTAACCGCAGCGAATTGATTGATTTGCGAGATCGATTGGTTCTTATGCCATACGAAGCCATTGTTCTACGCTGGTCAGCGTGAGTTTACTATAAATTGCACGTTTGGATTATGTTTTTGATTTTAATCAGAGTGTGGTTTTATGGCAATGCCCTGTGTTTTATTTACATAGTTTTTTGACGAGCCCAATAAAGATTACAGCTGAACAATCTCTTTGCTTTCACGTTTTACAATCATCTGCACGGCACATAGTCGCCTTATCCAGTGTGCCAAGAGGAACTTGAACTTTGAAATAATCGCTACAGTGTGAGGCCTAGTTTTTGGTTGTATTTGTTACTATTATTTACAAAATAATTTAATTTAACAACTCAGTCAGATAGTGCTGAGGACAACAGCTTCCTTTGGCAATAAAAGCACAGAGTTGGCAAAAGTTTCATCGCTGAAAAAAGGGAAGAAATAATTGGTTTTTAGATGAATTGGTGCTGGAACTTCGAACTTACTTCGTCCGTCGAATGCTCTTATCACTAACTACAACATATCGGAGTTTGGTCGAGAGCAGTGGAAAGACAGAATCCAGACTAACAGTCTCCACGTCATCGCTGACATTGATAACGGTTATGTAGGAGCTATAACCAGACAGTGAGCTGCAGAGTATTGGATAAATTAGGAACAAATAGTGTTTGGATGTGGAAATAAGTGCTTACCGTTTGATGGCCAATACGTTGGGACTGATTGCCGTGACATCCACATCTCCCTGCTTCAAGGTTGGCTCATCGCGTAAAGAACGCAACTGCTTATAGATGTTCAGATGACTAAGTGGGATGCTTCGTTCCCGCTTCACGTTGACCAGGTTGAAGTCCGTAGCTACGGGCAACCACGTATTTGGGCCGCTAGTGAAGCCGGCGTTGGCCTCGTCGCTCCACTGAAAAGGTGTGCGAACAGGATCACGTGAGAGATGAGCGAATTCTTCTTCATTCGATTGGCAGGCCTGTGGGTCTACAGTATCCTCCCAGCTGATAAACACATCGGTCATGCCCAACTCCTCGCCCTGATAGGTAACACTGATGCCGGGCAATGTGAGAAGCATCATGTTAATGGCATCAATGCGATCAGCACCTAGGCGGGAGCCAATGCGACTCTGATCGTGATTGCCCAGCACCCAATTGGCGACTTGTCCCTCCGGCATTTTGTCCAGCCAGTTATGAATGAGCTCAGAGTAGTGATAGGCATTGGAGTTGTTGTTCAGATTTGAGAGGAGCTCAAAGTTGAAGGGAATCTGCGATCCTCTGGCAGTTTCATTGCCATAGTACTGCATCAGCACGTCCAAGGGCCCATAGGCCTCGGTGAGCAGCACGCGATCATCTCCACCTAGCTCAGCGTCGATTTCTTCCATGATTTCGCGGAATATGTAGACCAATTCAATGGTCTCTGGCTGATGCGTGGTGTATATGTGATCTAGGTAGCCGTAGTCCTCCGGATCGTTGTTCCACTCGTTGCGCGGCTCATCGGGGAAGTCCCCATTTTCGTCGGCCTCGACCTCGTACACGTGTGGCACAGCATCGACGCGGAAGCCGTAGACACCTTTGCGCAGCCAGAAGCGCAGCACATCCTTCATGGCTTCGATTACCTTTGGATTGCGGTAGTTGAAGTCCGGCTGCTTGTGATGGAACTGGTGTAAGTAGTAGGCCTGTCGTTCATCGTTCCAGGTCCACTGCGAGCCCCGGAAAACACTGATCCAATTGTTTGGTGGTTCACGTATTCCATTCACGACTTTGCCGGTATGCCACACATAAAAGTCTTTATACTCTTCGTCGCCGGCAGCTGAGCGCTTGAACCACTCGCACTCATCGCTCGAGTGGTTGGGAACAAAGTCTAATATAATCTTGATGCCCAACTGCTGTGCGCGTTGCAGCAAAGCTTCAAAATCTTCCATCGTGCCGAATGTGGAATCTATTTCGAAGAAGTTGGCGACATCATAGCCGAAATCGGCCATGGGTGAGGTGAAGATTGGCGATAGCCAAGTGGCAGTCACTCCGATCTCTTTCAAATACGGCAGCTGTTGCGTAATACCTGCAAGTTTTTATGTGAGCAATTGCCGCAGATAAAGTCAAAGATTATTTGTTCACCATTTAAATCACCGACGCCATCGCCATCGCTATCCTTGAAGGACCTTGGATAGATCTGATAGAACTGTGCCGTGCGCCACCAGCCTACTTCGGCAAGCGCGGGCAGTGCCAAGGCCAACAGGCTGCACAAAGCCAATAATTTCGAAACGCCGTGCATGATCTCGACCCTATCGAACGCCACTTCCAACTGTCGATTGCGTTGCGGATTAGTTGATACTTCTATTTATTGGCAAGCGCCACGACGCATCGCACCTCATCGCACCACTGATTAGTTAAGGCCAAGATAAGCCAGATAAGATGCCTTGGTGTAGGTATTGCCCAACGAATAGTTGAACATGATTTATGACCCATACGTGCTCCCATATACTCGTACATACGAGTAGTACACACATTCACAGAAGCTATGCCCAAGGAGGCCAGAAATTAAGCTAATAAGGCACCGGTTCAGCTATAAATTGCAAAATTTATCGCGGCTTGCTTTGTTGATTTCTTATTTTAAGATCAGATTGGTATTTCCCTCTACTCCTATGTGCTGCATATTTATTTATCATGTTATGACTGTGATCCAATATCTTATCTGTGAATTGGTGGCAGTGATATAAGCCGCCCGCCTGATTGTTTAATGGAATTCAAAATTTATTACTTTGCTTCCTGCTGGGGGTATTTACCAAGAAAACTGAATATATTCGAATATTGAATGACCTCTTCAAGTAAGAAAGCTAAAATGCTGAAAAGTTGCTTCGACAGAAAAGCTGAAATAAAATAAAATGAAAAATAAAATATTATGTGTACAAGTATAAAATCGTATTTTTCTCCCAAAAACAAGTAGGTGAAATGATAATACAAGTATAGTACTTGTTTATACAACACACACAATTATTTACTTCTGCAATGATTTGAAATTCTGGACAATAATGTGCCTTCTCTGAGCATACTTATAAAAATTATTTGCAAATATTGTTTTTCATATTTTTTGTTACCACACAAGCTTTATCCACTTGAGTTCATCATTTTAAAGAAATAATCAGAAAAAAATTTACTGATTGTAGGTAAACCGCTCGACTTAACCCTTTTTCTATTGAGTATAGTATATCATTTCAATTGGGATATTAACCAGAGGCCCTATTCTTATCACTTTCTTTTCTGTTATTTGTCAGCTACCGCATATATTTCAACAACCTATCCCAACAATCGTAACCTTATCGGGCAAAAGGTGTACGCAGCGAATCCCATAAATCTTCGGAGTCGCTCCGGGCTTAGTCCATTTCTAATTTTGAATACAATTAATACATTTTGTTTTATTGCAACACTCATAAAGATAACTCCCTGTGTGGCAGCTATAAAAGCCCGTTTGAGCAACACACGCTTCTTAGTTAGAAATGACGAAGTTCTTGGGAATAGTCTTCCTGCTGGGCTTGTGCCTCTTGGTCGCCGATGCTGCCACGCCGTGGTGGAAAACGGCCTCCTTCTATCAGATCTACCCGCGCTCATTCAAGGACAGCGATGGTGACGGTGTTGGCGATCTGAAGGGCGTTATGGAGAAATTGGAATACCTGAAGGAGATTGGAGTAACAGCCACCTGGCTATCTCCATTTTTAAAGTCACCCATGGCCGATTTTGGCTATGATATTTCTGATTTTACTGATATTGATCCGCTCTTCGGCACCATGGAGGACTTCGAGGCCTTGATGGCGCGTGCCAAGCAACTGAATGTGAAAATAATTTTAGATTTTGTGCCCAATCATTCGAGTGATGAGTGCGACTGGTTTGTACGATCTGCTGCCGGTGAAGAAGAGTACAAGGACTATTATGTGTGGCATCCGGGATTTATTGAGAACGGCGAACGTCGTCCGCCCACAAACTGGGTTAGCGTGTTCCGTGGCTCCGCCTGGGAGTGGCATGAGGGGCGCCAGGAATACTATTTGCACCAGTTCCACAAAAAACAACCTGACTTCAATTTTCGCAATCCCAAAGTCCGTGAGCAAATGAACGATGTCCTTCGCTTTTGGCTGGCCAAGGGAGTCGACGGGTTCCGTGTCGATGCCATCTATCACGCCTTTGAAGTCGCACCTGATGCCAATGGCAATTATCCCGATGAGCCGCGTAATGATTGGACTGATGATCCGGATGAGTACGGCTATACACACAAGATTTATACCGTCGATCAGCCAGAGACGCCCCATTTGGTGTACGAGTGGCGTAAAATTTTGGAACAGTTCCAGAAAGATAATGGTGGCGATGAGCGGTAAGGTGCACTTAAATCGTCTGTAAGATTCATTCTAACTCGAACTATTTCCCATTTCAGCGTACTGATGGTGGAAACTTGGTCGCCGATTGAGATCGTCATGCACTATTATGGCAATGAAACGGCGGAGGGGGCTCAAATACCCTTCAATTTCCAATTGATAAGCAACCTGCACCGCGATTCCGATGCGTATCACTACGAGTATTTGATTAACAACTGGCTGTCACTGATGCCGGCGGGCAAGAGTGCCAACTGGGTGGTAAGTATTGACAGCGGCAGCAGATTAGCTGACATCAATATTTCACTTTTCAATTGCTTTTGGTCAGATTGGGAATCACGATAAGAATCGCGTAGGTTCGCGCTTCGGTGCCGAGCGCATTGATCTCTTCAACATTTTGTTGCTCACTCTCCCCGGCTGCAGCATCACCTACAATGGAGATGAGTTCGGTATGTTGGACGGTTACGTTTCCTGGAAGGACACTGTGGACCCGCAGGCATGCAATGGCTATGAAGAGAACTACATGGCTATGTCACGAGATCCAGCGCGAACCCCTCTTCAATGGAGTGATGAGTTCATGGCTGGCTTCACCTCCGGCAGCTCCACATGGCTGCCGATTGGCGAGGACTACAAGTCCGTAAATGTGAAGCTGCAACGCGGCGTCCCCCTCAGTCATCTGAATATTTTCAAGCGCCTGCAACAGCTTCGCGCCGAGCCGGCTATTCAGCAGGGAGCTGCTGAGATCAAGGCAATCAATTCATATGTGCTGGGAGTGAGGCGGTGAGTGCCTTTTTTAAAAATGCCGATATCGACCAGTGCTCTATCGTCTATCTTTATTTATAGATATCTCAGTGGAAATTATGTCTACATTTCGCTCTTCAACATATTCGACTCCATTGAGAATGTGAACTTGAACGCCGTCTTCGCGGGTCTGCCTTCAACGTTCCAGTACGCTTTGGTCACCAGTAGATCCATCAAGCAGTTGGGAGACCAAGTGTCTGCTAGTAGCGTAACTCTCATGCCCTACGAGTCCGTTGTTTTAAAGTCCACAACGATATTGTAAGGGCAGCTCGCGATCCAAATACCATTACATACACACATACTATACATACATATATACCTCAATAAATCAGTTTAATGTACAACCGACGGCATACATATAAGTATGTATGTATGTAAGTAAGGATGATAAGGAAATTTCCATACGGGTTTCTTTATGTCTTTAAATGGCCATAGAAAAATATTGGAAAAAATATACCGTGAGGATATGTATGTACATATATTACATATTTATATTGGCAGTTTTCACGATAAATAGCCGCATTTGTTGTATGTACATACAGAAGGACATACATATGGATGTATATATGTATGTACATACAAAGCTCGTCTTAAGCTCAATAACAGGCATAAAAGAGAGAATATTAAACAACTTTTTTCCAGCTTTTATCAAGTCGCAAAAGAGAACAAAGTGTAAATGAAATAAACGCATAAAGCAAGGGAAAAAATATTTAGAAAATATAAATATGTATTTATGCACATACATATACATAGATACATACATCTGTATGCATACTTCTATATGCCCGCATTTGCCGTGCTTTAATAAAAATAAGAAAACCGTCCCATGTTGCGATCCATAAAAGTAAAAGCAAAAAAACCGAGCACGTAAGAAGCAAAGTTAAGTTTTAACAAAATACTATTGCCGGCTGTATTAAATAAATTAATTATTTGCTTTCCGCAACTGTTCCAAATCTTGCTAAATTAATTTATGTGCATATGTAGTATGTATGTATGCACATGTGCAGTTCATCAGAAAACTCGGAGCAGTTTTACTTCCCCAATAAGTTGCGGCTGCTGCTAATCGGCCCTTAGCCATTTTAAATGTAATCAGAAAATGACCGAGGAACAAAATACAAATAAACGGTAGATATTCCTGAATACCGGCCGTTTGGTGAGAGATCAGTGCATGAGCGGGCGACTAACGGGAGATCACGAAGCGAAATTGTGCTCACAAGATTCGAAAGAGCTGAACATGTGAAGCCTACAGTAGTTGCTAAATATTTTTCTAAAAAACGTTGCACAAGCCATGAACATGTTGTGAGACATAAATGCAATGCATAAATTAAAATATTTAAAATGTGAACCACTTCACCAAATTGTGTTTGCCTCTTGAAATTTATTAGAATATGAAAGAATTCAATGAATTATTTGTATTTATGTGTGCCCTCTAGTATGATTCAAACATGCTGCAATGTTGTGTAATATGTAATAAATTAATGTAAATATGTGGAATAAGGATTCAATGCAGATATTAAACATAGAAAAAAAAAGTATTTATTTGCAAACTTTTAGCTAACAGTGTGCCATCGTTGAACATACATTTGCACACACTTTTATGCATAGTACGTACACATGTATAGATATGTAGTGAATGAGATATGTTTAGCAAGTGCAGTGCTCTCCCTCTCCCTATGTTCAGCAAGAGCATTGCTCTCCCTCTCAGACGAGCGCTCTTCACAAGTGGGGGTCGGTCGTGCTCCCAAATGCTCGCAACACTGATTAAAAATAAAATAAAGCGGTCGGTGTGTAAAGCAACACAGAAATTTACATAAGCCCGAGCATTGAGCGACGGGCGTCCCAGTCGCCTTTGTTTGTTTGCTGATCCAACAGCCGACTCTGCGAAATTCCGTTTGCTATTTTCTTTTCGCTTTTTGATCGAGAGACGGAAAATGTACCGCTTGGCGGCATTTCTGCTCCAGTGCCTGGCACTGGCTTCCGCCGGTGTTTATCCCAACTACCACGCCGACTTCGTGGACGGAGATGTGGAAATTGAGATGCGCCAACAGCAAATGAAATGGTGGCAGGCTGGAACATTCTATCAAATCTATCCAAGGTCGTTTAAAGACAGCAATGGCGATGGCGTGGGCGATCTAAATGGTGAGGCACGGAAATAGCCGCAGTTGTGAATGAAATAACTCTTACAAGTGTCTTTTGGCTCTAGGCATTACTGCGAGTCTCCCGTACCTCAAGGAGCTGGGCATCACAGCCACTTGGCTCTCGCCCATATTTACATCGCCTATGGCAGATTTTGGCTATGATATTGCCAACTTTACCGAAATCGCGCCCATCTTTGGCACCATGGCGGACTTTGAGCAACTGATGCGAGCTGCCAATGAGCAGAACATCAAAATCATTTTGGATTTTGTGCCCAATCATTCGAGCGATGAGTGCGAGTGGTTCAAGCGCTCGGCAGCCGGTGAGGAAAAATACAAGGACTATTATGTTTGGCATCCGGGACATCTAGTAAATGGCACACGGCAGCCGCCCAGCAATTGGATCAGCGTGTTTCGAGGCTCCGCCTGGCAATGGCACGAAGGTCGCAAGGAGTATTATCTTCATCAGTTTGTTAAAAAGCAGCCCGACTTGAATTATCGCAACCCCAAAGTCCGAGAAGCGATGCAGGTGAGTTGTTCCTTTAAGCCCATCATGGGTCGTCACTAGCTAAGAAGTATGTTGGTTATCTTCACATTCAAATAAGTTTGATAATGCAAACAAATGTTTGTTATTCCCAAAAAATACACAAGAAGCACTTTGTAAATACGATAAAGTATGAGGGTTGCATTTCAAATAAAAAAATACATAGTGAGTCATGTTAGAACGCAATCAAAATTGGCTGGTTCCACAGACGAAGTTATTGTCTTTGTTCCAATTTGAAACCCCATTTTGTATTATCGTTGTCTAGAACAGAAAATCGAGTGTTTACAGTTCGTCTGAAAGTGATAAGCGTATTTGGTTGAAACAATGATCTCCAATGTCTATGACCTTATCTTTGACGTTGGATTATGTTTTCCACACTTGCTAATCAACAGAATGTGCTGCGCTTTTGGCTGGCAAAGGGCGTGGCTGGCTTTCGGATCGATGCTGTGCCGCACGTCTTTGAGTTAGCCCCGAATTCTGAAGGCCAATATAAAGACGAGCCGCGCAACGATTGGGTCCATGATCCCGATGACTACGGTTATCTCCAGCACATTTACACTGTCGATCAGCCAGAGACCATTGCTCTGGTCTACGAGTGGCGAGCTGTGCTCGATGAGTATCAACGTCAGCATGGCGGTGATGAGCGCATATTACTCGCTGAGACCTATTCACCCATCGATATAGTGATGAAGTACTATGGAAACGGAACGGCGGAGGGTGCACAGCTGCCATTCAACTTTCTGCTGATTAGCGAGCTGACAAATGCATCGAACGCAGAGGCATATGCGCAAACGGTGCGCAAATGGCTGGATCATATGCCAGAGGGGCGCACAGCTAATTGGGTGGTAAGTTTGGCAAAACCTCATTAGTCTATATAGCGAATAACTTTCGACTTTTCCCCAGCTGGGCAACCATGACAAGCCCCGCGTTGCCTCTCGTTTGGGCACGGATCGCGTGGACATGCTTAATATGCTGACGGCCACTTTGCCAGGCGCCAGCGTTACCTATCAGGGGGAAGAGCTGGGCATGACTGATGTGTGGATCTCTTGGAATGACACTGTCGACCCATCGGCCTGCAACACTAATCCCAATATCTATGAACAGTACACACGTGATCCGGAACGCACACCTTTTCAGTGGAGTGCTGACGAGGATGCTGGCTTTAGCAATGCCAGCAAGACTTGGTTGCCTATCGCCAAGGACTACAGAGAGGTCAATGTGGTTGAACAACGCAAGGATCCTCAGAGTCATCTCAATATCTACAAGCAGCTAATACAGCTGCGCCACAACGCTAGTACTTTGCAACTAGGAGCCACCGAGGTAAAGGCTCTCAGCGGTGCAGTCCTAGCTGTGAAGAGGTGAGTGCGAACTAAATACAAACACTAATACAATAACCAACTTCTTGCCTCCTCACAGATCCCTGTTGCATGACTATACCTATTTTACCGTTCTGAACATCAATGATGGCACAGAGACAGTCAATTTGCAAGAGAGCTTCGAAAATCTACTCCCCCAGCTAGAAGTTGTCTTGGCCACAAGTCAATCCAAATCAAAAGCAGGGTAAGTAAAACCTATATTGTATACTAGTGTAAATTATACCTTTTAGAGCACACACATACTTAACTTCTTTTTGCTATGAGTTACTAAGAAGGCGTAAAATTTATCTTGTGTATTATTATTTTAACGATTTTTTGTTCGTTTTAGATTTCTTTGTTATTCTTTATTAGGTCAGAGGTTCTCTGTAAAAGATATTTGATTTTTTGGTAGAAAATAAATTGATTTTCAGGAGCTACGACCCGTGATAGGTCAACATACCGTAAAACATTGCTTTCTTATGCCGATCCCTACTAATTCGAAGGCTTGGCCTTGGGACTACAGGAAATTGAAGTCATATAAATGATCAAATAGGATCATCGGTATCCTCGTTATATGAGCTAGTGGACCAGTTGCTGGGCCGTTGATAATAGTTGCTACACTTAAATTGTCCTGCAATTCCTTAATAAGCATTGCACATGCTTGGAAGGCTTTAATTTCTCAAAAGCATGATTGCAATTCCGAATTTTACCGTCAATTCATGTGGCGGCAGTCCAGAAGGGCTTAGTGAATTTAAATGTCTTCTATATTAATCACGGTGTCGATCGACTTGTAATTTTTTATTTGGCTGGGGGCTTTTGAATAATATTGCCTTAATATTTAAAGTGACAATGTTTCGAGGACTAACAGCATGCTATTCAGGAGTTTTTTAGGGTAATTTTTGTACACCTTTGGTTACATTATTGGCGTTTTAGTAAGGATTCCATTCTTTGTTGCAATTATAATATAGCCCATGCTCACCGTCGATAGCTACACTATCGATAGCTACGCGATAGCTACACTATCCCAACAGTGAAAGAATCCATTAAATCGGTCCAGTAGATTCGGAGCCTTTTCAATTCAAACAAACAAACAAACAATCAAATCTTTCCTCTTTTTAATATTAGTATAGATATAAATCTGTATATATAGTACACATATAGTATGTAAGTAGTTTTCAGGGTAACCACTTATTTATTTATGTCATCGTTGGAATTTATTTTCCCCATCTTATATAAACCTCTCAGTATACATTCTTCAGAAATAGTTCGATGATTACTTCCATAGTTCTGTATTGGATACTTTTAAATTATTTATAGGGACATTGTTGATGTTACTGCTTTAAGTCTGTTGCCAAAGGAGGCCTTGATACTGCGTACAACCGGCAAGTTAGCTACCGCATCGGGCTACTACACATATTATACCTCTGGAAACTCCCGTCACATGCCTGTGATTGGCATCTATACGCTCCTGACTGAAGTGGCAGTGCTTCTGAGTTATCTCAGCTACTTAGCGGTATAAGCATCTCAGAATCAATTCTATTCAGTCAATTAAATATATACTTAAAAACTGACAAAGCACTTTAGTCTTATCTTATTGTAGTCACGCAATATAAAAAGCCCCACTGTGTCTTTAGCCACACAGTCACTAAAAATGGGTCGAAACGATCTAACATTAACTCTCCTGCTGCTTTTCTGCCTCCATGCGTCCATTGCCTATGGGGCAGTCATCGATCCTGAGCCAAGGGCTTCCACGTCGAATACCGCTACTCGCGACTGGTGGCAGGTCGCGCAGTTCTACCAAATATATCCGCGCTCCTTCAAGGACTCAAATGGTGATGGTATTGGCGATTTAAAGGGCATAGTTTCGCAGCTGGACTATTTGCAGGAAATAGGTGTTACGGCAACATGGCTGTCTCCAATTTTCAAATCGCCCATGGTTGATTTTGGGTACGATATTTCCGATTTTTTCGATATACAGGATGAATATGGTACACTGGACGATTTTGATGAGCTGGTGGCTGAGGCGAAAAAACGCGGACTGAAAATCATCTTGGACTTTGTGCCCAATCATTCGAGTGATGAGAATGTGTGGTTCCAAAAATCGGTCAAACGCGAAAAGGGCTACGAGGATTATTATGTGTGGCACGATGGCTATGTGAACGCTGAAACGGGAGAGCGAGAGCCGCCCTCTAATTGGCTTCAGGCATGGCGTGGCAGTGCCTGGGAGTGGAATGAGGAGCGCCAGCAATACTATCTGCATCAATTTGCCGTCCAGCAGCCTGATCTGAACTATCGGAATCCGGCAGTCGTGGCTCAGATGAAGCGCGTTCTCAGCTACTGGTTAGATCGTGGAGTAGCCGGTTTCCGAATTGATGCAGTTCCCTGGTGCTTTGAGGTGCTGCCAGATGCCACTGGTCGCTATCCTGACGAGCCCTTGAGTGGTTACACGGATGATCCAGATAACGAGGCATATTTGCGCCACATCTATACACAAGACCAGCCGGAAACTGTGGACATGGTGTATCAGTGGAAACAGCTTCTGGACGACTATCAACGCGTGCATGGTGGCGATACCCGCGTGCTAATGATTGAGACCTACTCCGGCTTAGATTATGTGATGCAATTCTACGGAAATCGTACCAAAAAGGGCGCAGAGGTTCCATTCAACTTTCAGTTCATAGTCGGCGGCAATGGCGACAAGAACAACACACAGTTGACAGCGCCGGGCTTTGTGAAGATCATACGCAGCTGGCTGGACAACATGCCTGCAGGCAAAACCGCCAATTGGGTGGTAAGTTCATGGACCTTTTGTTACACCTTCGTATTTGCTAAGTAAAGTACCACTTCAGATGGGCAATCACGATCAGCGTCGCGTGGGCAGTCGTTACGGGGAGGAGCGTATAGATCTTATGAACATGCTCCAAATGTTTATGCCGGGAGTGAGCATCACCTACATGGGCGAAGAACTGGGTATGACCGATCTCGACATTAGCTGGGAAGATACTCGAGATCCGGCTGCGTGTAATTCAAATTCAAGCATATACGAGCAATTCACGCGCGATCCCGGTCGTACGCCCTTCCAGTGGAGCTCCGAGGCAAATGCAGGATTCTCCAGCACCAGCAACACGTGGCTACCCATCAATCCCAACTATGTGACGGTGAACGTGGAAACCGAAGCTGCCAGTGACTCCAGTCACTTGAGTATCTACAAACAGCTGTCGCAGCTGCGTAAGTCCAAGACCCTGCAATATGGAAGTGTGAGCTACGCCTCCATTGGCGATAATGTATTGGCTATCAAGCGCTCGCTGAAGGGGGAGCCGAGCTACGTGCTGGTGGCCAATGTGCTCGGCATCAGCAGTGTCAATGTGGATGTGGCCAGCGCAGTGCGGGCCACGGGCAACTATAAGATCAAGGTTCTTAACCCGAGTGCCAAAAATACTGTGGGGTAAGTGTCAAGAATATCTTGCAATGATTTAGCTTAATTGCGCACTTTCCTTTCCTTTATGTGCCTGCAGCGCCAGCGTCACATTAAACAACTTATCCCTGGAGCCTTACGCAGCTTTTATTGTGGAGTCTGATTGACGTGGCCAAAAATATGACCACAAATATACGTGAGGCTATGGGGGTCGAATATCAAAGTCATTTCACAAAATATGTGCTTCATTAGAGAACTTTTCAATTTGACATGAACTTATTGTAAATTTCAAAATATATTATATACACGTTTATGTTCGCCATGAGTGCAGTCCCAAAAAAAAGAAATAAATTACATTAACCATGATTAATAAGTCAAACAAATTACAGTAACGCACACACACAAAACTTGGGGAGGCAGAGACTTATTCGTAGTCGGCATCCCGTCAGTAGCCGCGTTGTTCTTTTCAACGGAAATCAATAATTTCAAAGGCGAACAAGCCGGACTCCAAAATGCTCTTTACCCAACAAAAAAAAATACATCTGTCATTGTGCGTTGTTTAACGAAGGGAAGGTATTAGGTATACTTGTAGGTTCGGATTGGAAAAAGAATATATAAGAATATATATTATATCAATTTTTGTAATATATGGTCTTTATAGTATTTGTTTATGTTTATGTTTCGAAATTTTAATATCCTTCATGGATCTTCAGGACATGGATTTTTTGGACATCCGCTTTAATTTTTGCTTGCCACAATTGACTGAAACTCATTTTAAAGACTAAAATTTATTTTTGCTATTTATTCGCTGTAATTTTAAATTTTAATTTAAGTGTCTTCTTAATTCTGCAGCTTATGTTGTCAACACTGACAAGTTTCGAGTTTCGATGCCTACTTCTTCCTATTACATACTTTTCGCCAATTTAATATACTCTTTTTAACCTTCGGATACAGGGTATAGAAATGATGGTGAGTTATTATGAGGGTCCACTTTTGCACAATTTACTCAAAACACAAGCACAGCCAACACATTTTCAACAGTTCTGGCAGAAATTTATGCGAATAAATCGCATGAATCACAATGTATGCGAAATGGTCAGCAATGGGTGACTATTTAAGGAATAGTAGTATGTATTTTATTAATAGTTTCCAATAGTTTCTATCTCTGAATCATAGGCTTCACTTCTGACCCAAGAATAGTAAAATATACAAAGTATGTACTAATATTTTTAGCAATTTCTGAATTGTAGCGTAAAGCCACATTCGATAATCTGATTCTTATACATATTTTCTTTACATACACATACATACATATTCAAATGTGTTCTATGTACTTTTTTCCAAATAAACGACAAACGTTCGAATCTGCATTGGAGCCAGTTCAATAATAAATTTGGTATCATCATCTCCACTTAGAGGGGATTTCTTAATAGTATTTGACGGTTTCTCCCTCTCGAAAGGTTCCCTTTGAGTTTTCCGTTTCAAACGGTTGCTTTCCGCACCCAATTCGCCGGCTGGTAATGCCTCGTCCAAATATTTAGTCGCAAGTAGGGGCTTCTGAGCACTCAGTAAATGCACTTCCTTGACGGATTTCGCAAATATGGCATAGTTATTGTAGGAATCATCTTCTTCGGCGTCTGGAACAAATTCCATGCGATGCGTGTCGTAGAGCCAAGCATTGCCATCCAGAGTGGTTTCCCGGATGTCTTCAATGTTGAAGGTATTCAATATATCATTAATATTAAACTGAACCGTCTTTGAAAGGAGCGGGTCCTCATCTTTCTCCAATATATGTTCAAAGCGCACAAGCAACTCATTTTCATGCCAAGGCTCTAGGGTCAGCAAATGAACTTGTTCGGGCAATGCGCGCGTAATACCTGTATACTATTGAAAGGTGATCATTTGATTAGAATTTAAAATGGAAGTGAATAAAAATACTCACGATATTCTTGAAGGAAGTGCGCCACTCATCGACTGTATATGCAGACATGCTACTAAAGAACCTCCATGGGGGCAAGAGAGTCTCCAGCTGGGTCTGTCGCTCAATAGCCTTCTGGATAGGTTGGCCATAAATTAAGTGCAACTTGCCCCGGGCTATTAGACCATCTCCGTACTCAGTTTCATTGAGGGGCTCCCCCACTCCAAACGCATCATCGTGGAGCAAACGCCGGTGTACCATGAGCTCAAGGGCTCCATCCTCCAGTGAGCTACCACCTTGAGCTCGGTCTGTAAGAATCGCCATCCGTGCTGTGTCATCTTCGAGTGCAATTTTCGTTGTGACCGGGTAATAGTTTCCAGCAATTTTTTCGTGCAGCTTTAGATTCCAAGTATCTCGATGGTCCCGTTTGCGCTTTATCATTTCTCGACCATTGGAGTCGGTGTAGAAGACGCCATTTGATTGTATATCCGACTTGAAACGTGTAACAATTTCCTTTCCTTTGCGATCTCCAATAGGAATGGGTCCGACCAGCCATTCGAACTCCGCGTAGGGTTTGTCGCGATACACGCGAACAACCTGACTTATCCAATCATTAAACTTTTGGTGCACTTCCTCCACTAAATGTCCCTTATACACCTCCACATCCACTTGAGTAGCAACGGCATAGACTTTGTTGTCCAGTGGGCGGAAAATGTAGGCGCCTGATGAACGGTTCAGAAATTCTTCATTGTTGCCAATAGCACCCACATAATACAAGAATTCCTGACTAATTGTGCGGGCCATCCCATCCGCTTGAATCTCTGTTAGGAATCCATTCGTATCAAATAGAAGTTGAAGATCCTAACAAAAGTATGTGCTTATACAATACACGAAGATAAATCTGTTATATTTTTCTCTTACTTTGTTTCCAATACTGATAAGACTTGATGTTTTTCTTGGCGCGGATGAGGGATTCATATGTCCTCTGTCAGTATCGCTCTTTTGCACATAGAACGTCTTGTAACCAACAGGCGGCAGATCAGAGGCCAAAAATATTAACTCATACTTAGCCACTGAAGCGCGATGCTTTATTTTGGAAACACCCGCAGGCACAGGCACTACTTGAGTGTTCAATTCAGCTCCTGAAATTATTATTATTAAACTCAAATAGATTGGAACAGAGGCTGATGCAAAAATAATACTTACCATTGTAATCAGTCACGACATAGTTGTAACCGAGCACTGGCACTCGCACATACTCATTGGCAGGGTGGGCGAGGGGATTATAGAGAGTTATGGCAAAAGGCTCGTTCGACTCAGACACAGAGCAACTGCTTATGTTTAGCAAAGAACAGCTTTTGAATTCGAATGGGTAGGCTGACCGCCGCCTCCTTCCGGGCTGTGCGCCTTCATTTGTGGACAACTGGTTTAGCACCGATCTCGTATTTGTTCCACAAGCCCTGAAAGCCACACTCATTCGCTTGGCATAGTCCAGGGCAACTTTTTGCTTCTCGGTGCCAGTCACCGCATCGTGGTGCTGCATTATGCCCATTGTTTCGCGCATGAATGTCAAGTGTGGTTCGAATGGAGCCGCTTTCTTCGGAGCCAATGCACTCAGCTGCTTGCAGACCTGCAAGAAGTGGTTTCCGTCCCGCTCGTACCGCTTCAGTGTGGGGCGCGAGGTGAAGTAGCCGGTCCAGTATGCATGTGGGTCGGAGGCATATGGGAAGAAGTCGTCGCTCTTGGTTGGCCAAGTGATGCCGGCGTCGTGCAAAGACTTAAGATAGCATGACGGCGTGGAGTAGAGCAAGTGGATATTCGATCCATTTGCTTGTCGCTCATTTGCATACCTGTATAGGATAGCAGCATTAGTAGGCATACTTTCTGAGAGAAGGCTATGGTGCTTGCTCGGCAAGTGCCTGTGGTGACTGTAGTTAGGAAAAGTCCTTTGGGTCTACTCACTTAATTAATTTATCCAAATTTTTATACCACATATCGGCATTTTGGTAATTAAAATCCTCACCCATTGTAAGTAGTAAGTTGGGCGTGCGATAACTCTCGGCCATCCGGGTAACAAATTTAAAGAATGTGTCCACCTGAATACAAGGCAGCGAGTCAAGATTATTTCGTATATGGTGCAAGCAGTTAGTATTAGTTGAGCAGGGTGCGGACTTTTCCTAACTATGTGTTTGCCACCAAGCCAATGCGATGCACGCACAAGCCTTCAATTTCGAATTACCGTATAAGCTTGTCGAGATTCTTATAATAAACAGAAGCGGCTTGGTAGGTGAAATCGCCGCCCATCGTTATTATGACATTATTGGTACGATAGTATCGGCTTTGTTTATTCACGTACTTCAAGAACGTATCAACCTGGCACAGTTGCGAGTAATACGATTATAGGCGAAACAGTGACAAATTCGCGTAGAACAACCACACGGCAACAAATTGTCTTCTTACCCGTTCTTTTACATTGTTGTCTGGACTGTGTTTGCCGTCAATAATTGGCTGATCAGCGCACAGTATGTCAAAGCAGAAACCTGCTGGCGCCTGGTAATTGTTGAAAAGAGCTCCAGTAAATAAATCCGATGTCTCACCTAAATTAAATGAAGTCCAATTATAATGAACACTTCAGCACCATAATTCTTCCATACCCAAATTGGCTGAGCCATGCCAAATCATTTCTGGAGTCTTTGTCATTAGGCGGTTGTCCTTATCCTGGTAGTCGAGGCGGCCGAAAAACATTCCATCGAATCCCATATTCGCAAACATGGATGCCATCTCCCTTGAATGCCCAAACGGATCGATTTGCCAGCCAACGCGTGGTCGGCCACATTCTCCGAAGGTGTCGTTCAAGCGTCTGCGATTGAATTCCTCCTATTATTTTGCTCACTAGGGAGAGGGGTACGTACCTTAATCCCCATGCGAATTGATCGATGACACTCTGATAATGTGTCGTTGCCTCATCGTTCATACTCCAGGCGCCGCCAATAAACTCGAGCCTTCCCTCATTCACCAGCATTTTCACCTTCTCCTGCAGCTCTGAGGTTTGCTCTCTCCACCATTTAAAGAAAAACGCCGACTCGACATATATGAAGCGCTTGTTGGGATCTCTCAGTAGGGCGTCTACAACTGAGTCTATAATGTACTGCACCCCAGCCTTCTGGATGAGCGTTTCACTGCCGTAATAGTATTGATCCACAGTCTTCAGCCATCCCACATCATCATGCGTATGCGGTATAAGGTGGACATTCAGCATATTTGGTTTTGTTGGGTGACAGCTCTAGATTAGATATAGGAGTACATGGAGAAGTATTATCAAGTAGGAAATAGGAAGATATGTAAAAATATAGTTTGAGGAGTAGAACGTTAGGGTCACTCGCTTCAGATTCTTGACGTGTACTCGACACCGCAGTAATAAATCCATGAACCATGAAGATTTAAACTTTAATTGGGGCCAAAAGGGATCACAATTTGCACAGCAACTATTCTTGTACTTAGGCGATAAAGGCTCATACTATATTGCTTCGTTACTGATAAATTAAACGAATTCGGGACTGGCTGTTAAAAAAATCATGTAGTTATGGCAGTTATATGAAGGCTGATTGCCTAATGTATATATTGCTTGTAAAAACCTTTCTCTGTGAACAGATATATAAGGTAGATGTCATATTCTGACACTCGGACATATCCAAGTACAGTCCGTCATGCCTCTCATATTGTATTAAGATAACCTCAGCATTGCTGAAGCTTTGAAAAAAATATCGCAGGCCTTTTAGTCTGAGACTGTACTTCAAAAATTAGATATTTGCTCATCAGGTTCTATATAGTAGAAACTAAAAGGAAGAAGAGTACAAAATGAGAGTGTACGAAAATGTACGAGTTCACACAAATTCTGGAACTCCTTCGTGGTTTATATTTTTAATGGGGAACAAATCTGGTTTTGAATTTGGCCGACCAATCTAAACAGAGATTTATTCAAATGTATTGTAACCTACGACCTTTATTTTTTTTATTGAGTAATTAAATTAGTTAGGGTTTAAAAAACGACATCAGGAAACAAAAAATATTAAAAAGCCATACCAAATGCAATATTTATCACTTTTCTGTTTCAATTTGTTTTTCCGAAAATCAATTTGGAAAGGTTTTCTGAGTTGAATTTGAACCAACACATATGGAAATAGTAGCGGGCGATCGCTGACAAACAGTACCTTCACAGAGACAGAGTTCAATTGATTATCTTATGTACAAGTACATACACACATCAGTGTGTTGGTATGCGAGTCACAAAGCCGGTGTTATCAATTTATTTAAAAACACAGTGCCTGTATATGTGAACTGCGAGTATACATATATGCATGTAGGTCAATGTGTAGTACATATGGACTTATCGAATGTAGGAACCACACACTTTCTTTGTTACTTACCTCGTAGCCGCACCGCGGGTCGTCTGTTGTTATCGGGTCTTCCCTAATGCTAGGACGTCCCTCGACTAGGCCTATGACACACACTAACAAACAGAATAATGGCCATCTGCAGGCAACTTTTTCGGACATGGCGCCCTCTTTGATTTGTATTTGCAATCCAAAGACTTTCAATTGTATTTGGTTTCCGTCTATAATATAAACTTCTTGTTGAATATCATCAACCGACCGCTTCGGCGAATGAATACGAACTGAGCTAAGGCCCAGGTTGGCTCAACCTCAGCTCGTTGTGTGGACAAACGGACGCTCAGTTTCGAGTGAGTGAGAACAGTTCTGAGCATACACACTACATACATACAAGTACATATGGTTATTCAAATGAGAGAACAGAGAGACTTATACAAGTATGTACTATCTCTAATGCATACTATGCATATGTATAAGTGATCTTGTAAATTACTTACGCAAAACAGCTGACCACAATCGGAAAGCTGAGCTGCTCTCTGAGAGGCGGAGGCAGTAATTACACACACACATACATATGTAACTGCAAGTGTCAGATTTTATTCAGAGATAAAAAAGTAAAGAAAACCTTTTTGAAATTAAATCGCGTGCACATTGTATGCCATACTAGGTGCACTGAGCAAAACATGCCCGCATTTTTTAAATATACTTGTATTTTTTTATTTCAAAAGTTTGAATTGAATTAAATAGTTTTAAGTAACAACAAACAAGTACGCATTTGTTTTTGTTATAAGAAATATCACATAAGCGTGTCATATCATATCGAATGATCAAGATCTGATTAAGAATTTACATAGACATAACTTTTGCGATAGTGGATTATGGGATACATTAAGTTTCGTATGTCTAAACCATTTTATTTGTTTACCAACTATATTACTTTCATGGCTTACTAAATCCCATATATAGGTTTGGACTTGTTGTGTTTTTATGTACTTTTTGCCAAATATAAAACAAAGGTTCGAATTTGCATTGGAATTAAGTCAATCACAAATTTTGAATCACCACTTTGGGGAAACGGATTTGTCCCAGCATCTTCAGCTCTGGCAGAATTCGGGTCTGGAACAAATTTCATGCGACGAATTTCAGAAAGCCAAGCATTACCGTCCAGAGTTGTTTCACGAATGCCGACAGCGGCTAAGTTGTTAAACATATTTTCAATATTGAACCGAACCGGCTTGGACAAGACTGGATCCTCATCTTTCTCCAATATGTGTTCAAAGCGCACAAGAAGCTCATTTTCACGCCATGGCTCTAGGGTCAGCAAATGAACTTGTTCGGGCAAAGCGCGCGCAATGCCAGTATGCTTTTAAAGGACAAACGTTTGATTGCGATTCGAATAGGAAATGAATTAAAATACTCACGATATTCCTAAATGTAGAGCGCCACTCCTCATGTGTATATGACGAAGCGGAAGAAAAGAACCTCCATGGGGGCAAAAGAAACTGCAGCTGAAGCTGTCGCTCGATACTCCTTAAGGTACTGGGACCTTGATTATGTTGTCCAAATATTAATCGATGTTTTCCGCGCGCAATCAGACCTTCACCATAGGCGATCTCGTTAAGTGGTTCCTCTACACCAAAATTATCGTCGCGCAATAAACGACGATGTACCATGAGCTCAAGGGCTCCATCCTCCAGTGATCCACCACCTTGGGCTCTGTCTGTAAGAATCGCCATCCGTGCTGTGTCATCTTCGAGTGCAATTTTCGTTGTGACCGGGTAATAGTTTCCAGCAATTTCTTCGTGCACCTTCAACTTCCAAGTGTCGCGATGGTTCCGTTTTCGCTTCATCATTTCACGACCATTGGAGTCGGTGTAGAAGACGCCATTTGATTGTATATCCGACTTGAAACGTGTAACAATTTCCTTTCCTTTGCGATCTCCAATAGGAATGGGTCCGACCAGCCATTCGAACTCCGCGTAGGGTTTGTCGCGATACACGCGAACCACCTGACTTATCCAATCATTAAACTTCTGGTGCACCTCTTCCACTAACTCTCCTTTAAAGGTCTCTACTTTCACTTTATGAGCAACGGCATTCAATTTGTTAACCTGTGGATGAAAAGCATAGGCTCCAGAGGAGCGATCGACATGGCGTATATTGTTACCAGCCACTCCCACATAATAGAAGAAATTTTGACTGATTGTGTGTTGAATGCCATTAGAAGAAATCCGTTCGAGCAACCCATTCGCATTAAATTCAAGTCGAAGGTCCTAGCAAATATAAATGTGCAGGTATGAATTAATCAAAGTATTGTAAGTCGTAGACTTACATTATTTCCAATATTTATCGAAGTTGACTTCTGCTTCGTAGCTGTGGTCTGCGCGCCAATGCTATTTCTTTGTATATAAAACACTTTATAGCCCACTGGAGGTATATCAGAAGCCAGGAACACCAGTTCATATTTAGCAGCCGATTTTCTGTACTTAATTTTAAGTACGCCCTCAGGTATCGGAACAATTTGATTTTCCAATATCCTGCCTAAAGTAAAAAAATTGACTCAAGATTCCTGCGGATTTGTTCTTAAATGCTCTTACCCTTGTGATCAATCACGTCGTAGCTATTTCCCAATACTGGCACCCTAACATACTCGTTGGTGGAGCGGGCGAGCGGATTATAAAGTGTCACGGTGAAAGGATGGTTGGACTCCGATTGTGCGCAGATGCTAATATTTAGCAAGAGGCAACTGTTAGTTTCGACCGGGTGGGGCGGCCTAGTATCTATCATATGTGTTAACAATTGATTCATCGCCACTTGTATATTTAAGCCACAATTGCTGAACGCGGAGCTTATTCGCTTCGCATAATCATTGGCTACAAATTGCTTTTCGGTGCCAGTTACCGCATCGTGGTGCTGCATTATCCCCATTGCTTCACGCAAGTCCGTCAATTGAGAATCGAACGCATCTTTTTTTATCGGAGCCAATGCACTCAGCTGCTTGCAGACCTGCAAGAAGTGGTTTCCGTCCCGCTCGTACCGCTTCAGTGTGGGGCGAGAGGTATAGTAGCCGGTCCAGTATGCATGTGGGTCGGAGGCATATGGGAAGAAGTCGTCGCTCTTGGTTGGCCAAGTGATGCCGGCGTCGTGCAAAGACTTAAGATAGCATGACGGCGTGGAGTAGAAGAGATTGATTTTCGATCCATTTGCTTGTCGCTCATTTCCATATCTGTATTATGAGAGCGGTTTAGGACGAATGATTATAAGTAAACAGTCATTAGCCAATGGTTCAGTTGAAGCAGGTTATGGCTTCATTCGTCATATGCCTAGTATTATAAGCTTGTATGTAACCTAGGCATGCGACTCACCGTATTATTTTGTCGATGCTCTTATAGTAAACAGCAGCGTCTCTGTAGGTGAAATCGCCGCCCATTGTAATTATGACGTTATTTGTGCGGTAGCTTAAGCTTTGATTTTCCGCGTATTTTAAGAATCCAGTTACTTTATAATTCACATTATAAAACGGACTTTTCTTGTCGTCATTAATTTTTGCTTGCCCGCAAATAACATCGAAGCAATAGCCTCGTGGCTCTTGGTACATGTTGAAGAGAGCACCAGTGAAGAGGTGCGATGACTCGCCTAATTAAATGGAAATTTAAATGGAAATGTGAGCCGTGGCAAATCAGTTTACTTGCCCTGATTGGCTGAGCCATGCCAAATCATTTCCGCCGTCTTAGTCTTTAGGCGATTTTCTTTGTCTTGAAAATCTAGGCGTCCAAAGAACATTCCGTCGAATCCCATATGGGCAAGCATTGATGCCATCTCCCTTGAATGTCCAAATGGATCGATTTGCCAGCCAACGCGTGGGCGACCACATTCTCCGAAGGTGTCGTTCAAGCGTCTGCGATTGAATTCCTCCTATTATTTTGCTCACTAGGGAGAGGGGTACGTACCTTAATCCCCATGCGAATTGATCGATGACACTCTGATAATGCGTCGTTGCCTCATCGTTCATACTCCAAGCTCCACTTATGAACTCGAGCCTTCCCTCATTTACCAGCATTCTTACCTTTTCCCTCAGTTCAAAATTTTGCTCGGCCCACCATTTAAAGAAAAATGCCGACTCAACGTAAATGAATCGTTTTTTTGGATCTTCCAACAGGGACTTCACCACTGAGTGAATGATATACTTGACAGTGCCATAGTAATATTGGTCCACTGTTTGGACCCATCCCACATCATCATGCGAATGAGGTACGATATGTACATTCAGCATATTTGGCTTCAAGGGGTGGCAGCTCTAGAATCAAGTTGAGCAGAACATTAATGTTTTGGTAATATTGCTTGGCGTTCCTCTACTCACTTCGTAGCCACATCTTGCAGTCCCATCTGACTTTATCGTACTGCGAGCATATCCAGAGACGTAGCTTAGGGAGAATATTAGTAGACTGAAAAGTCCACATCTGAGGTTGACGTGGTCTGCCATTTTCCCTAGCTATAGTCCAACTAGCTTCTGCAGGCAATGCATCTCCTCTTTTATAGACGATGCCTTTAATCCGAACTAATTGCAATTTAGTCATGGAGTCTTGAGTCTTTTGTATCAGCCATCTTCCCACACTGGCCCCAATTAAAAGCATGAAATGTTAATGCAAAATCAATTAGCTAGAGGCGTTAGCTATAGGTGTTATTCCGGTGCTTCAGAAAAATTATAGTAAGATCTAATAAAGCTTTTTCTTATAGATTTTCTTTACATCTTATGGTATAAAAAGATCCTCATTATCTGAAATATATTCAATGGGAAATTTTACGGACGGATTTTGTGAAAGAACGAAATAATGCTGGGCCTTCTTAAATATCCTTTATTTTTGTGTGGTCGATGATTGGATTTTTATTTGTTTTATACTACTTATGTACACATTGCTTGTGCAATGATGTAACAATGCCTTGAATTCGGTCACCGGTCAACCATATTAAAAATACATGCTTTGTAGACAACAAAGGATATATTTTGTAAAGGATATATAATTGTCGGTCTTACTCAAAAAGTTGAAAGCACATATTCAAAAAATTCTTAAAATACATTTGTTGATATTTGTGAAAAATATAAATTATAACATCATTTTGTATTGGAAAAACGTTCAAAAACGGAAACAAGGGTCCGCAATATAGTATGTATGAGATGAAAAATGAACACTTCCGCCATCATAGAGCCTCAGCAACTAATCTGCCTACAAATTGTCAGTTACTAGTTAGCCACATTCATGCATTGAGTCAGCTGATGAGGTCATAGATCTTGGCGTCGTCTGTTACCTGTAACCCGCACGTGTACAGCATATGGGAAACGAGATGCTGGAGCCACAACTCGTTAACAACTTAATGATAAGAAGAGTTGGATACAACAACTAGAGTAGCATGAAAATTAGACTAGACAAATAAACGTAGACAGACGCACCCTTTTCAAAAACTCAACACGTCCTCACATACAAGCACTCACCCACACACCAGTACGAATATACTTGTATAGTATATCACGCATACGCACAGAGTGCAAATAAAATTAATATGCAAACGTTGTTAGATCCTAATGCTTTTTATGCTTAATGCTTAATGTGCAAGCGCTTCCGTCTTGGGTTACCTTTGGCTATACTCGTACATTACTAAAGATTACAAACTTAATGCGTTTAAAAGTTTGCGGCATACTTTGGTAGCAGAGTTCAAGGAAAATTTCCGCTTGGTTCGTAAATCTTTGGAAATCATCTTAGAACTAATGCGCTCTCCTTTTCATTCTTTTTCTGACGCTGTTGCTGTTGTTTTTGTTGGTGGTGTTGGCAACCTCGTCTTTTCGAAATTAACTTCATTATCTGGCCAAGATGAAATGCACAATAAGGCGGCCGTTTCAGCGGTCACAGTCGCCAGGTCTCCAGGTGGCCGCCGCTGAAATCCGTTCCCTTTGTGTCTGCCTTGCGGGTTTCGGCGTTTTTAGGGTTTCATGTCACGTCCAATTTTGGGTAAAATGCCTCGCTGGAGTTTGTTGCTGTTGACTTTTTTGTTATTGTTGCCGTTGTAGCTGCTAATGCTTCAAGGACTTGGCGTCCGTGGGGCCCATTTAATGGCCCACTCTCTCATATTGCCATTTACACATCTTTGGTAAGTAAGTACATTTTTTGAATTAGGCACTAGGGTTGCAGACTGCTAATTTTTCTCAGCGACACAACGGATAAAATCGAACTGAACTTCAAACTTTTAGTTGCAAACATTTTATAATGATCATATATACTATACGAGTATATATTTTTTTATATTTTTTATTTTATATACCCAACACTTTTCAACCTCAGGATTATATGTATTGGAGCTCCTTGCCTAGTTTAAGGGCAAAACATTTATTTATATCAAGAGTCCGGGATTGTAAGCTACGGCCACGAAAGTCGATGATCGGCATACCGACACCCAATACTCAGCCCAATGTTTTCGTTGCTTGGGCTCATCGATTGTTGACAACAGACAATTTTACAGTTTGACCACCAGTGTGCAGATTTTTGTTGGCAGGGCGAGTTGGTTCGCGCATATATCTAGTTCAGATCTTTCCTGAATGAATTAAATGAATGCTTTCTCATCAATGCGTTTTTCTTAGAAATTAGAATATAAGGAATAATGACATAATTATTAATAGAGAACAGATCAGAATTATAAATATATTTTATAACGTAGCTATAAGCTACAAAATATTGTACAGAAATAAAAACTGCGATGCGACCAATGAATATTCACTTTCGTACCACTGTTTCACTATTTCATGGGCGGCTGCACATTATATACAAAATCGAAAATTATCCAGTGGCTTGCTTTCGTGTTTAAAGGATACGCTCTGGCAGTCCTCTGGCTTTCCCACCTTTGTTGTTAATGAACATTTAAAGCCACTCGAGACAAATAAACACTTAACGGCATTTAAGTAAGCGGCAGCAGGCATTAAGGGCCAAGGCGACCGCACATCTGGTTCACTGCCTCTCCACTTGGTGCTGTTTGTGTCAGCTCTAGTGTTGTTGTAACCAGCCACATGCAGCGCTCGGCTTGTGGTGCGTGGCAGCCTCCTCAATCTCGCGTCAAAATCCAAACAGGTGCAAAAATCAGAGAAGCAGACAAAACATCGTTGAGCGGTTCTCGTTAGTGGGGCACGTCTGAGTGCGGCTTGTGGCAGAGGCGCCTGGTCCTGCAATGTCGTGTGCCTGCATTATAATACTGCCTGATGTCGTCTTTTCAGCCTTCTATCCGCTTTCCTACCTGCCTGCCAGCCAGTCTTTTAGTCTGTATGGTTGTTTCCTTGCTGTTCTGCCTGCGTGTAGCTTAAATGCTCTTAACTCTAATCGTGTGCAAACCATCTCAACTATGTAATGCTAGAATAACACAGAGATTTCAGTAATGGTGTCAACCAGCCACCGTGGCGTATGCGCAATTCGAGTGTGTGTTGCAGGCAATTAACATAAGCAAACGCAATTTAATTATTTACAACTTAATTGAAGATTCGCCTTCATATGTCCACATGCTCGCACATGCCAGCTCACGTCGCGGAACCCTCGAAATGTGCTGCATTCCTTTTAAAACATCAAAGGCGCTAGGGACCGCTGGTGTGTGGGTGTCTTGCCTACCCGACAGGCCCGACAAACCAGAGTACGTGTACGTGTCCGTATTTACTTTGTGTAACACATCCTCGACTTTTCCGCCAGTTTTTTACCCGCAAACGAAAAATGTGTGCCTTCTGAGCTCTGCTTGACTTTAATTTGAGTGCAAACACTTTAAATGACGAACCTGGCCCAGTTCGTCTTTGGGGAGATTCCACGAGTGGGTCGGGATTGGAATCGAGCACTTCAACCAAGCAGATAAGACAAGTACACGTACGTGTGCATGAATATGTGTTTGGGTGGATGGGTGTGTGTGTGTGTGTGTCTGTGTAGGCAGACGGTTGAGAGTTTCGTTTGTTTGTTTATTTGTTTATTTATGCAAGCCGCAAAGTATTTGCTTTGAGCCAAAGGAAAAAGCCAAGCATGAGTGCGTTGGGTATTTTCACAAAGAGGGGAGGGGCTCCAAGGGAAATTTAATTGTTAAGCATTAAAATTAAATCAAACATTACAATCCTTAGGTGGTACTCAACACCAAAGCTTCGCCAGCAGCCAGACTAAGTCCAGTGATCTTCAAGTTGGAGCTAAAGACGAGGAATAGTTGGATTGAATAGTTGAAGTGCGGAAAACACGCTCTAACACTTACTTCTCTGTCTTTGTGGATGCTACATTGCTAACTTTTAGAGCCAAACTTTCGGGCAGGGAGACATCGAAAGTGGAGAGATCAACAGTGGCAGTAGAGGAGCCAATATTGGCGACATAGACGATGCTAGGAGAGCCAGCAAGGAAGCTGGTTTTAAGACAGTGAGAGGGATAAGGAATGCTTCTGATAAGGAAGGAATCTTCTACTTACCGCTTGACTACAAACACATCGTCAGACAACGCAGCATATTTAATGGAACCATATTGCAGAGTCTTGGACTCTTTGCGCAGCGCCACCATAGCTTTGTAGACTTTCAAATGGGAGCGGGCTTCCGAGGACTCGGTTTGCACATTCGCCGTCTTATAATCGTCAGCCAAGGGCAACCAAGTCTTGGCACCTGTGGAAAAGCCAGCATTGGTACCATCCGTCCATTGGAAAGGCGTGCGTGATGGATCTCTCGTGAACTGCTCGAAGATATCCTTATTCGAATTGCAGGCAGCAGGATCCACAGTATCCTCCCAGCTAATTACGCCGTCTGTCATGCCCAGCTCTTCACCCTGGTAGGTGACACTTGCACCCGGCAGAACCATGACCAACATGTTCATGGCATCCGTATTAGCCACGCCATATCGGCTAGCAGCACGACGCTGGTCGTGATTTCCTATCACCCAGTTGGAGGTACGTCCAGCTGGTAGATTTGATAGCCAATTATATACAGCCGTTTTAATTGAAGACGCCGAGACGCCGTTGTTGGCCAGTTCGGTAATCAGATTAAAGTTGAAGGGCAAATGAGCACCCTCCACAGTCCTATTGCCGAAGAACTGCATGGAAAATTCCGGAACAGCATAGGTTTCGATGAGAAGGATACGTGATTCGCCGCCATAGATGCGCTTATGATCATCCATCACCTGACGCCACTGATAAACCATGTCGATGGTTTCTGGTTGGTTCTCAACAAACTCAGTCTTCAAATAGATGCGATTGTCTTTGTCGTCTGTCTGACCACTCACCGCTTCGTCGGGGTACTGACCGTTTTCATCCGGCTCTACTTCAAAGAGTACTGGCAAGGCATCACAACGGAAACCGGCCACGCCCTCGTTGAGCCAGTAGCGCAGTACGCGCTTCATTTGCTCCACAACAGCAGGGTTGCGGTAGTTTAGATCTGGTTGTTTGATCACAAATTGGTGCAAATAGTACTGCTGACGCTCTTCATTCCACTCCCAGGCACCTCCACGGAATATTGAAAGCCAATTCGATGGTGGTTCGCGCTCACCCGTCTCAGCATTCAGCTTTCCATCGTGCCACACATAGAAGTCCTCATAGCCCTTCTCACGTTTTACAGACTTCTGGAACCACACATTCTCATCACTCGAATGATTGGGCACAAAGTCCAGTATTATTTTGAGGTCTAGCTCATTGGCTTTCTTGATAAGCGCGCGAAAGTCGTCAAGTGTTCCATATTCAGGTTGAATGTCAAAAAAGTCAGATATGTCATATCCAAAGTCTGCCATTGGCGAGGTAAAGATGGGCGACAGCCAAGCCGCTGTAACACCAATATCCTTGAGATATTCGAGTTTCGAGGTGATGCCGTTCAGATCACCTATGCCGTCGCCATCAGAGTCCATAAAGGAGCGCGGATATATCTGATAGAATTGCGCAGTTTCCCACCAGTCCTTTGAGACGCTGGCGGCCTCAGCCTTGTCCTGGCAGGCCTGTATCCTGCACAAGCCAAGGCAGAGCACAAGCGCTAACAGCTGCGAACGTTTCATCTTAGTCTAGTTTTGTTAAAGTACTGTCCGGCAATACGCAGAAATGGGTCTTTTATATGCACAGAAATGAGTTTACTCGACGAGGCCTTACAGATAGTCGCATCGAGTACCTTGTAGGGTTTTTATGTGATTGTGCTATCAAAAGTGACACTTTTTCATTAGTATGTACATACTTGAGGAACTTATCGCTCATACTATACATCGTACAAATTGCGGCAAGTAGCACAGAAGGGAACTGGAATTATTTGGTAGCATTGGTTATGTAAACATTTTACAAATACGGCACCTTCGGCATCTTTGTTCAAAAAAGATTTGCCATTAAATTATTAGGCATGATGTTTGGCTTATTTTGTGTAATAGGTTTTTTTTTTTAAATTGCACATGAATTGTAATCATTGGACATTTGACCCAACATCTCGTCGAGCATTTACCATACCAAGAAATTATAATTCTTGGGATTTGCTCATATTCAGGATATTTTTCCTTCTTATCAACCACTTGACTAAAGTAGCTGCTGACAAATATGTATGTTTTTCTAAAGCACTGCTTTCATGATTGTGGAAAAATTGTATAGCTGTCAGTTCAATACTTTTAACGCCAGATAGTTAATAATTTGTATATGTAAGAAGAAGATTTAATCAGCTATAGGTGCTTAGAGTGGCTTCAGCTAAGTGGGAAGTTCGGTGGGTGGCAATGTTTTTTATTTAAGCGAAAAAAAAACAGCTAAACAGCTTCAGTTAAGTGCTTTGGAGGAGAGGAGGGCACTCGAATTATACGTGAAAATTACCTCGAATAAATAATATGATTAAATCAGCAAAGAGTGCTCAATGTGGTTTCGATTAACCATTACTGCCTGGCTCTGTGGAGGTCGAGGTCGTTCCACAAGCTATAAATGCCAATATCTGCCTTATATATGCTCGTATCAACATTCCCATTGCCGTTCATTGTCTCATCTACTGGAAGGAGCCGGGTGTGCTCAGCTTCATCCGCAACCAGATCTTCAGCTTTTGCGATCACAAAATTCGATATTTATTTCGATATGCCGCACTTGATTGGCGTGCACATACAAATTGGTGAAATGGCTAAGATATTGGATCCCTTTTAGACAATCCGCAATCGCTTAAGTGTCGTGGCTTTTGAGGCCTACAAATATCAGGTGGGTTCGCCGGGTAATACAAGTAGTCCAAGACTACTGCCGATCTGGTTCGGGCCATGTTCTGCTTAACGCCTGTTCCTGTTTGGAGACTGTGCGTGGCCGGACTAATGAACTCCTGGGGCGGCACACGCTCTTCACCACCACAAAAGTAATTCATAAAGGCGCTGATGAATGTGTCACATTGCTGTTCCAAAAAGCGAATAACACCTTGGACACACATATTCCTTAACGTAATAAACAATAATTTGCCTGCGCGCGTTTAGCTTCCGCTCTTTAGGGACATTCCGCACCATGTGGTGGTTCGAAGGATAACAAGTAGAAAAGCTAAAGTCGGGTGTCCCGACTTTGAAATACTGTGTACATATGTACAGAAAAATGATAGAAATGTTAAAAATAAAGATAATTAAAAAAAAAAATGTGCCACACTTGGTATTCGAACTCACATAAAGGGTGTATATTTAGACATTTACATAGCAATTGTGTATATGTGAGTTTACGCGTGCCTATGCGTGTCTATTCGTGTCCGTGCGAGCATGCATGCAGCACAATGTTGAACCAAAGCAGCACTAACAACAACAGCTGCGAGAAGCGCTTGGCCAAATATTATATATATGTATGGCTATAACTTCCTGATAAATCTGCCTATGATAATTAAACTTAGCATACAGACACATAAGCAAAAATTCCAGAAATTCGGGAGTTATGGGAAATCAGTGATTGCGATGGTGAGGGGGGAAGCAGGAAATTTCCTAAATACACATTTCCTGCGTTGCACAAACCTAATATACCTTTTTACCCTACGGGTACACGGTATAAAAACAAGAAAAGAGTTCGCACAAAACTAGTATAGCCTTTCACCCTTTGGGTACAGGCTATAAAAAATAAACTTGATCTGCCTAGGGCTTATGGGAATCTGGATACCGAGTTTGGTTATTCTAGCTCTTGTACCTTCTGAGATCCTTGCGCTCATACAGACGGACGGACAGACGGCTTGTCATCCTGATCAAGAATATATATACTTCGCACAAAATTAGTATAGCATTTTACCCTTTGGGTACAGGCTATAAAAACCTAAATCCAAGTGGGGATTTTAACAACTGCGCCACTTTTGTCTACCAGGAGAACATAACGAGCAGCAGGCGAATGACTTGCTTATTTATTAAATTTCGGACAGCTGATTTTTGTTTACATTCGATGCATTTTTTGTTTTCTTTTTGCAATGCACCGTAAGGATTGCGTTTGCTTACATTTGATATGCAGCCAATGGGAGAGCCCCAATTTGTTCACAATTCGATTTTTGTTTACATTCATCTTTGGATTCGCTGCTGGGTTGCTTACTTGCTGTTCATTTATGTTCGCCTGGTGTATGGATACACGAAATGCATCGAAGTTCATATAAACTTTAACCGAAGAAACAAAAATTGGACAGCTGATTTTTGTTTACGTTTAAAAAGCTTGCTTACTTCTCGCAATGCTGTTGTTGACACTTTGGCTGAACCCTGTACTTCACAGACAGCCACTTATAGACACAATCCGGATGCAAATGGGCAGTCCTACATCCTTTAGAGGCGAGGCAGCCAATCTACTATTTTCTGAAACCAAATGGAACTTACCAAAAATGTCATTAATTTCGTTGCAAAAAGCAAACAGCTTAATATTAAGACAAGAGGATGCAAAGCTGCTGAAAATCATAGCACTATTTTTATTTGTTCATGGCCTTCACAAAAGTTGTATCTATTAATAGACAGTTTCTTAGTATCTTGACACAGGTACACTCTGAACTACCCTAGGTTACTTACACATATAACATTAATATGTACTTATAATCGATATCGATGACGCATCATTTCTTTTTGCCGCCAGCTCCGACACCAGAATCCTTAGGAGGTATTCAGCACCAAAGCTTCGCCAGCAGCCAGACTAAGTCCAGTGATCTTCAAGTTGGAGCTAAAGACGAGGAATAGTTGGATTGAATAGTTGAAGTGCGGAAAACACGCTCTAACACTTACTTCTCTGTCTTTGTGGATGCTACATTGCTAACTTTTAGAGTCAAACTTTCGGGCAGGGAGACATCGAAAGTGGAGAGATCAACAGTGGCAGTAGAGGAGCCAATATTGCCGACATAGACGATGCTAGGAGAGCCAGCAAGGAAGCTGGTTTTAAGACAGTGAGAGGGATAAGGAATGCTTCTGATAAGGAAGGAATCTTCTACTTACCGCTTGACTACAAACACATCGTCAGACAACGCAGCATATTTAATGGAACCATATTGCAGAGTCTTGGACTCTTTGCGCAGCGCCACCATAGCTTTGTAGACTTTCAAATGGGAGCGGGAATCCGAGGACTCGGTTTGCACATTCGCCGTCTTATAATCGTCAGCCAAGGGCAACCAAGTCTTGGCACCTGTGGAAAAGCCAGCATTGGTACCATCCGTCCATTGGAAAGGCGTGCGTGATGGATCTCTCGTGAACTGCTCGAAGATATCCTTATTCGAATTGCAGGCAGCAGGATCCACAGTATCCTCCCAGCTAATTACGCCGTCTGTCATGCCCAGCTCTTCACCCTGGTAGGTGACACTTGCACCCGGCAGAACCATGACCAACATGTTCATGGCATCCGTATTAGCCACGCCATATCGGCTAGCAGCACGACGCTGGTCGTGATTTCCTATCACCCAGTTGGAGGTACGTCCAGCTGGTAGATTTGATAGCCAATTATATACAGCCGTTTTAATTGAGGACGCCGAGACGCTGTTGTTGGCCAGTTCTGTAATCAGATTAAAGTTGAAGGGCAAATGAGCACCCTTCACAGTCCTATTGCCGTAGAACTGCATGGTGTAGTCCGGGGGAGCATAAGTTTCGATGAGAAGCACGCGTGTGTAGCCGCCATGGATACGCTCATAGTCATCCATCACCTGACGCCACTGATAAACCATTTCGATGTTTTCTGGACGGTTCTCAATCAACTCGGACTTCAGGTAGTTGCGATTGTCTTTGTCGTCGGTCAAGCCACTCAACTCCTCGTCGAGGTACTGACCGTTTTCATCGGGTTCTATTTCAAATATAACTGGCACGGCATCACAACGGAAACCGGCCACGCCCTCGTTGAGCCAGTAGCGCAGTACGCGCTTCATTTGCTCCACAACAGCAGGGTTGCGGTAGTTCAGATCTGGTTGTTTTACCGCAAATTGGTGCAAATAGTATTGCTGACGCTCTTCATTCCACTCCCAGGCACTGCCACGGAAGGCCTGAAGCCAATTCGATGGTGGTTCGCGCTCACCCGTCTCAGCATTCCGCTTTCCATCGTGCCACACATAGAAGTCCTCATAGCCCTTCTCACGTTTTACAGACTTCTGGAACCACACATTCTCATCACTCGAATGATTGGGCACAAAGTCCAGTATTATTTTGAGGTCTAGCTCATTGGCTTTCTTGATAAGCGCACGGAAGTCGTCAAGTGTTCCATATTCAGGTTGAATGTCAAAAAAGTCAGATATGTCATATCCAAAGTCTGCCATTGGCGAGGTAAAGATGGGCGACAGCCAAGCCGCTGTAACACCAATATCCTTGAGATATTCGAGTTTCGAGGTGATGCCGTTCAGATCACCTATGCCGTCGCCATCAGAGTCCATAAAGGAGCGCGGATATATCTGATAGAATTGCGCAGTTTCCCACCAGTCCTTTGAGACGCTGGCGGCCTCAGCCTTGTCCTGGCAGGCCTGTATCCTGCACAAGCCAAGGCAGAGCACAAGCGCTAAAAGCTGCGAACGTTTCATCTTGTCTAGTTTTGTTAAAGTACTGTCCGGCAATACGTAGAAATGGGTCTTATATATGCACAGAAATAAGTTTACTCGACCATTATAGAGGCTTAACAGATAGCCGCATCGAGTACCTTGTAGCGTTTTGTGTATTCTATTCAAAAGTGCCAGTTATTCAAGAGTGGGCGTTAAAGAAACTAATCGCACATGCAGATAGGAGGAAATATCAAGGAGGGTAGTGTCGCTTGAAGTTGTTTTGAAAGCAGTAGGTTTGGTAGCACGGGTTGTCAATACTGCCACCTGTAGTAGAGTGTCTCTAGGAAAGTTTCCTTACATAACTTCTGAATTAATCTTATCTTATTTTAGAGGTCATCGTGTTTTGAGTTGAATTAGATCCTTCTAAGTCGAAAGATCGGCGACGTAAGTGCCTTGTATGAGAGGAGGATGAGAAGAATACAAAGGGTTGTAAAACTTACCTCGAATATGGTTTCAATTAGGTCCTTCAGTTGAAAATTGCATACAGATATACATTTGTATTCATACGTTTTAATTTATTGTTAGCTTTGTTTTACGTTTGCTGTATTTCGTAAGTTTGTAAATGTACGCCAATTAACAACATCTAGCTGTATTTGTTTAATTTGCACAACTTAAGTTACTATTTATGTTAGTTCTTATAGACACACATTTAAATATTCAAATACGAGCTTATGGCATTAAATTACTCAATACAGAAATTACATATTTAATTACATACAATGGTAACCGTATTTTTATTTACATTTAACACACATTCGAGAGATAAATAAGTAGTATATAAGCATTTAGCAACTATTTATGAACGTTCAATATTTGGCTAGAATGTTTGCTTCTTTTCTTAACGCAATTATCCTTTATTATGTACACGCATTTTTTAACTATCTTTATCACTGCATTTTAGATTTGATTTTGAAACTCATTTCCTTAAGTTGGCAAGCCTGCAATTTCCATTACCTTTTAGGACTTTGTTTCTTTTTATTTTTTGTAGTTGTTACAAATACTTAACATTAACGCTTTATTGAATGTTACTTACAATTTGTTGAGTGGTTGCAATAATCGTATTAACTGTTTTGAATTATGTAAAAACAATTATAATAAAAACTGCAGCTTCAAATATTACCGTATGTATTTGTTGTGTACAACAATTAAATCTACCGTGTTGCTGGGCTCAAACAACACAATAAATTCAATTGTTTTTGCACATATTCGCCGCTATATTGCAAGGGGGCTCGACACAACACACACCATACTACCACACCTATAACTGCCCCAGAACATGCCACCCCACTACCAAAATCAATAGACAGATAAGCCCCTTTGCAACATAATCACGCCACCCTTAGATTAAGTTTACAAGTATATGTAGTTTATACAGCTATTACAAAATTTAAATGCGTTTTGCAACACTATTATAAGTTATACTATTATATTTCCATTTAATACAAATCTTCGAATTACATTTTTGAAATAATATCACATTTTTTCTTTTTGGTTACTTTTCTGCAGCTATAGCCCCGATCACACATATCAGACCTGTTACCGGAGCCGCGCCGTGTATTCGTATGTTAAATAGTCCAGGACCCTAATGTTGTTCTAATGAACAAAGAAAATTGCGACCTATGGGCTTGAATAATTTTCAGATACTGGACATACGGACTGTTTAATTCTTTACACATTTGTTGTGGAAGTGAACAAACGGGTACGATACATTCCCGTGCCATTTCGTTGGGCCTATTGGAAAAGATTTGGTACGACTTTTGTCATACAGGTAAATAAACAGGTTACGATTCATAGCCCTGTAGAGTGTGGACGACCAGGAACAAGAAATAAAGGTATTAGGGTATAAATACAAGTAGAGGTAGATAAAATACTTATTAACACTTTAAAAATGCCAGCACCAATTTAACCCTGAAAAGTTGTGCTACTCAACAAGTTATGGTAACTACATACAAAGGTACATGAACAAAATGACTGCCAAAATGTGAACTCTGAAACATAAAATATATATAATTATCTATGGGATGGAAACAATATTTGCTTTGCATTCCTGCGACAGCCATATTACACATTATTACAACGAGGAAGCCATTTTGATTTCAATGCTACTTGTATATCGACAACACGTATTTGCAAACTTGCCTACCTTCCATGCCAATTGAAATAGCCTTTAAAACCAAAAAGGAGCTTACTAAAAATCTCGTATTCCCGTTGCAAAGAGGGAAAACTATTGATGAATGCAGGAGCTTAGAAAAAGGGCGTGCAAGGCTACTGAAAAAAAAAACAAACACTTTTCATATGTGTTCCTGGCTTTCACAAAAGTCCGGTCTAACTAATCGTATGGAAGTTTTATCTACTAAAACAAACAGTTTCGTAGTATCTTGAGACAGATACCCAGTTCACTCTCTGCTATCCTAGCTTACTTACACATTCACGTACAACAATCATGGGTACTTAGTATTGATACCGTATTTAGACTGGAATGGCGCAGCGTTTCTTTGTGCCACCGGCGGTGGCGCCGGCGCTGGCAGTGCCGCTGTCGTTGCTCCCGGAGTCGCTGCCATTGCTGGCGCCATTTTGCGGCTGCTGCTGCTCCTGGGCGTCGCGCTCTCGTTGTCGCTGCTGCTCCTTGAGCAACTGTTGTTGCAATTGTTGTGCGTTTAGCTATAAATTCGTTTGCAGCACGGGCGCCCGCTGGCTTCCATTTAAGTCGGAGGGAGGTGCAGGTGCTGCCACAGTTGGCACTGCATCTGAAGGACAAACTGTGGCCGTTGTTGCTGCGGCTGTTGTTGCTGCTGCCGCTGCTACTGTCGCATTGGGATTGCCGCTGGCTATATGATTGCTAGCTGTCGAGCCTGGGCCGACAGCAACTGTTGCTGCTGGCTGGCCATGTTGCTGCTGATTGATTTTGTTGTTGTTGGCCACCACCTGCTGGTCCGCATCAGCGGCCACACTTTGGCCATTGGTGGCCGTGGCCGTGGCCGTGGGCGTGCCAGTTGTCGTGTTGTTTGGCACATATTGATCCGCGTAGGGTATTTGATTATAGGCGTTGCTGTCAAGCGACGTGAAAATGCTCGATATTGTGATCGTTTGTGTGGCCATTTCGCACAGCTTTTTTGTTTTCAATGAGTGCTCTGCAAATACATTTCAATTTGTTTTAACGAATCCTTCGAACAGGGTGAGAGAAAATACCTAAGTATTTGAAAAAATCCCATGTGCTTTCTGCCGAATGTATGGGCAAATTTAGTTCACTAAAACATTTAATTAATTTCTTTTAAGCTTGCGAGAAATTATGTCAACAGTAAGAAGGGATTCCTCCGCTTGAAATTGCTGTATTCGGGATTAAAACGCAAAGTTCACTTGCGGAATTCCGATATGTTTTTAGACCCTGTACCCAAAGGGTACAAGGGTGCGAGTGTACATGGAACACACAGAAGGAGGCGTGGTAGACCCCACAATGTATATATTTTCTTGATCAGCATGACAAACCGAGTCGATATAGCCATGTCCGTCTGTCCGTCTGTCTGTCCGTTTGTCTGTATGAACGCAAGGATCTCAGAAAGTATAAGAGCTAGAATAACCAAACTTGGTATACAGATTATCCTGAGCCCGAGAAAGGACGAGTTTGTTCATTTTTCCCGATGCACCCCCCACTCCCCCCCCACCCTATTCGTGATTTTCTATAACTCCCGTAATTCTTGGAATTTTTGTTTGTGGGGTGGAACAGGGTATTTAAGAGTTGAGCCTTCTCGACTTTAGCATTCCTTTCTTGTTTAGAGTTACATATCTTTACGCGATTAACATTTATTTTGTAGATTATTTACTTGTGTCCCTCCTATAACTTATTAGCTTGCTTAATATATTGTATACGGTATACAGTATTGATCTGTATGAAGAGACGAGGAAGTATAAGGACTGAATTAATCAAACTTGGTATTCAGGATCTCCCAAATATTTCAAAGGTCAAGTTCATTGTTTTCTCGCAATTGTTGTAATTATTGGAATTTGAAAATTACATTCGGCTAGATAAAGTAGTCTAGTCTATATAGTCTAAGTCCTGTTAGCCCTAACCCATTAAAATTGAGCCGGGATTTCAAAGGTTTTCATACTATTTCATTTTTGTCACCCTGTATAATTTAAGGAGTATTTGAATCGTTTAATATTTTAATACTGCGCATGCATGTAGAGGTCTTTTGTTGTTCCTACCTGTATTTGTTGGAGTGATATGCTTTTGTATTTTCTCCTCCTGCGCGCAAGTGGCGGCTGTCACCACCGCAGCTGCCATCATGGATGAGGGCCCGGTACCGGCCGTGCGATGCATATTTCCATAGCGCGGAGGCATCATGCTCTGGCGCACATTGCGCTCGGGGCGTATGAGTATTATGTAGAGCTGCAGGGGTGAAAGGAAAGCACAAGACATTGGTTAAGGCACGACTGCTGCCAATTAGCACGGTCACATCAGCTGTTGGTATTCGCACGAATAATCTCCCACAATAACATCAATCATACGCCCAGTTGCACCTTAAGCGAACCAGATTATTAGATGGCTTGTTGTCGTTAGTTATGCACAAGTATATCCCATAGCTACAAGTAATTAGTAATTATCCATAACTATGAGCATTATCAATGCGCGGCCACCGACACCATCATTAACAATTGCCAACCTGTCGCTAGCATTTATATCCTTAAAATGTCAAGCGAACAGGCGGCCCGCCCCGTAATAAACTATGCGTTACGTTGCCGCTTACGTAACTCTGAGCTATTTCCGCTTTCACGCGACATTGTTTCGCCTTTCTTTGCTGTTGCTGTTGCTGTTGCTATTATTGTTATTCCCGTAACCATTACCGTTGCCATTGTTATTGTTATTCTTACGGCAGCCAACAAATGCAAACAAACAAGCCGACAAGAAGGCGGTAAGTGAAGCCACAGCCCCAGGGCAGGCAAACAAAGGCATACAACGAGGAGGCCAGCAACGATGCACAGTGGCGTGTGTTGCAAGAAAGGTGAGGTTGCAAGGATATGGCGAGCAAACTGCACTGGGAGGGGCATTTCTTGCCATAACCACCGTTGAAGCCTTTCTGTACATTGTTGTGGTAGTTCAGTGAACCCATTACGTTGTGGGGCTGTGATACGCGTATTTGCTGTTGTTATTAGGACAGCAATTGTAGATTGCATTTTTATGGTCGAATGCGAATGTGCACAGCTAAGCATAAATTATGTGACATCTGATGGCCTCTTGGCTTGAGTTGCTCGCCCTGCACAGCCAATATATAGAATACTTGTAGTTTAATAGCACAAGCTCTGCAAACGTGAAATGGAGAACTGAGAATAGCACCAAATCTTTCCCTCTTCCGGATTTAACTTTAAAATGACTCTACTTTTTAATAGATTGAAATCAACTTTAGCTTAAAAGGCGAGGCTTTCCGAGCGAAACATTTCCATTCTTAAAACTCCCTCTTATTTGATGATATCCTTTTCAATTACAGCATTTAAGGGTTGTTGTTTCTTAGTCGAATCTTCAAGAATCAGAGGAAATAAAGTGCATGCTTTGATTTGTGCGGGAAGATGGGAGTAATTTTTTATTTCGCTTCCACTTTTTATATTTTATGGAGGACACACACTTATCTGCATTAGGACTAAGTTTCGCTTTCAGTTATGCAAGCTTATCTCAAACGGCTGCTACAAAATTGTAAAAGGTAAGTACACCTTGGGGGCAGGCAAATAGCAACCAGCAAGCAGCAAGCAGTAAATCTTGAAACTGTCCAACTATATTGCTGGTGAACTCTGTTTGCAGTCCCCGCACTCGGCACGGCACCATTTAACCTCGGCATTAAGTGAACTTATAGCTTTGCTTGCAGTTTGCCAGAAGTTGAGTCATGTAATAGCTTATAATAGAGAGCATTATAAACTGTTCCAGAAACTGGCAGCTTAAGCAGTTTTATTGCACACTTTAATGTTGCACGCGATAGAATAACGTAACCGACCATAAAAGTATAAGACGTGCCACAAAGCACCGCAAAAAAACAAAAATTAATTAAACAACGTCATGGTACGTTGTACGAGTATGCATACGAATACAGCAACAACCACAAGAACCTCAGCACACAGGAAAAAATGCCGCCTTATGACATTTTCCCTTTCATTTTAATAAAAATCTGTCAAGTGAGATTGACTTGCGGCGGACACGCGAACAAGAATACGCAAATAATATGAAAAATATTGCAAAAGCCAAATTAATGACATGAGTTGTACAGTCAGGACAAAGGAGGCGAGCATTAATTATTGAATAAAGCGGCAAGCAGTGGAGGTGGCTCTTGTGGAAGTTCCTTTTGAGTCCTTGTTGTGGTGATTCCCTCACATTCCCCGGGCATTTCGCAGTTTCAGCAATTAATTGTTAAATAAATGTAATAATGTTCGTCTTGCATGTTGGCGGCTTACCTTTGGCGAAAACAGACACGCGATGGTCACACTGGCAGACAAACTGATGGTCACCGACATGCTCGTTATACGCAACGGCACATGATTCGCAGTTCCAAAGTATAGTGGCACGAAGGCCAGCCAGATAACGCAGGTGGTGTACATGGTGAACCCTGAAAGCAGGACGTAGGTTAAGTGTGAATATATATGTATGTGATAGGGATATGTTTCAACAGCAGGACAACTGATTGGTGGTTTTCTCCTCTTCTATTTCCATCTTAAGGCGACCACGTTAGGCACAAATATCTTCGTGTTAAATGAACTTAGCTTTACGGTTCATACATGCATGGAAGAGAAAAAGCTCACTCCTAGAAAATGTACGATGAACGGGGTGTCCTTCAACAAATAATTTGCACACAAGATGCTGCTGGCGATTGTCATGCGTGCCTTATCTAAGGATCAAGTAGTCGATAGTTTGTTTTTTACAACTCTGCTCAAATTTTTACTAAATGTCTATTCATTCTCTGCTCCTACTATTTACATACAGGGTGCGCCATCTTTTATGTCGATATGTAAATATTGAATAACTTTGTCATTAGTGAACCGATTGACTTGAGTAGACCAGTATTGAAAACCTCAGTTCAAGAAATTGTACAGAACCAAATTAAATAAAAATATCTCATACTTGAAAATCGGTTGTTTATTTTCAAAGATATTCAATGCTTACATACCGACATAAAAAATGGCGCACCCTGTATGAATGTATTTTTAGCAAAGAGAAGTTTCTGGCGAAAGTTTAACTCCGTTTGCTTTAAAAGTTGTCGAAAGACGAGTGGTTGAAGTGACAATCGAACAGAAATAAATTAAAAATGTAACATTCCAGATCTGAATATAAAGAAAACTAGTAGTACTAGTTGGATAGATAAATATAAGTATAAGCACATATAGCGCATACATGTTTGAAGATTCTTTTGAAGTGTTTATATGTATTTTTTGGTTAACATTCAAAAGGACCCACAAGATTTGTTCAGAATACAAATTAAACCATAGTGCTTTGTATCTAACTTGTATCTAACCGAATACATATTAAAATACAAGTATGAATTAATTGAAGGCTGTTGACTTACCGATGTGCTTCGACTCATTAAAGGCTTCGGGTATTTTCCGCGTAAGTACTGCGTAGACTGTACATATTACAATAAGGACAATGGGATAGAAGAACGCAATCATGTAGGAGGCATCTATGTAGGAGTCGCATACGAGCAAATTATCCTCGCGTGTAGGATGATGATGCATGGCATGTGATGGCGCAATCACCATCCAAACACCATTGATGAGTATCTGTGCGAAAGGAAGATATAAAAACAGAGCAAGAGAGAGAGAGAGAGAGAGAGTGATTAGGAAGATGTGTAGCATAAAACAAAATGGCGCGTGCGTGCGTTAACAACAATTAGAGCTAGTAGGGCTGCTGTTCATTCGAGTTTTGAAAGCCTCGCTCCATCTTCTTACCTGCACGCTGATCAGGCACGTACAAATGACCAACTGTGATTTGGGGCTAATGAATGAGGGCCGTTTGGCGGACTGCTTGCCAGCCTTGAAGATGCGTGCAATGCGATTCGTTTTCGTCAGCAGGGCCGCATAGACAACCGTGAAGCAAAAGCCGACGCTAAAGCTGGAATGGAAAGGAGAGGTGAGGCATGAATCGTAAGCATGAACAGTCAAATAAGTTTAAAGCACTGTTGACACTTAAGGACAATTCCGAACTGTTCCACTTACCGTTGTATGGCACAGACAATGTTGCTTGGCTTGAGCACGAGGGCAAAGGTCACGGCGTAGCACATAAAAATGCCAGCCAAGAGGATATAACTTAGCTCACGTCCCGATGCACGCACTATGGGTGTGTCGTTGTGTCTAGTTGGTGGAATAGAACAGGAGAATTTCCTCAGTAGAAGCTAACAAAAGTTTTAAATACTCTTTCTAAATGTGCAACTAGCATAAATTTATGTTGCCAATTTAGTGACCTAGCTAACCAATTAATAATACAGCTTTTCCTGCAAATCTTTGTAAATGCATGATAAAGTTTTTAAGGCGCAAAACTTTTTAATTGCTACGGTATTTCATGCAAGGGCGTAACCAAAGCTAGCTTACAGGCACAGCGAGCACCCAGCCACGCCTACAAAGAGACCACAGCAAGGTACTGCAGGAGTGCAAAACTTTACGTCAGCTTCGCAGTCAGCCACACAGAAGCCGACACGAAAACCGGAAACCGGAAACCGAGCCAATACTTCCAGCTTTTCACACTCACATACTTACACACACACAGACACACACATGCAGCAACTTAACTTGCCAATAAGTTAAGTCGTTTGCCGCAGGCAACCTGCTCACCTGATGAACACGCCCACCACAAAGAGCGTAATCAATATGCCTGTTGCACTGAATGCCATAGCGCCGATCGCCCAGGCAGATTCTGGGCGCAGGTACACCTCCGGTATGGGCACACAGTACTGTTTGTAGGCGTCTGGCAAAGTGCCCAGCTGGCAGACGAGGCAGTGGGTCTCATCGACCGGGTGGCGTATCTGCAGGAATTTTAGGAGAGGAACACAAACTTTTGAGTAGTGCATTCATAGTATATGGAGCCAAGATAAATAAGGTGAACTAGAAATGCAGGAAAAAAAACAATCGAAACGAAAGGAAACAAGCTCGATCTCTCACAGCTGACATTTCTTTTAAATATACAATAGTGCAACAATCGTTTATCTTTTGGTGAAACCTCCTACATTACTAAGCATTTAAAAACTCGTGATAATTAAAACGATATCTTCTATTGCAGCTTTATTAATTTTTAGACTATGGATAACATTTCAAGAATTGTTAACAAGAAGTTGAATTTGCAAATTGCAACACACATCTTTAGGAATAAATCGTTATTAAGGATTAAATGGAGATGTCTATTTTATTTACTACTGTCTCAATGTCGTGTTTATTGCATTTCAATATTTTCGTAGAATTGAACTGAACTGTTTGTTAATGCACAGATTTCGATTTTATGTTCTCAGTTGCCTTTTTCTTATTCACGACCATGAATGGTGCTACACTGTCAGCATTGTGTTTATATATATAGTATATTTGAACTTACGTTCCATACACTCGAATATACTATACACTCTTACAAATCAAGTACGACTAGTGTTATCGCAATAGTTGAAGCAATTCGGTAAATCCTGATTTTAAAAAAAATCTAGAAGGAATAATTCTTTAGAATGGAAGCCTTGAAACCTTATTGATTTAATGTAAATTTTGTGTTTCTCAATTCACATCCAGATCACTTTTGAATTTCAATCAACTCTTGCTACTTGTCCGTCCACTATATACGGCTATTTTATCAACTTATATTTTCACTAAAGGATGGTTTGCCGATTGGCATGAATATTTCCCCCGTCCATTGGTGCTGTTTCTTGTATTGTGGTGCGGTTTCACTCACCTGATAAGTTGTACAATTGAAACAGTGCCAACAGCAGCTTTCGCCTTCCACATACTTCTTGGCCTGGCCGACCTCGCAGGGCAGACTGCAAACGGATTCCGGTGGCTTGGGATGCAGCAGCTTGAATTTTACCTCTGCCATGGGTAAGAAATAGTGGAGGGGTGGAATAATTTGTGTAATGACTTTCGAGGGAAATGGTAATTTCTCTTAGCTTACCCGACATATTCAGCCGCAACTCGCCCTCGTAGTACTCGCCAACCTTCACCCAGTGGTATTGTCCGGCCAGAGATTGTTTGAAGTGAATGATGTTGTACCTTGCGGGTCCGTCGCCGTTGCCGTCAAAGCGAAAATGATCACCACTGAGCCCTGTTAAAGGGTAAAAATATTCTATATGAACTCAAGGTCACTCTTTCCCAGCGCCCAGAGCCCAGCGCGTAGCGTCTAACGCCCAACGCCTATCGCTGGCGCCCGCCCTCATCATCTGCTTAATGCAATGAGCCCCGCTTTATCAGAAAATTGACAATTTGCCACAGTTGCGTAGGTGCCGGCTGCGGTCGATGGGTGTCGGGCCGGGTCGGGGGTCCTCTGCCTTGGCTTTTTGTGTAATTTATTGAATTTCAAATTGAGTTCAATGGCGACGACAAGCAAGTCAATTTTTCGCTTGGAAGCATTGCCAATGTGCATTGTGGGCACGGCTTGGCATATCTACTTAAATTATTTGCGCAACAGTTGCGCCAAATACACACACACACACACACATACACACACACATACATACTATACTCTTCTACTGGTACTATATAATCGAGGACGCACACAGACACAGACGCCTAAGGACAGTTACGTTCAGCTGACTTACCCTCAAACTCGACTTTACGCAAATATTTGAGCAAATCAGCGCCTTTGGTGGGTTTCATGGCGTCACAGAGAGAGGGCAGGCCACCGCACAAATCGTGATGCATATCCCTGTGTAGATATAAACATATACGTGTATGTAATTGCAAAGTCATTAGTGGGAATGTCGTGTTCGCAATCGGTGTCAGCATTTTGTTAACTTACCGGAGCGCATAAGCAAAGGCCATGACCGCATCGCTAACGAACTGTAACTGATCCTCGAAGTCGGTGTTCTGCCGAGACAGGCGCTCTTTGGTTGTGCAGGTGCGTGTGTAGTTGTTGTAAGGAGTGCTTGCGCTCCCTGGATAGCGGCATTGGAAGTGGTCCTCCCAAAACTCTGAGAATCAAACAAATGCATTCATTATCTTTGTAATTAAAATGTGTAGAAGTTAAATATTTTATGGCATACATAATTGTAGAAAATACTGGCAAAAATTAAGCTATGGCTTCCTTGAGAAATGATACCAGGACGATTAATGTTGATTAGACTATGATTTTATAAATTTAAATAGCTTTAATCATGATGACTAGATAATGTCTTTGTCTGCGCCTATGTTTTATAATCTTCATTTTACCTCAAAATATTAGTTTTATAGAAGTTGCATTTTTTATTCACAATTTTAATATATGACGATGCTTTGAAAGCTGAACTTAGTGACTGAGTTGGACGGAAGCAAAAGAAAAACCAATTGAATTCCCTTTGCTGCTGATCACATACATATCTAGCACACATGTCTACCATTCTTCTTTCCAAAAATGTTTTGAAACTATCGAAATAATCCATTTAGTGCCGTTAAATATATTGTATTATATGTATAATAATGGTATGAAAATGATGACAATAAATAGACAAAGTAATTGAAAAAATGTTGGTATGCAATAATTTATTTATTCGCATGCTTACCCACAAACCAGGGATTACGCTGATTATTCTCCACCGTTAAGTTGAGGAAATATTCCTCGAAGCCGCGCACGGGATTCGCCTGGGGCTGGACAGATAACGTGCCCTCCACCTACATGGCGTATGGGTAATAAATATATTTGGTTTTTGTTTAGTCAGTTCAGTTAGGCGCTACGGCTAAATTAATTAAGTCGACGTGCTCGATGCGTTGCGGTGGGTGTGGTGGACTGCCACGCCCAATTAACTGTTGACGTCACAGTTCATTGCCTAGACCCGTGCAATTAATTTCAATTAAGCCATAATTCATCATGGAACACCCCCCGACCACAAGTTCATACTGAAATGCCGCAATGTTGGGGTTCAACGCGTCTGGCTATCATTTATAAATTTGTACTAGTGTCATGTCATTGCACGCCTTCCGCCGCCTGGCTGTTAGGCTGTAAGGCTGCCAGGAGAGCCAACACCAACACCACCACCGTCTTCGCCACCTCCAGCAACACTTCAGCTCAAGATGTCAGCAACTTTTGCCTGTCGGCAATTCATTAATCAAATTTGCTCGCCATTTAAGCTCATAATTTCCGGCAAGCAGCGCCGAGTCATTAATTTTGATGACACAACAGACCAATCGGCCCTCTCGTCCGACTTACCCCGTGGCAATAGTTTTTATTGTTTGTACTTGCCTCCGGTTCATTGCCATCCGAGACGAGATTGCGCGCACTCCAGCCATCCGAGCCGATCCAAGAGAAGGCGCCTGTTGCATTCGCGCGTCGCACGGCGCGCATCACTTCACGGACTTCCTGATCGGAACCAAAAATAATGGCGCCTGCATTCCATTCAAGTGCGGAGTGAAATTTTCGCCAAATGCGCGACACATTGCGCACGGGAGGGAGCATAAGGTTGGAAAAAAAGAGCACAAATTTTCAATTAATATCAATTCCATTTAATGTACATTAGGCGGATTTACAGTCCGTTTATTGTATTGTGACAGTCCATTCTTTCGATTCTGTGTATGTTTTGGAAAAGTCGGTCTGAATTGAAAATAGTTGATGTAATTATTAAGAAGATTCTATAAATGCAATTTTTATTTGTCTTTCAAAATATAGTCAATTGTGGTTATGCCAAAGCTAGAACATATTCACTTATCGTTTGCGCCATTTTTTACCCTTTTAGCAGTAAATAACTCTGAGGTAATAAACTTTTGTGCTATTTCGATGTTGGACAACAAAATTGATTTGGCCATCTCTAGACATACGAGTATATTCCACAATATTTATCAATAGCCCGATTTACATAGGTACCGAAGAGCTAAATTAGAAAATTTTTTATATGCTGCCATACAAACTTACATACAAAATAGTTGAACATAACACAAATGAAAAAATAATTGAGTTCGACGGTCCCTCTCTCTGCAATGCTTTACTGTGAAAGCTTTTTGATATTTTTCAGTAGACACCCAACTCTGACAACGCCATTGCTGCGCTATCTGCGTCAATCATTCGCCCTGAGGCACCAACTAAGCGACAGCGAGAACAAAAAATTTCAATCAATTTGAATTGCAGATTGTATTTTGAAATAAAAACTTCAGTGTTTCCAAAATACGTACTCCCGTATGTAAGAGAGAGTCTTTTTGTTGATTTCAATTTCATTGGGAAGTGGAATGTAAGTCAGAACATTTATGACATGTACTCGTGTATGTATTTGCAAAATAATTATTTCTCTACCACCAAAGCGATCATTAATCAGGCAATCAATAGCTCAGAATGGCCGGAACCGATGTGCAAAACGCGAAAAGCTACAACAGGAGCTATAAAAGCAACAGTCATAAAAAGCATTTGGTGCCATGGGCCACATATTTAGCTTGGTCGAAATAATATGGCCAATAATGTGGGCTGCCATTGTCTGGTATTGGCTGCGATTATTACCATAAAAGTGTCATCAATATAAAAAGAATAATAAAAGCAGAAACGTAGCTGCTGCGTATTGAATGGGAGTTTTAAGAAAAGGATTTGCCGGCGTCATTATTTATATTTATTGTGATTTCGCAGCATTTGCCTATTTCGCTTGACAGCCATTGAGTGATTAATCAAATTGACAAAGTGTTGGATATTTTTGTTACTTAAATTTAACATTTGTCTCCGCTGCTGCTATGTGGGGGGCGCGTGGGCGTGGCATTGTTGTCGCTGTTGAGAAATGGCAGCGCGATTAAAGGTTGCTGGCATTCGGGCCAAGTCTGTTTGTAATGCACAGCCCGACATGCTTTTGCTTTTTGCAATTTCAAGTTGACGTTGGCCCAGTTAAATTTTACTACATTTTTTCTCATTTCTACAAAAATGTAAATCACCTTGAATCCCCAGCATTGCGAACATAGCAATGACAAAGGGTTTCTATACACGTACGTACTCGTATACCTCTCAAGCGTAAATTTCTTTGGAATTGTCGATAGGAGCGAGTGAAGTGGAGATTAATTTTTCATTAGTTCTCCGACTATGCCCAGAGGCAGGCTAAACAAAGGAGCACACTCTTAGCATTCGATTCTACTGCACCCGATAACGTTTTTTCTCTCCCGAGTTCCGCATGAAAGTCAATCGATAAATTTGTCAAAGTGTTGGGCGAGTCACAATTATGGGTACAACAAAAGCCACCAGCACGTGAAAGACGACAAAGTGAATGATGATGAGGATGATGATGATTATGTGGCAGTGGTGGTGATAAGAAGTGACAGCTGCAGCAAACAGTTTTGAAGTGCGAGTGTATACTACATTATGTGTACAAGTATGTGGTGGATAGTATAGGTCGAGAAAAGAGGAAAAATGGAGCGCGCTCTTTTCATACGAGTAGAGCCAAGTGAGTTTGATGTTCTCGTTGTAGTACGACCAAGATGTACAACCATAACAATGAATATCATGACAATGGAAGTAGCTGAATCAAGCAGACGTAGACAGAATACGCCGTAAAAATAGAAATACGAACAGGCACAATGGTCCAAATGAATATTTTGTGAGCAAGAAATCGGAATCGGAATTCATCAAAATCACATTATTATAATTGATAATAATTTATATATTTGAATGGTTTGATCGCATGGAAAATGTGGTTAATGGGAGCAATTCATTTACAAACTAACATGAATGAGATGACCCCGCATGTCATTTATATTGGTCATATCTTACATATAGTAATTTTATGCATGTATATATTGGTATATATTTTTTCATAATATAATTATATAGAAATTCGGTGTGCAAAGTTTGGTTAGGGTAGCTTTTGAAATGTGGTCGGTATTGACGAAATTCTGTAGCGGGGGAAAAATAAAATAAAAAATAAAATAAGCTCGTCCTTTTTCGGACCTAGGAGAATCTGGATGCCAACTTTGGTTATTCTAGCTTTTATAGTTTCTGAGTTCCTTGCGTTCATCCAGATGGACGGACAGACGGACGGACAGACGGACGGACAGACGGACGGACAGACGGACGGACACGTCTAGATAGATTTCCCTCGTCATGCTGATTCAGAATACGTATACTTTATGGGGTCGGAGATGCTTCCTTCTGCATATTTTGCCCAGACCTACAAGTAATATACCCTTTTTACCCTACGGGTACAGGGTATAAAAAGTGAAATAAATCCTCCATTTTATCCATAGTACAATGCATAAGAGTCCAAGTGTCGAGCGAGTGGCTTGGATGCCAATGCCCCGTCCATGCGTGCCGACGTGCCTGACCAGCTTCTGCCTTCGGCAGTTAGCGTCTATAATACAATGCAGCAACTTTTCTACTCGGGGCTGGCATTAAATGAATCCCCATAGCCACATACACACACACACACACATATAGATGGTGAGAGAGGACGCCAAAGTGGAGACACAGCTAAGTGGCTGGACTGTCCTGGCCACTGGCCGCCAAGACACAGACAACGATGCGACCCAAAAGGAAAATATTCTTTGCTTATTGTTTGAATTTTGATAAGTTGTGGCCACGAGTTTTGTAGGAGGTGGATGCTAAGCAGACACAGGAGCTACGACATGGCCAAGGCATTTAAGTATCACTCTGTCCCTCAGCCTCTCCCTCTGATTTTCCCCACCCACTGGGCCGATATGTCCGCCTGAGGTTGCTTGTGACTGCCTCAAGTGCCGCTTGGCCTTCATCACAGGCAGCAGCTTGCCCTGCTTTCTGCCTCTTAATTCACAGTTCTCCTCATATGTGCGAGTATTGTGAGTTTGTTGGCTTGTCTGTCTGTCCGTCTGTTTGTCTGTCTGCCAGCCTGCCTATTTAATTAAGCACAGCGAAGGAATTTCTCAGATTCTTTCGCTTTGCTTTTCTTTTGGAATTTATTTCGTTTTGGCTCGTTGCCTTTTGTTGTTTTGATTTACACTTGATACTGTTTACATTGGTTTGACGATTTAAATACCTTCTTATTGTTGTTTTAGGAATTGATTTGTATTACCACTGTTTTGCGGTCTGCAGAAACTTAAGATGCAAAGATCTCACATTCAAGTGATATTCCTACATTAATTTTTGCGCATTCTTATTGTTCAATATGAATGCTGCAGCTTTAGAAGCGAAGTTGTCGCTTTATTTCGTATGTGACTAAGTTAGTCTTGAGCCTAATAAGATGTTAGAATAAATATTCTTTTATCATTTACAATAATTGTTATGTTTGCTCTGAATCCTCTATTTAAGGCAGTTGGTAGTCTCGAAATGCCTTGCTAGACATAGACATTAATTTGTACCTCCTCCTTGAAGTCATCCCAAAAATGTTAACCCTTCTTATAAGTTCAATTGACAATTCAAGTTCGACAAGACAATTAAGACGGTTCCCTTCATATCCTAGCAGACAAACTTCTCAGGAAAAGATTAAAAAAGAAGTGCGCTTTAAAGACGTTTTGAGTTGAAAGGGACCAATCGGGTATGAGACAAACTATTTTTAATCTGCTTGTAGAATTAATATTTAGTTAATACAAGATAGTTGAAGACTTGTTATCATATAGTAAAATTTCATTGGCAACAATATTTTAGTTTTACTCAAATTCTTTTTTTCTTTTTTTATCATATCATACAAGTATCTACCAATTCCATAATTGTTTCATCATTGCGGTTGCATTAAACAATTTAGATGCGATTTATTTTGTCACGTCTGACCTACTTTTGTGACTTTTAGGGCTACCCTTTCTACAAAAATAAGAAACAGATTTATGCACGTTTAATATGAATATGTTCGACGGCATTAACCACAATGTTGCAAGTTGCTGCAGTGTTTGGCAATTTTTATGGGTTGGAAAAAGTTGTGTTCGAATTTTGTTGTAACTCCAGCAGATTGTGAAACCATTTTCTACGTAACTTTTTATGTCCTGTTATATTTGAAAATATATACGTTTTACGTTTTATACCATCCAGTGCCAACCACTTTGGTCATTAAAAATGACAGCGTTCCTTGCCTGGCAGGAGCATTCGTTTAAAATTCGTTTTAAATACTTTACTTCAATTTGTTCGCTTTGGCACCCAATGTGTCCCAAAAAAGTACAAAGTGTTCATGTCGCGTGGAAAAAGTAGTTGTCGACATTTCTGCTATTATTTTGGCTGACGGCACGCCTTTCGTTGATTTTTCATTTAAATTGCTTTCGTTCGCTCAAGTTGGTTACGTTTGTCTTGTTGCATTTGATCCTGCAGTAGTCCCCTCCGACCAGCCACTTACCTCGAGCACGCGGTTTCGTCAGCAACTTTTGCACGATATTATCGTATGCAATTTCCTCAGCCACTCCCGAGTCCTTGACAAGCTTCTCCTTGATGGCAATACAAATATTATGGCGCGCCAGCAGGTCCTCCAGCTCCTCGAAAGCCTGTGCGACAGAAAAGCCAACGGGCAAAAATATATGTACGAGTACAGAACACAACCCGTTGCAACGCGTTAGCTAGAAGTGACGCCCGTACAGGCAACGCAATAAAAACAGACAACGCCAAAAGCTTTTTACAAAACAAATATGCAACAGCATGTAGAAGTATAAAAACCACACACACACACACACCACATCAACGCTGGGTGTGTGCCCCACAAGAGCTGTCAACAAACATAGAAAAAGGCCATGGCTGCCACTTGAATGTGTCTGCGGTTTAAAGCGCTGCACGGCAATCAACGTTTATTAAGAATACGCCGTGTGGTCTCCGCCCACTCACCTTGATGCCATAGTTGCTCTCCTCGTAGATAATGGAGACATAGCTCCAGCCCATGCGCTTCACAATCTCCACCATAGCTTTCACCTGATAGTGGTCCGAGGGTATGGTGCGCGAGAAGTACTCGAAGCGCTGCTTGTTGCTCAGTTCAGGACTGGTGGAGAAGTAGGACACCTGCAAGTACGAAAACAAACAAAAAAATATGGACAAAATATTTAATTTATATTTTTGATGAAAATATGCCAGTCGCAGCATGATGTTCGTTTTTAATATAAAATCAGGGCTCCAAGGGAATTTATCAAGCAAGATATGCGATGGATCGGTGCATGTTAATTTTGTGAATAATCAGGCTATTATTTATTTTTAATTATTTAATGTTAGAAAAAATATGTGTTCACCTAAATGCTATTCTATTCAGCTGCTCATAATAACCTTGCAATTTAAATTAAATTAAAATTGTAGTTGGTTAAAACATCCATTAGTCTATCAATCAACTAACATTCAATAGTTTATAGCAATCTCCCATTTTTCCACTAAAATTATTGTAGATCGTGTGCCACTATATTCCATTGCTTTGCTTTAGCTGACTATTCATGGGTTCATGCCACAGAGCTATCAGCACTGTCGACAGTTTTCTCAAGTTCTTAAGGAATTCAACCGCAAATCCGCAAAACTGCAGACGATGCAGCCATATTTGAACCTTTAGAATCAGCAGCAACAAGCGATGCAACTTCCGCTCCCACTATTAAATACTCTTAATTGGAAAGCCCAAGGGGGCCAGGGGCAACTTAAAAGTTTTATGCCGAAAAAGGCGAAACTATCAAGAAACTGAACGAAGGCCTGCCTGTAAGGCTCTATGCATCCCTCAACACCTGATCTAATACTTAAAATCCAATTTCACGCACAACTTAACAGGAAACAGAAATATTTGTGCATTGTGTGTACTATAGATGGGATATGGATGGCAGTGTCTTTGCGCTTTTCTTAACAATTAAGCAAATTGCAGCTTGAAAGAGCCTGGCATCACTTGACTTGGCATGCCTTGCATAGCGCTATTTGTTTTTGTCTGTCGTTTGTGAATGGTACGGGTAGGGAGGTGGAGTCCTGCACAATGTCAAACAGCGAATGAAAAGCAGGTTCTTAGGCACTACTTGATTTCTAATTAAGTGCCATTATCATTAGAGCGTGTTCCTAATGGTGTGCAGTACGCTTCTCTTGTCAATTTCAACCGAAAGAGTGGGCGCACAAGCAGTTGACATTATCTGCGATGCTATTCTGTTATTGTCACTTAGTTTTCTCGTTATCGCGCCCTGCCCTTCTACGGCAATTGCTGGTGGGAGAATAATTAAATTTTCACAGCTAGTCTCGGGTTGAGCTTCCGTTGAATTCCAATATGTGTTGTGCAAGTAACATTTATTCCTGGAATTCTATAGCCTCCTTTGATACAAATTTGTTATTTATTTGATTCATTTTAATGATGGAGAATTGACTTACAATGACTATTAATACAAAGTCAACGAGACATTGAAACATCATTTAATCGTCTTATATTTAAGCGCCTACCTACCTGACACAAACAATTAATTTTATACGCGTGGTATACATTAGCCTATTAATATGTTATATACATATATTATAACAGTAAAAATGTTTCACATATTACTTCTTTAGAATTTACCGATTTGGAAACAAATTCGAAACAAATTTAGAGAATGGCATAAGTTCGTATACAAGATATACAAATGTACTATTTCGATGTGAGCGAATTTTAAAAGTCTAATGGGTGTTTTGACGGGTCGAAAATAAGGGCTCATTCCATAACTATGAATAGTTATTCATATTAATTATAATATAATTCTTATCATATTCAGAGACAAAAATATTCCGCAATGCGCACCCATAAAAAACACCACATACTATAAGTTCTGAGGCATACATAATATTCATACGATGGCCGGTGGTGGCATTATTTATTGCACTTTTTTTGTGAGGTTTTATCATTTTCTAAGTTGACATTTTTGTATTGTCGTGAAATAAAAATAAAAATACCAATGCATAGAACTTTCTCCTGGTACCGTTGTATAAGTTTTTTAAGGTGATCTCAATATAAGAAGCAAATACGAAAATATATAATTTTTGAAGCAGCCACTTGGCCCGCTAACGACGAGAAAGTCCAGTTCAGTTCTGAACATATTAGTAAGCAACCGTTTTTATTTAAAAACATATTGTTTGTGAAACGACGAAGTTTGATGATAAAAAAAAATGCAAGTTCCTAATTGAAAAACTGTTGGTAAGCTCACTAAACGGTCGATTTTTTGGAGTTGAGTTCTCACAAAATGCACCACAAGTATGTTTAAATATATAGAATGAACTAATGGATGTTTCTTCCAGTTTTATTTCCTAGATTACTAGCTTCCCTCAAATTGCAATTAAATGCTTGCTTTAGATTTATGAGCACTTGCACGACAGCTACTGCTAATCGTGCCCCTCAAGAAACTAGCCTGACAGCTTGTGCTGGTGGCAAAGGCACGAGTTAGTTATTGTCGCATGCTTGATCCTGCACGTATCCCGGGCAACGGCTGTTTGAAGCGATGCAACCAAACCGACGTGACTGCCACAAGACTTTGAAAAATTGCATGCCACTTGCCGAGCCAGAGGAGGTTAAGAGTTTCTGCCATTTTTCGAGCGTGTTAGTCCCTTCTCGGGCTAGGCTCGGCCGCTGCTGCAGTTTCCTGACTTAAGGGCAGGAAGACAGTTGGCTCCGGGTTGGGTAGCCGAATAATTCAACGGCACGTGCTGGCATTTAGCCTTTGTGCTCGTGCGTGCCACGTTGCAGTTTTGATGCACTTTTTAATTATGAAACACTTTTTAACTATGAAAAAGTTTTGGGTGCTCATTGAAGTTGAACAAAATGTTGCCAGCTGGTGGTGGTAAAGTTTTCGGCAAAGCGAACAATAATTGAAAGTTTTGCAGGAAACTACAAAATTGCGGTTTCATTATTGCTAAAAGAATTGTTTCAAATACTACGTATACGTCATGTGGGCTGTAAAAGTTTGGCTTCTCGACACTTACCTGCGGTATGCGAAATAGTCTCAAAAGATTTGCCACTTGTATGGATGTTACAGATGAAGCAGCGCCCACCACACCGGATATAACTTTGCGCACCTGGGTCTTATTGCAGTGGTATTCGGCATCGTCGATGTTGCTTATCGATCCTGTAATTAGAAGAGGGTACGCAAACTCTGTAGCAATGTTGTTGACAAAAAATCACTTTCCCTGCCAATCTCTCTCTCTCTCTCTCTCTCTCTCTCTCTCTCTGCCATTGTGTAAAGACACTTACATACGAAAAGCTCCAAATGTTGGAGTATACTAGGAGTTGAACAAGTAAGAGTATATGCATATTTGGAATTAAACATTTCGACACATTTCCTCTTTTATGAAAATCGACGCAAGCGTAAGGTAAGGATCATCCATTACTGTAATTTGCTAATAAATATATAAAGTGCTAGTGTCTACATTGCAACTTGGCTGCTCGGTCGCTCCGTTATAAAATTCAGTCTGCATTCCACTTCATTATTGCTGTCTGCTCGTTTTTATTAATTTACAACTTCACATTGCACAGCAATATAATCGTTAGCATTATTCCCAATGCGCAGGGAAAGGGCAAGTAATGCAGAGTCTTTTAATTTTAGGTACGGTTGTAGTACTATATGTTTGAATCGTGTATGAAAAGTATGAAAAATTAACCCAAAAGTTTTGGCATTTCCTTTAATGTTGCCTTCTACGCTCTTCTACTACTTATTTATTTGGCGCTATTTTTTAATTGCAAACTTTTTGGGCTGTAAAATGTTCCGCTTAGATGCGCCATTAGGTATGCCACGAAAAACTTACGCGCGGTTGCTATTAACGTGGCTTAAAACCATAGTGAAGGGATACGCCTTAGTTAGGACTACTCATTTGGTTATGGAGGGGGGGCTACTGGGAATGTGTGAGTGTGTCATTCAAAATGCATATTTTGCTAAAATAACATTTTTGCTTATTTTGCTGCAATTTATGCTTTGCTGCACTCATTGTTGTGGTTGTTGTGATTTGGCGCTCCACCTTCGTTGGCATTCGTGATTTTTTTGTTGTTGTTTGTGTTTCTGCTCCCGACTCTTGCCCTTTATGCAGTTTTATAATTAATTAATTGCTCTATTTATTGTTGGTTTTTCCAGGTTGGTCTTGTGCCAACAATTTTGTGCCATTTCAAAAGGACAAAAGGTTTATAGTATTGCGGTTGGCAACTGAATTGCGAGTACAAGTAATTATTTTTTTAGCGAGCTATTAGTAGAGGGTTAATTAATTATAATTAATAGTATTAAATTAATTATTAAACGGTGCAGTGCAGTGCTATATATTTATATGGCTAATCCAAGAGAACTGCTCTATGCGGCAATTAATTCGATTGTTTGGCAGTAATTCGTTTCTATTTTCTTTACGATTAGCTCGTAAGTTCGTACTTATTCGCGTCCAACCAACCAAGTGTACTTGCATAGTAGTCTGAACCTTTTCTTTGTGTGTTACAACATTGATTTGAATTAAGCTCATTTTAAAAGTCACTGCTAATTTGAATGTCATCTGCATACAATAACAGACTCAGTTGGAACTCAATTGCAGGTACACGGAGACATTATTACATAGTCGTACGTTGCGCAGAGCTTAGTATGAGTTCAAATGTCCACCTCAGAGCCATTAGGGTTGGTCAGTGATGTGGCTGCCAACCACATGACCACAGCATTTAAAATTTAACTAGCCACAGGCACAAGTGCGATATGCCTGTGGCACATTAAGCACACTTCGTTTGCCACATTTCCTGCGGTGTCATTGTGTTAAGCCCAGGACCCACTATTATGAGCCTAGCCATTTGGCAGCTGCGCTTAAATACAAATTAATTAACTCTATCAAAAGTCTGTGGCCGGATGCTACAGCATCCACTCAATGGGTGCCCAACTAGAATATTATTAACATGGCCGCAAAAAGCACCACAGCAGAAACAACAATAACTACAATAACTACAGCAACAGCCATGAACGGACAATGATGATGGGGTACAGTGGGGCAACGCTAAGCTGTCAGCAGACGATGCATCATCGTGCGTCGAACTGTTGTTCCAGGCCAAATCCTGGCAATAAGCGGTAGCTCACTGACTTGGAAAATTATATTTTTCTGAGATACGAGACAAGTATATACTACAAGTAGTATATACATAGAGCTTTGCTCCACTCCGGATGGGTCTAGGCGTTGTTCTCCTAGACACGTTCGAGGCATAAATCCTTGCAGCCCACATAAATAATGAAATTATGGAGATTAGAAAGTGTTCAGGCCTCTCTCGGTCTTGTCGTTGTCATCACTGCTCGAGTTGTTGTTTTTATTACTGTCACTGTCGTTGTAGCTGTCGTTTTTGTTGTCAATGGCGGCTGTGCACAATTGATTATGGGTCCCGTTATTTGGTAGCCATGCCGCAGTTTACAGCGCACGCTTCATTCATTGTCAAACGCTGCCAGTTGCCAGTTTATTTTTTGCTCCTGATAACAATAATAACAAGCGTGTTTTATGTGCTGGCAACGAGGCAGGCAGGCACACATATACTTTTGTAAGTATATAGATTCATATGTACTACTTATACTTGTATGTACATACACACACAGCGGGCGGTTGCCCTGTGCCACACCGAAAGAGATAAGCGGCGAGTGAGAGAGGGGGAGAGCTATGTATGTTGATCTTTGCCGGCGTACTTAATTTTCGCTTTTATTGACACGTGGGACTTGCACAGCACATTTCGCTCTCATTCTGGCCCGCTCCTGTGTTTAATCTGTGTCCTTGTGTGTGTTGGTGTGTGTGTGTGAATTACCGTGCCTCGGTGTGTCTTTGTCTGCGAAATTCAATAAACGCAAGCGCTTTGTCTTAGGGGAATTATGCATATTAGTTTTGGCGCCCAAGTTGAAGCGTCCCTGCTTCCTTCCTCGCTTCCATGCCCAACGCAAAAGAGCGAAATCGCATAATTTATTTATTAATTTAGTTTATTAATAAAATTGTTTGCCATTTGGGCGAAGCAGTCGAGCGAACTTTGCTCAGGCACTGAGCTACACATAATGCGGCAGAGCATTGACTCTGTTCTTGGGAAAATATAAATTTATTTCATTTGGTGATTGATGCTAAATCACAAAGAAAGCAACAATGGAGTTACTTTTAGCATATTCTTATTGTTTGGATATTTAACTCATAACTCATACAATCGATTAATGAAGGAGCTACTTGCACACATTTTCAAACATAATTATAAAAAATAAATCATCTCAAATATGTTCACCATTCAACTTAATAATGAAATAATCGAAAGCGTTTTCTAAATTAATAAAACATAAAATTTTTTCAACATTAAGTGTTGAGGAAAACATAAAAGTTGAAATAAATCTGCATATACTTGTAATTACTTCTACTTTGCTGGACCTTCAAGGAGATGTTCAGTTCCCTATTGAAGCCGCAAAAGTGTTTACGATTTCCGAGTTCGAAAAAAATAAACTCGAAAATAAAACTGTTCGAATGGTTACAATGTTCGGAGGTTCATGATCTTAGGTTTGCTGGCTACAAGAGAAGAGTGTTTGGTAGATTCGGGAACCCTAAAAGGTCTCTGCTCGTCTGCAGAGATTAGACTTGTTTTCATGTTCAAAACTTTTTTTTTACTCAAAAATACACAAAATATTGACTGACCAACACACTTACTTATAACGTGGCACTTGTTGGTGCAGACCTCGGGCTGGAAACATTGATGATTTAAATTGCGATCAGGTTTGATGCGTTACACATTATTCCCTATATAGATATGTAAGATAGGAGCCTTCATAGCCAAAACAGTGTCATACTCGGAAAAATAAATAAAATCTTGCTTGGGTCATTTTCTACTCGCGATTGGTGGTTCAAATGGGCGCACAAAATCGTGTCAACAAAGATCGCTCAATTTTAATTTATAACAGCAGCAAAAAATTGTGAACACAAACCGACAAAATTTATGAAATCGCAACCAAACACTGAATTCTATTTCTATGAACTGGCTAGGTTTTACGTAAAACAGAATTGAATAACAGAATAAAGGTTAAAATGAAAAATTCCCTCTCTATTTACATATGTTTGTCTGCGCAGCTGGCTCTGAAATAATAAAGTCGCATGCGTTTCTGATTAATGGGAAATCTCGGCTCGCATACGATTGCACAAAATGTGCAAAATGTTGTATGTTCCGGCATTTTACCCACTTTTTTGGTAAATAAAAAATATATATTAAATTCGGCTGGCGTGCATGCGTTCTGGGAATTGTGGCGACCACATGCAGGAAAACGTGCGACTACCATTTGCAAAAAGGAAATGCCCCCTCTCCCTCCCTAAAATACATATGTAATGCAAATACCCGAATTGCGGTGCAAAACAAAAATCCCAATGCCATGAATAGTAGAGCTAGAAAAAAGCTGCAACAGAATTTACATAAATATTATTGTGGCTGTTTTATGGTGCGTATGAGCAATGCGAGAAACATGTAAATGCAATTGGGACACGCCGAGATTTATGGCATTCATTGCATTAGCCCCACAATGTTCGCATTGACACGCATCCTTGAACACTCATACACTCGAGCTTACCTTTAATGAAGTCCACGGCCATTTCCAACCCGTACGAGTCCTTGTCACAGTCGTCGAGTATGTGAGCGCCCAGCGTTATGTTCGGCAACAGTCTCGCCTCATTAATACGATCGATGGTGTAGAGCATGGCCTCTAGTGCCTGGATACCACCTTGGGGCATAATGGGTCCGCATGTAATGCTGTCCTCACGTGAGTGGACCATCATCAGGCCGCCCAGGATAAGATCGCCCTCGACAATCGCCTCCCTCTTCACCGGCCAATGCCGCTGCGCCGGCTGCATGGCATATAGGCGGTCGTGCAGGAAGTCCACAGAGTCGGGCAGGGAGCGCAGATACTTGCCACCGCCACCGCCCCCGACATCGGATGAAGTGCTGCCTGCCAGCAACGGCAACAGGAGATTGTGATTGTTTGGCGGGACATGGCGGCCACGGTGGCGACCCGAGCGTGGCGAGGCGGCATTCAAAATGTCAATGTTCGCATAACGCTGGTACTGTTCCAGATCAAAGTGTTCGTTGTAGAAGCTTTCATCGTCCTCCTGGTCCGGATGAGCTAGAAACGCCGGGTGTTGTTGTTGCTGATGATGATGTTTCTGATGGTGATGTGCATGTTGCGGGTGGTGTGCCTGCTGTTGTTGTTGTTCGTCAGTGTTCACACCATCGCTGACAAATTCCGGCAAAGGCCAGGGCTCCCACTTGGACTCTCCCTGCTTGGACTGCTGGTGAAACTTTGTCTGTTGCCAGTGTTGTTTGCCCAGTTGTTGTTGTTGTTGCTCCAACTGCAACGCCTCGTAGTGGCTGCGCCTGGTGTGCCACTTTTTCTGCCCCAGCTGCAGCTCCTCCGGATCTCTCTCATGTCGCTGTTGTGAGTGCTGGTGTTGGTGGGGAGGTTGATGTTGCTCATAATGCTGCCGATGCCGATGCTGCTGGTGATGATGGCTGCGCCGCTTGTTGCGACGTACCAGCATTGTGTCTGACACTGACACTGACGCGGACGCTGATGCTGTCGTTGTTGCCGGCGTCGTGTGCCTTGTTGTGTACATTCCCATCTCATCGTGTCGATGATAGCTTTCGTAATCATGGGCAGCAGCTGCATCCGCCGACAGCTGCACTTCATCAGCCGCCCACTTCTCATTTATGTCACCAATCACCGCATTCTGCTCGCTTTGGCCGGCGGCGGCGACAACTCGCGACTCGTGCCACGTTGGCAGGATAACAAACACAAAACAAATTTGCACAAGAAGGAACTGGCTGCAGCATTTTAATATTTGCATTTTTGCATCAGCTTTAAGTCAAGTCTCTCGGTTACTTTATTTAATATCATTGGATATGTTTCTCGACAGCTGGTTTCCTAGTTTTGGCTTTTGTTGATATCGACTTCGGAAAACGGGGCAGAGTCTTTGAAGACAAGCGCGCATTTTTTTAAATTTTTAAATAAACTTTCGGATATTCCTTCTTGCGAGTATGAGTTTTGATATGTTTTAGTTGTTCGCAGTTCACTTCAAGTAGTTCATGCTATATTATGGATATGTTTCTATTTTCATTTCGAGCCATGTTAAGTTTAACTGCAATAAAATCCACCATTTTTAAAATAAAGTTGTTGCTATTTCTCAAATCTGCTCCTAATGGTTATATAATTTCTTTTCGATTATGATGAATACATATATTTAGGAATTTAGTATTATTTAATAAATAATTGTTCTTTTATTTCATAGACGCATTTGTTACTTTGCAAATTGTTCCTTATTTCGTTTATTAATTATTCAGTTTTATTTTTATTGAACTTATTGAGATAGACATGGTGCTCGCGAGTTAATTTTTAATTCTTTCTTAATTTTACAAAATAAATTCCGTTATTAAGGCATGGCTATATCGACTCGCCTTGTCATCGTAATCAAGAATATATACATTCGCACAAATCTAGCACACCCATTTACCCCTTTTGGCAGAGGGTATACAAATTATAAGCTGCAAAAATATATTGCAAGCTGCAAAAATATATTGCAAATGTATCGCCTATCTTTAATTATATTTTAAATCGTGCTATACAATGTTGTCACCCTAATTAATATGCGCGATTCTGTGCCATAGCTTAAGACGTCAGTGAAGGGACCACTACATATGTACTCGTATATGCAAAATGTGACAGCAACCGCACTCCTAAAACTTTTTGCTCGTTCCATAAGCCTGGCTTATGATTGTCAGCCCTGCGCACAAACACACGGCTGGTCGCCATTGGCATTGCCCATAAAAGTTATTGCCATCGAAGTAAGCGCTGGCAGCGCATTGAGGTAAATTTAATTTGCATAAATTTACGCGCCAAGAGCGCCAAGCAAGAGCGAACGTGCAAGTTAAAGTAAAATGGCGGCGGTGACGGCTCCGTACATTTTGTAAGGCATACACCAAGGCGCAAGTGCGGTAATTAATCAAATTGATGTTTTTGTTGCTGTTGCTGTCGCTGGTTCTGGGGCTGGGGCTGCCGTTGGCGGCAGCTTGAATCGCAGTCAATGGCAGTCAATGTTAATGTTGTTGTTGCTGTTGCTGTTGCTGTTGCTTGAAGCACCCATAATGAGCTTGTCGGCTTGCCGGCAGGCCACTTCCCGCTCTCAATGCAACGCCACGACCTCAAACTAATCAACGCCGCGTTAGCGCCGCATTAAAAGCCTGCACTCTGCTCTGAGTTTCAGGAATTACTTATCATCACAGCATAATCAGCAACATTATCAACGGCAATGGAAGTGTCGCTCGTGGGCTGCCTGCCCGGGAAAGTTATCATTGCGGCATGCGCTCAATTGTTGTTTCTGTGCGTTCTCTGTCAGCTCATCAGCTCATCAGCTCGTCAGCTTGTCAGTTCGTGTGTCGCCGACAGGAGCAGCTGCTGTCGCCGCCGGCCTTTGTTTGTCAATGCTGAGGACCAGAGTAGGGTGCAGGCTCGGCTCGGGTCGGGTCGGGTCGGGTAAGGATACAAGTACGCGAGTACGGGCTCGGGCAGCATCTAATAATGAGATTGCGTTAAACAAATGGTGCTTTCCTTTTATTGCGCTTAATAGACACCGGAGGCTGCTTACACGCTCGTAATTTATTTTGATTACATTTGTCTCCAGCGCTTTGTCTCTTTTCTCCCTCTTTCGCTCAGAGTGACACGCCTTTCTCTTTGCGTCTTACACGCATTTTACATAACTGGCTCTGACATCCGCCCATCCACTTCCCAGCTCTCTGCTCCCACCCATTAGCCCTGCTGTGCCGTTTTTTGTCCATTGATTTGATTGAGCATTTCGCCGGCTCGTTTGTGCGTTTGTGCGTTTGCTTTGCTCCCCCTTCGCGGACTCAAATTGCAAGACAGCCATACAAACACACACAAAGCCACACACAGTGAGGCCGGGACCTTGGCGTCTCATTGAAATATTGAATAATCCGTTCAGCTCTAAAGAAAATTTGACGCAGACCAAGCGAAAGAGACACAATCTTCAGACCCATACATAGTATCAGAAAAACGCCTTGGGACAGAGTTGTTGGCGCCCTTTCCCTCCACCCGCTTCAAACACTGTATTCAAATTTAAAATCACTGATTATCAGCGCCATTTTATCGATAGCTTTGCTTAGGTGTGTTCCAAGGTCAGTTGTTGCTGAGCAGCAACGTAATGAGAGGTAAATTTTTCTGTTCGGCTATTTCTAGGGACTGTTGAAGAGTAGTAGCGTTGGTATAATTTCTGTAGTTTGTGGAACTTTTAGGGGAGAGCGATTTAATGGGTCTGTTGATGATGACCGATTTCGAATATCCTGTCCAATTCTAAATGTAAAGCACCTGCCTAGTCAGCAAAGGGTCGCAACTGCTGGCACACATGTATCACAATTAGTTACTAAATAAATCGAGCCTGCCTAATTCAAAATTTACTTTCAACAAAAAATAAATCGGGCTACATTTGATTTTCTGCATGTATGCGAGTATTTGTTGCTCTAGCTTTTGTGCTTGTTGTTCATACATTTTTAAAGCATGATGAAATATATTTTATGTTCTACAAAACTCACATTAAAAGGCTTTTAATAAATGGCAATACGTACGGGTAAAATAACTCTCAACAATCCAAGTGAGAGAAAATATAAATAGTATTTTACTGCGCCTATAAACTAGACAATAGCTTTAAAACCCCACCGTTGAATCGAACTCTATTTTATAAAAAGTATTTTATGTAAAAAGTAACTATGAAGTAAATCCGCGTTTGAGTAAAATGTATTTTTGAATAAAAGTAAACCTTGCACTGCTCTTTTATGCAACAAATTACGTTGCTCCTCAACTGGTATCCTTTTTATTGATGAGTGTGTGCCATTTCATGGGCTGTGCTTTAAAAAGCAGGCCGCTGAAAAATGTATGCACTTCACTTTGTAATACGAATAACAATTATTTATGCGAATGGTTGTAAAAGCTTTTTTCTTGTCTCGCTTGCTAGCGGTTTTTTGTGTTTTGTGCCTGGCATAGCCATTAAAAATGATGCATTGGTAATATTACAATTGAAAAGTTTTGGTTTCCATTGATGCTTGGCAGTACTTTAACAACAGTTCGGCTATTTTGTGGCGGCCTTCTCTCATTTCCCCTCTGGAGTGCAAAACAATTTGTTATGTTTCCATAAATGCCCCACGCATTCACAAGAGTAACTCGAAATTTCACATCAAATAACATTCAATCATACTTACAAACAGACGGGGGCGAAGACTCCGCACCTGCACCCCGCGCCATCTCCGACTGCCCCGACACAGTCAAACGCGTCCATTACACACGCGCAATTACAGTTACATTTACAGTCGTATAGTCGCATAGGAGACCGACTGACTGACTGACTAACTGACTGACTGACTGACTGACACACCTGCGCTCGAACTTGCAGCTAATGTTGGGTCGTCAGCTGCCAAAGTCGGGGCATGTCGTAGAACTCAGATACTACCTTGCGTGCAGATTATGCCTCGCTCGGATTTTTGTTTGGCGACGCACGAAAAATTAATAGCAACACATGCTCAACAATTTTCTGCAGAGCGAAATTATGAATAATTTCTGACAGCTACAGAGCCGGCAGCAGCAGACATGTAAATTTTATGTGCCATGTCGCTGTCAGTAACAAATGTCTGAGTAGGCTCAGCCCCAGTCCCAGCTCCGGCCCCAGCTCCGGCCCCAGCCTCGGCCTCGTTGCCATAACTGTGTGCATGTGTGTGGGTATGAGAAATGTAGCTAGCGGCCGGAAGCAACAATAACTAAGCAGCAGCAGCAGCAACAACTGTTATACCGGTGGTGGTGGTGGTTGATGGCTCCATGGGCGACACTCACGGCAGAGGTAATCAGCGACATGTTCATTTCGAATCGCTACACTCTATGCTCTTGAATGCCATCTGTCAGTCGAGCAACAAACTTTATTTTTTTTTTCTTTTCTTTTCTTTTCCTATGATTTCATTACGACAGCTGTTTAAGAATACTACACAAAAGAATGGAGTCCATAGGATTTCGAGCTTTGCAGCTTTTCATTTTTGAAATAATTCAATGAGTAAATGATTTATTTCATTTCGTATCTATCAATAGTGTTAGAAACAAACCCGTATTGTGGCAGGCGGAAGGACCTAGATCCGCATACTCGAACAACCATCAAGAACATACCTATATTGCCCATAATCACAATCATTCTCGTAATAATTCAGCAATTACTAATGGATAACATTTATACACAATCACACAAGTACAATTAAAATAATCGGCGAAACAGTTGGACCGATCGTTACCATATTATTAGAGTAGACTCATAGACTACCTTTACTTCTACTTTTGCTGAAACCCATTCCATTCATATTAGAGAAAACCAGAAATAATATGAACTCTTAATAGCTTTCTATAGCTAGAAAGAACTCTTTTTTACTTTAAAAAAATGTATTCTTTAAAGTCGCAGTTTTTAGCATTTTCTGAGTAGTCCAACTATGAACTCACAAAATAAAAGCAATGTTGCTTCCTTTTGTGCATTAAAATATTATTATTCCAATGAATTGCACAAAATGTACAATACGTTCTCATTATGAGGCATTTTAAAATGCATTATCAAAAGGAATGTCTATGTAGTTTTAATGAAATTTAATTTGGATAGAAATTCGATCCTTTTACCTGTCGCAGCAATTTTAATAAAGGTCAGCAAACAAAAATACGACAAACAATTTCACTTTCATTTCCGGCACAAACAAAACTCAAAGATGAAGGCTGCTTAGTCGTTCGCCATTTC